TTTTTGTTATCGTGTACATTTGCACGGATATCGAACATAAAACCTGAGGTACCAGTGCATTTCCAAATTTATCGATGATGCTACAAAACTGACTTGATAAGTAAGAATGTCAAAGTCTTAAAATAGCACGTAAGTCGAATTTTGCTGAATGCATTTGCAATTATCTCTCTTAATCAGGAACATGTTAACAGTCATGCATCTGCATTCGCCGAAGAATTCGGAATCTTTGATGGGCGTCAGAACGGTTGAAAATTAATTGTCTGTGTAACTGGCCTGTGCAACTCGCCCTATTGTGACCCTCTCTTTGATATTTTTATCGTACAATGCACAACTCCCTTTTCAAAAACGGGTTGCACAGCCGAAGAGCAGTAAAGATTTCGAAGGGGCAACGTCACCCTTTACCACGCCTTTACCAGAAACATTCTTAGAAGATCTTTGAATGAACAGCCTCTTTAAAACACTGAGGAATTTTATCAAACATACTAAATCGGTTCTGCCAAGACCACCTACATCTTGTTCTAGAGCACTGTCTAAGTTTTTGTATGAAACACACGTAGCTTCCATAAAGGAAAATTGAACTTTGTTAAATCTGATCAATGATTATTACTGGTATTTGTTCAATAAATTCTTGTTTTTCTTGTTTGTTGCAATTAAATCGTTATATATCTTATATTAATCCAAGGAGAACTGCAGCATCAATTGAAAACTGTTCATAATCATATTCATAGTCATTTTGCCTCGAAGAAAGCAATTTCAATAACTTTCAAAATAGAATATTGATAAAGTTGCATTCAAATATATGTTGTAATAGAAAAACAATTACAGGAATGTAATTGGTATATTGTAAAATCACTTAATTTCGTTGACTCAGATTTTGCTAAATAGAAAAAAAGATATTGGTTCATCGGTATTTGTTTTCGAGGTTGAAGAAAAACAAAATATCGTATAATTTATGTAGTTTGAAATTTTAATATTTTGTGAAGTGTATATATGAATTCGTAGGGTCATCAAACCATGACAATCATTGAAAATTAAGCACTCACTAAAATAAGTGATTTCATAGTAATCTCTTTAAAAAAGAAGTTAAAATACACTTTTCTGCTATCTGATATATTGCAGAGGCATGGGTAATAAAATTAGCATTGTTTATCCACAGATATGTAGGATAAAACTATATTGTGAAGGGCAAAATAAAATCTCTCATCAGGTGTGCTGAAAATTTCAAGAATTCTTTGTACTTCATATGAAAAATCAAATTTTAGCAACCTTATCGTTTACTCGTTGGTTTTATTACGTGATAATCGAAATCCGTTTTTGCCGATATTGATAACGAATTGAGGAAACCTCTTACATCGTGTATATGTATTTATACATTTTAAGGGAAAAACAGGTGGGGGATAGAACTTCATGCAATGAGTTCAATTGATGAATGAAATTGTTTGCATAGCTTGACAAGGGCGAGTCCCAACTATCAAATTCTCTATAATATCACCTAAACGTGTGATTAAAAAGCATGCAAAGCAATCATAAATAGCAATGTTTAATGATACTCTGATGAAAAATATTTTTTGTAATCTTTTTTCACATCTATAAAAAGAAATAAAATTTTTTCAATGAATCAACAGACTGGGGGAGGTTATTTTAAATGAGGTTCGGTAGACGTCAGAATTAGGGCTGATGTATTAAGATCAAGTAGCAATTCAACAGAAGATGTTCTATTTAAAACCATATCAGTTAAAGATATAGATTCATATATGCAGAGAGCACAGTTAATGTAAAAAATATCTTCATTTTTTATCCATAAAATGAAAGTAGAAACTTTTATGCTACATTTAAAATGATAGTATAGATAATTTTTATTAATTTCTATGATTTTAAAATACTCGTAGTAAAGATATTTAAAAAAAATTCGGTATAAAAGAAAAGACAAAAAAACAATGAATTTATTGAAACACATTTATCATGGTAATGTATTTGCAACCATTTGTCTCAACAATGATAAAAATGACATAAAAATAAGTGATTTTGTTCGAACAGTATTTGTCTTAATTCGATGTAGATTTTTGTTTTGTTTGCTTATTCATATACTAGAACGAAAAAATAAATCACCATTTTAAAAACGATATCGTTCTATCCTGCAACGCCGTATTTGTTTAAATATGAATTTTAGTTAGAGTAACAATCCACTGAAAATCTTAATCTATAAAAGTATAGAAAAATTACTTAATCCAAACCTTTTAATAAATTACTATAATAATTCATCAGAGTACATCATTGCTTTTAAAATCAAAGTTTTTGAAGACGAAAGAAGAAACGAAAAAGTAGTCGTGGGAGATAGAGGCATGCCTTCTCGCAGACAGGTAAAAACGGCGAGTTGTTTATTGCATCGCCTTTGGATAACATTATCAACTGCACTATGCTGCGAAAGTAGAGATATTGGTGTGATGATGATGAAAATAATTGTTTTTATCACTATACATCTTACATTGTATCTTGATCATGAGGTTTGCTTACATCATCAGATGCATCGAAATCCCATTTTGACATGCATCATAGGACGTAAGTACCTCTATTTGAAAATTAACTTCGTCTGTGATATATGAAATTGAACTTGATATTGTTTTGCTGCCAGAGACAGTTGTTTAGAATATGATAACAATAATTTTGCTAAAATCTCACTTGGCATTATTTAAGTAGAAAAACTTGCGTAAACTTTTATGTTTAAAACAGTTTAAAAGTCGAATTTATCTTAAGCAAAAAAGTACACTGGATATTAAATAAAAAGCTAATGCATATAACCAAAAAACATTTATTTTATCGTTTCATAGTTTCTTACAAAGTTTCACAAATATCATTCAATGAAAGTGCAGAGGTTACTTAAGTTAGGTGATACATGTATAATAGACAGTATATAAAATTTTTTTTAATATTCACAGAATTCCATCTTAAAAATTCATTATTCTTTTTATCTTTGATAGTAGATAGAACGCATTTGTAACAATTTCACTTTTTTGACTGTGTTTTAAATATTCAAAGGTTCCTGTATTCCCCACACAACAAAATATTAATATCTTAATAATTAAACGAGCAAAGGTGCATTTTTTAAAATATATAAATATATACATCATGTTCTCATTTTATAGTCATACAGGAGATTTAATAACAAAATATACTCAAAGAAAAGAGTAAAAAACTAATTCAAAGAAGATCCATTGAATTCTATATGCCAAAGCTGAAAGAAAGGTCTGCAATAACATTTGTTCCTCTAATGAAAAAAAACACACCACTGACCAATAATCAAAATATTGTCTACTTTCTGAGTTCTATATTACTTTGACATGAATAATGTCTCATCATATTGTTTTCTACAAATTTCAAGGACATTTTGAAGTTTAACTGTATAATTCTGTCTTAAAGCTATAAAATTGATACTATCCAGAACGTAAGAGAGAGAGAGAGAGAATGAGACAGAGAGAGAGAGAGAGTGAGGTGGGGGAGGGAGGGAATTTTCAACTCTTTATAGTCAACAATGATGCCACCAATTATTACATGTACGGTTAAACTATTTATTAATAAAATGTAAATGTTTGCCCTCATATAACACTATTTGAACAAGGCGTTTTTACATCTCTGCAATACACGTTCGCCATGTTACCATAAATTGATTGGTTAGTTATAAGCGATCTACGTAATTTCATAGTGACTTTATAAGTGATCGACGTGTTCAACACATTTAATTTATTCCTTTGAGTTTTGAAAAAATAAATTCTTTATGGATTTAAAACTTTAGTAACTTACTATTTGTAATATATCAGTCACAAATGTAAATAAGGTATCATTTTTTTTTTACTTTTATTGGGATGTAAAACGGGTTGGCAGATGATCAAATATTAAATAAAGCCCTTCGGGTTTTATGGGATCTGATCACTTGACCAACCCGTTTTACATCCCAATAAAACTCAAAAAAACGATACCTTTTTTCTTAATTAAAACGTATATATACAAGGGGTTATTAAAATGTTAGTGGACTAGCGCCATAAAATTAAAACCACTTTGGGTACATCAACGAATCTGAAATATCTAGTTAGCATCATCTTTTCTATCTAAATAATAAACCATAAATAACTAATTTTATTTTTAAATAAATTAGTTATGTTTCTCTTTTGAAATGAGCATTTGATATCTATAAATTCCCGTTCCTTCAGATTGTGTTGGGACACAATTGGTTCATAAAATATAAATTTTTTTACTTCATTCTGAAATTTCATCGTAAATTTTACATGGAGTGTCCTAACAAATAAGGCCTTGAAAATGACGTCAAAAGGGAGAGTGGCTTCCTTTTCCAACATTCTATACCGTTTTGCCCATGAAAAAATAATGGTATAGACCTAAGAAATGTTTAAACTGGTCACAGAAAAAAATATATAGTATGCATCCAGAGTATTTGTCTTTTAATGCCAAAATAGATTCAGAGAAAAAAGGTTGCACAGTTAATGTCGATTTGAAGTCAAGGTGTGAAAAATCAATCACGTCAAAAATAATGTTTACTTGATCATATGATGTAGATATTGAACTCCCAAAAGCAAAATATGCTGGCACAATCAAAGGAGGATCTCTCGCAATGTATAAATCTATATGGAATATTATATTCATTGAAAGCCGTTGTTCATGACATTGTAAAATCATATAAAGAAGGCGTGTTTAAGTCCTTACTCAGCTCATCAAAATAAGTGTATGAGGTAGAGAAAGTGGACATTGAAAAACAGCATTTATGACGTTGTCAGACGTCATGAGACTAAACGGCGACAGCGCCGGGTGATCATATAATGTCGTTTTTATTTTATAATAATTTGGCAAACAATGAACGTATCAAGCTTAAACTTTCAACCTTTCAACATTTCTTCTTTTTTGTTGTTGTTTTATGTTCCATATAAATTGTGAAAGCACAGACTACATACTACATTTTGATAATGTTATAGCTTCAGTCCACAAACCTTTTTTGATTACCCCTCGTAATTGATTGACTACAATACATTTTTTATTCAAAAATCAAAATTTTATTATGTTCTTGACATCCTTGTCATATTATGATTCAAAAATTAATGTTGCAAAAGCTAAACCTTCTGCCAAAGTAAAAATAAGGCTGACATAATTAACAATACACTATACAATATAATTATATATATACATGTATATTTAAAAAATCGTTTGAAATGTGGGTCAAATTCAAATTTCCTACATCATTAACCATTACATCGATATCTGAAAACTGTTTCATATAATTTATAAAACCTTGCAAACGTGATACAAATTTCAAATAAATGTCTACCCAAAAATTTAATCGTGTGGCTTGTTCTTTGTCAATCCGAATAAAACGTATAGTATATCCTTGAAAATAATTTATAGAATTGATCTTTTTCCCTCGAAGTCGTGACTTACATACGAATGCCTATGATAATTCAATGAAAAAAATATCAGGGCAAATTATCACTCCCAGATAAAACCATTCTGATCATCATAGCAGCACTATCAACAGATCACTTTAAACATATTCAAGGCCCATAAAACATAAATTGCCCCTCTTGTTTAGCGTCACTCTTGGGTTATTAAAACACCCTGTGCACTGGGCTTTTTCAGCAGAGATACAAATTTCTTAGAAGACGGCCTTAAACCTACTTTAAGGCGGCAGTTATGCTTCAACATTATACAGTACAGAACATTTTTCTGATGGGCGAGTTGTTTCTTTTCTTTCTCCTTCTTTAAAATTTCTTTTTCCAGTCGTTTGATTCTCTAAACGAAAAACAAAAAATTTATCAGTAATTATTCTTTAAATTTTTTGTTTAAATTTTATCGCCTAAAAATTATTGACAAAAATATTCCTAATTACATTATCACTTTTTCTTTTTTTTATTTCTTACATTATTTAATGGCATCAGAATATATGCATATATATCATGTACATTTTGAATTTACTAGGGAAGCATATGCAAAATTTACAACATGATACTAGTAATTAATGACTTCATAATTTACAACAAACATAGACGTGACAAACAATATTGTTTTCAACGTCAAACACCATAGCTATTTAAAACTGACGTTATGCTAAAGACAAAGATTGCATTAATGGACAACTATTCTTAAAGGGAAAAAAATGGTGTAATTTTGGCAATTTTGGTAAGTTAGAAGACAGGTTGTGTCCTATCAGTTACAATCTAATGGTCTTTTAGATCCAAACTTTATTAAATTGAATATAACAACGGTTTAATTTGATATCTTAAAAAAAATATATACATGTAACATGTATCTTGAAAGTGTGCTTGTGTGTTGATCTAAATACCTAACCAAATAAAAAAACAAAATTATTATTACTTGTCCTTTCGCTGTATTAACGTATTCTATATGTCGCTAGAAATGCAAAACTTTTGCTTAGTTCAACGACAAATTAAACCTCTTTTTCAAAAAAATAAAAACAAAAAACAAAAAGCTTGCTGTTTCAAAATTCTTAACCTATTTTCATTGCGCATAATATTCCAGATGGTTTTGAACATATTATAATTATTTATTGTAATTTCTAGTTACAAAAGGATTTGGCACATGTTCTCCCTACATACATGTAAATTACAGCTTTACATAAGGCCACAGATAAACATTAATATTTAAAATATTCAATATTTGTCAAATTTACAAATCATTGCAAACATGTTTATGTAAAGAATTACCGCCAGTAAAGATTCTTCATATTCTTTGTCTTTTATTCGTCTTTTTGAAGCCGATTGCCGATTTTGTTGGAGACGTCTGTTTCGTTTTTGTAATTCAGCATCCGTCATCTAAAAATACAGAAGAGATATATTTCCAGAAATAATGCTTATAAAATTAGAAAATATTATACATGTAGTCGTTTGATTAAAAAAAGAAGAAAGAAAACTTTTTCACCATAAAAAATGAATCTTATTGCTTTAGCTACTCACGTTTGAATTTGCTTAAGATCAAACAGTTAGGTGATGAGCCCAAATACATCAATATACATGTAAAATGTTTAACATCTTTAAGAAACTGAAACTAAATCTGCAACTGATTTACATGTATTTGATTAAAAGCCCATTTTCAATAAACGTATTCAATGACGTTGTATAGTTAAATTTTAAAAATTTTAACATAATATAACCAAATATACAAGAAAAGTTATACTAGTATTTCATTTCATAAATCATCAAAGTCCCTAAAAGAACTAATTTTTTCTGTTGTTTTCGAAATCATTAATATAATAGATTTTAATTGCTTAATATGCATATGTACATTTTGTACTTGCATATGCAACTGTGCAGTCTGTAAATACATATGCAAATGTACAATTTTGGTCTTTAAGTTGTATACCTTGTACACTTTCTGTTCCTCAAATCGTACTTTGAGCTCATCTTCACCTCTCGATAGTCTCCTGCACTGAATTTTGCATTTCAATTCCTCTTTCAGCAATGGCAAACAACTTCTTGTTTGATAGCTTTCATAAACGGCCTGACTTAATTTTTCGTCGTTTTCTTTTTGCAAATTATGCATTTGCATGCTGAAAGTTTTAAGATCAAAATTACAACTATATCAGCTACAAAATCTTCGTTTAAAGAGGTATATTTTAGCTGCCAACTCATGCTGTCTCCATGTTTTTATTTTCATTTTCACCATACATGATCGATTGCGTACAGGGTGACATTATTTAAAGGTAGTATGAGGGTAATGATTTTTAACATTAAATAAATAAAATTACAAATGAGTTTGAGTTTGAATACAAATAAAGAACAATTATTTACTAGCATTATCAGAAATTATACTAATGTATAGTAATACATGTCTGATAATATTGATAATAAAAATTTTCTTATGCGTAATAGTATTATATACATTTATTGCTGTTTTTTGAGGTCAATACAATGATTTAGCCATCTGAGGAGTACAATATTCACCGAGCCTGAAGGGGTCAATACAGTGATTGACGTTTAAATAGCTTTCCAAAACAATTTGTATCAATTTGGAATTTCCCGATCTATTTTCAGATCAATGTAGAGGAAATAAATCCTTATATTCACCTGGAACGTCACGTGCAGGTAAATATAACGTATTTCTTCCACATAGTTGGATCTCAGCCAATCAGAAAGATAGGAGTTATTCAATCATATTAAAACATGTATTATTAACATTTTGAAGATAAATGTTATTTGTTGGATTTGTGAATTTTGTGTTAGATTATTAAAATCAAGAGTAAGAAGCTCGTAAATAAAATAAATACATATAATGTAAATAAATAAAGCACAAAATTATATCTTTAAAATATGAGGTAAGGTCGCCCGGGATTTGAGTATAAAAATAAAGTGAAACAAGTGTTCTCTTGACGATAAGAAATATTAAACTGCAATAAAGATTCCGTAAGCAGTTTGAGAAGACTACAAAATACGAAAGTTTAAGTCAAAGATCATCAGATTCCGTCAAAAATGATATTTTTGAAGCCATAAAAAGATGTCGATACAGGTGTATAAGTCAACCGAATTGTGAAAGAAATTCAGTTCTTGGAATTTTGCTATAAATTTTTCCTGGTATAAGTGAGTTTGTATTTTATTAGAAACAATTCAAGGCGGGACAGAGTTTAATTTTGGAATATCGATGCATTGTTTAGATATCTTGGTTTTGATTTTTGTCGATTGGCGTGGCAGTGTTAGATAAAAACAAGATATTAGGAGGTTCTCAAATAAGATAAATATCTAGGTTCTGGGAGGAAAACAATGACATTTGATTGCAATCTGCCTGTGTAAAACACCCTTTTCATCAAGATTGCCTAATTTGCAAATGTGCAAACACTATTTTAGTCGACATTCTAGGCCCATTCATAAATATACACCTAAAGGTCATCTTTTGCCAACTCCAAGTAACTGTTATATATTCTAGTGTGTTTTGGATTATTTTCTGGTGTATAGAGCAAGCAACTGAGGATATTTTTAATAAAGAGTTTTTAAAATAAAAATCATATAGATATGCCAAGTGCATTATATTTACTTAGATTTAATCGATCAATACACGTAAACGTTTCACAAAAAACGGTAGGCGGGAACTTAAAAACGAAAGTGAAAGTGAAATTATGCTACACATTCATTGCCTATTCAATCCTGCATTTTTTAAAAATTCCTTTATAATTCTATATTAGTGTGCATTAGAGTGCATATTAAATAAAATCATGCATGCATGCATAAGTACTCCTTAAGAAAAATACCTGATACTTATAATGTAAACATTCCTCAGATCATATAAGATCAATTTGCGGTTTAACCCTGATAAAAATACCCTGGGAAAATACCTATTTACATATTTTAGTTGCAATTTCAGATCTTCTAGCATATGAATTTATCATGCAAAATCAATGCAACATAAAATAGACATGTATTTAGATTTGCATTTTACTGTTTATACCATTTAAATTACATGTAAACATGAATTTGAAAATAAATTTAATATGTACATGTATTAATACCATATATTTTTTTTTGTTGATAATTGTTTGATATATAATTTAAATGAAAAAAAAATTATTATAAATTCGATATGCTAATAACTTATTTTAGTCCAATAAGGATCTTTTAAAAACCGAACCAATTAACTTATCTCAAGAATATCAAAAGACTCGATTATAGTCAACATTTCGCAAATTTTCATCAAAGGTCAACGTACGTTAATTAACATGTCCAAAAATTTATTTTTACAATAGTTCTAAAACTATATATGTGGTTTTTAAAGTTGTAACTTTTACAATTTATAAATATATAACTGATGAACAGAAAGGAAGTACCTTTTGATAACAAATACTGAATAAAAATATTTATTGAGAATTTTTTTTGAATGCTTATACTTTAAAAAAAATATTTAATTCTGCACTTTTAGTTAAACCATCATTGCAGAAATAATATATACGTATTTATAAATGAAGGGCAAGTTGGACTTCGATAGCTTCTGGAAAGTTGTTTTCCCTGTTTATTTTGTCCAAGTGTTAAGATTTGATATCGAAAGTACATTGCAAATGGCGGATTTTAAAGGTGTCTTGCCTTAATACATGTCATGCTTTTAATAATAGTCTCTCAGAGACCATTCACGCCAAACTTGCCCTTCATTGATAAACATATATTAAATCTGCAATGATGGTTTTCTCTCAAAGTACATAATCAAGTAGATGCCTTTTTTTCAAAAATATGCAAATATTTTGATATATTTGTTCTCCATAAAAATATCTTTTTTTTAAATATTTGTTTTCAAGATTAGTGATGCTTTCTATATGTTTAACAGATTATATATATATAAATTATAAAAGATTTAACTTTATATTTCACATTGTTTTGCACCTATTGTAAAAATAAATTTTTGGACATGCCGACCTTTGATAAAACCTTAAATACAATAAATACAAAACGATTTTAACAAATAGTAGAATGCTCACTGACTTTATACAAATGTAAGGCCATTATTAACACACTGTTTTGGCTGATCAAATAAACCGAAAAACTTTAACCAAGATAGTTTACATTTCTGTAACATCAGCTTATCTGTGAGTAATTAACCTTTCTCGGTTAAAAAAAAATTGAACACACTTAGATCCTTCAGAAATCACATCAAATGTGTAGGGGAGGGATAGAATTTTAAAAGAAAAAGCTCACAGACAGACGCACATCTTACCATCTCATTAACGTTTCTAGTCTTTGAACAATAGTGTTAATAACAAGAGTTCTATGGGCCATTTCGCTCACACGAGCACATTTGTTAGAAAAAATCGGTTTAGTATTGAAAAGGTAAAATATATAATTATATAGGTTATTACATGTACATATACCCCCTCTTCCTTGGAAAGGGAGCAAGATTTTTTTTCCAAATTTGAATCTACACTAACTGACGATGCCTTCATATTTCTCTGAATAATCAAGGCTTTATAAGATTTTTTTCTTTATGTTTGATAAAAATGCTTCTATATAGGGTGAATTCACCATGCATCGGACACCCTTGTACTTCTACAAGTTCTAGCGATATCGCTACCGACGTAAAATTATCAAAATGGAGCGGAAAGTGTCCGATGCATGGTTAATTTGTGTCCGATGTGCGGAGAAATGAACATACTAGTAAAAACCAGCTCTAAATAAATTATACAAACATTGAGGATAAATTTCTTTAAAATTTATGTAAAATTGCCAATCTTTGACAAAATTCACCAAAGTCTGACTCGTTCCGTTGAAGTCGAATTTAAAGAACGATAACTCTAAAAATTGCAAAATCATAAATTTCTGGTTATTCCCCTTTGATGATGTAAAATATGACGTAACTTCAAGGCCATTCTCGGGGTATTTTTATCACAACATAATAAATATCGGTATCATTAAAAAATTTAAATCTTCAGCTTCAAGACAGAAACAAATAAATACACAGAACTCTTAAGTTGAAAGAGACTTTATTGTCTAAAGTTGTCCGAAGCAAGGTATGTGTCCGATGCATGGTGAATTCACCCTAGATATATCTATTCAGCTTTTTCTTTTCAAATTTTCTTTCAAACAAGTTTTTTTTACGATTTTTAAAAATATGTATACCTACGTAAAAATTTTATTGCCTATTGTGGCCTTACCCTATCTTCAGGGTCATGATTTGAACAAAACTTGAATTTACAACTCGTATACTGCCTAAGAATGCCTCCATACAAATATCACCATTTATGACTTTGCTGTTCTTGAGAATAAGAAAAAAAGTTCCATGTATTTAAGTGTAAAAATATGTCTTCTTTTGTAGCCCTGAGGGTCATGAATTGAACAAACTTTAATCGACACTACTTGAAGACGCCTTTTCATAAATACCAGGTATGATATCACAAGTAATGTCTTTGCTGTTCTAGAGAAGATATTAAAAGATTTTTTCCGAATATTTCTATGCAAAACTTGGTTGCCTATTATATCCCCAACCTCCTTTTTGAAAACTTTGAATCTATATTATGTCAGAAAGATTTTACATAAGTTTCATGGTTTGTTTTGACACATCAAATCTTGAGAAGAATTTTAAATACATGTATGTCCATCCAATTTCCATCATTTCTTAGTTTTCTTTATTTGGAAGAGGGTGTGCATGGCTCATCATTTGAAAAAAAAAAACAAACTTGAATCCCCTTAAACAAAGAATATTCTGCATCAATTTTTTTTTTAATTTGGCCCACTGGTTCTTGAGATGAAGACAAAAATTTGAAAAGTTTACGCCTACAACGGACAAAATTTTTTTCAGAAAAGCTCACTTTGGCCTTCGGCTCAGGTGAAATATATAAAGGAGAGTCACGGTGCAAACCCAGATCTTTATATAGGGCATAAACACGACCCTCTGTAAATTTCAAAGGTGTGATCGGGTGACTAGAAAGAGTAAGCATCCCCTGTTGAAAACTCACACTCGCAGTAAGCCATATGTAAGCTTAAGTTACGGCGGCAAGCAAGATTCGCTTCATGCATAAAAAATTAACTGAGTAAATCCTGGTGTCTAACTTGAACATCAATGCTTAAAAGATGTTTTTGAATTAATGGGAATAAGAAAGGGGACATGAATATTATATGAAGGCAATAATGGAAATTTACTTTATACGAAGAGTTGACGAAGAAAAACCTTAAGTCATCTCGTTTGCTATATATTTTATATGTTTGTTGACATTTATCGTCTTTAGTCAGAAAAGCATTTAATTAAAAACAATCCTATGTGACAAAATCTGTGCTGTCTTTTTCAGGTTCACTTGGATATAATGAGTCGACATATAATAAGAATGAAGGAAATGGAGATAACGAACAGTAGTCAATATCAAAGTCCGTAAAACAATACAAAAAAGGAGCAGAGCAAACACGGACCTTCGAAACATCAGAGGTGAGATCCGGTGCCATGGAGGAGTGAACATCCCCTGCCGACCACTCACACCCTCCGTGTGCTCCTTGCCATGATCAGGAAATAACAGAAAAATCCGCCGTCAATTCAGTGTTTAAATAATGGACTAACAATAAGTATGAAAAATGTCAGTCAGCATTTGACTCAATGATACATTGTATTGGCTGACGAGTCATTGTATCGACCATAGAACTTACGAAACGATTACTTTAAAGGAGACTGCTGATATTCTTGTTTCATCAACTTGTTTGTCAATAATTACTTGTTTAAGAAATTGTTCATTCGTAGAGCATGCCCTTGCGTATCAAATTAACTGAGATACATGAACTCAGTATGCAGGTGATGACTAATTGATTGTATATTGTTTAACGTCCCTTTCCAGAATTTTTTACTTATAGGTAGACGCTGCAGGTGATGAAGGTATATTGCTGAATACGTAAGGGAAGATGACGATAAAAAAGTTAAAGTCATTACGTTTACCATTAACGTCTGTTTCAACTTAACTTACCAAGTATTAAACAGATTTGTCAGACTCTGTGATATCTTTCATCTCAACCTCACCAGGATATATCGTATTGACATAGGAATATAAATTACAATTGTTTATTGACAATACGTCGTGGATATATCTAAATGTTGAGCTGAAGGCAACAGCAAGTGTTTTTTTTTCTTTTCACGCATAAGATTTTGCACAAATTTTGCTTCATATGAATACAAAAATAAGTTTGTTAATAACGGAACGCAATTGGTACCCATGGGAATTCCAATAGATTGTTGGAAGACCTGTTCTCCAAAAACCACATAGATATTGTCAATCAAACTCAAGCAACTTTTTGATGTCAACTTCAGAGTACTTGTGTGTGCAGTCAGAATGTGTTTTCACAAAAAAAAATTGCAAATGACCAATGACCAGGTAAAAAAATTTACATTTACGAGTTCCATTTTTATTGAAACAAGAGGCCCATGGGCCACAGCGCTCACCTGAGCACATCAGCTAGGAAAAAGCACATATCAGATCAGAACTGAAAGTTTTATAAGGTTGGGGGAGGGGCTTGAATTTTAACCCTCCTCAGGGGATCATGATTTGGACGAACTTGAAATCTACACTACCTGAGGATAATTCCATAAAAATATTACTAATCATGGTTTTAAGTACTTGAAAAGAAGATTTTAAAAGGTTTCCCTACATATTCCTATGAGAAAGTTTGGTCGGTCATTTTTGCCCTACCCTACCACCGGGGGTCATGATTTGAACAAACTTGAATCTACACTACCTGAGGATAATTCCACATGAGTTTCATCTTTCCTGTTTCAATGGTTCTTGAGAAGAAGATTTTCAAAGATTTTTCCTATATATATGAATTCCTATGTATAACTTTGATCGGCCATTTGGCCCCACCCTACCCCCAGGGGTTACGATGAATCTTGAGGATGATTCCACATGAGTTTCATCTTTCCTGGCCCAGTGGTTCTTGAGAAGAAGATTTTTAAAGATTTTTCCTATATATTCCTATGTAAATCTTTGATCGGCCATTTTGGTCACACCCTACCCCCGGGAATCATGATTTGAACAAAATTGAATCTACACTACCTGAGGATGATTCCACATGAGTTTCATCTTTCCTGGCCCAGTGGTTCTTGAGAAGAAAACTTTTAAAGAGGTCTACTATATATTCCTATGAGAAACTTTGATTGGCCCTTTTGGCCCCACCCTACCCCCGGGGGTCATGATTTGAACAAAGTTTAACTTGAATCTACACTACCTGAGGATGATTCCACATGAGTTTCATCTTTCCTGGCCCAGTGGTTCTTGAGAAGATTTTTTAAAAATGCCATTAATTTTTCTCTAATTCATAATTATCTCCCCTTGGAAAAGGGCATGACCCTTCATTTGAACAAACTTGAATCCCCTTGGTTTGGTTGAAATTGGCCCAGTGGTTCTTGAGAAGAAGATGAAAATGTGAAAAGTTTACAACGACTACGACGACAACGACGACAACAACAACAGACAACGGACAAATTTTGATCAGAAAAGCTCACTTGAGCCTTCGGCTCAGCCGAGCTAAAAAGTCATAAGTTTTTAAGCTGTAGATTTTGGTAAAATCTTGTGATTTCAAATTGTCCAAAATTTCTGTGGAATTTTTTAGTATCCACATCTGATTCACAGCACTTCTTGAATATATTGTTGTACAGTACTCTTGAAGTTTTTCTTCACTGCTGTCAATATCTTAGTGAGGAGTAAAGACAGAGGCTTGGTTGAACATTTACTGGAACCCGCAATGTATTGTAAGGATTCTTATGAAGTTTCGGGATCTAATATATGATAGTTCAAATTTTGTTTCTTCTGGATATTTTAATATCCTAAACTGGCATATGAATTTGCATTTCCTCCTTAGAAAGGGAACTATGAGTAAAAGTTGGATTACCACTTGTAGAATTAAATCAAAGTTTTTTTTCAAAAATATAATTTATATAATTACATTAATATAATGAGCCTTACAAACGAGATAGCTATAAAACGTCGTCGATATACTAATTTCTAACCATCGAGTTGAACCTCGACAATTTTTTTTTCTTTTCATATAAATCTTGCTTAAAAGGAATATGAACATAGGTCGACTAATAAAAACAAAGTACAATCAAATAGAAACTGCAGAATGCCGGTATTAATAAGATAAAAAATAAGAAAAGATATAAAATATAAAAATACAAATGAAAATTATACAACACATATAGAAATGATCGAATATTGCAATGTTTGACATATTATTACTATAAATACGTGCATGACTTTTATGAAGCCAAAATAAGTCTGTATGGATTTTAAAGCAACGTATTACTGATAACAGATAAATAAATGAAAATCGAGGCATTTTGTTGATTAAAAATAACTCAAGTAGGCAATATAGTCCTTTAAAAATCTATTTTAATGAATATATACATTTCTAAATAAGGTATTAACTGGGGGAAAACGGAACAAGTAATTTCCGCAAGATAATTATATTCTTGGAAGAACACAACAAAACAAAGACATGTATATGCATGTACCGCGCAATGGGGCATAAAAATATTTCTCTAGAATTCAACTTTAAGTTTACTAGTATTAATTTACCACAGTGACTTAAGATTTTTATGATCGAAAGGTTCTTGGAGACATCTATCTAAATGATTCCTACCAGAATCAGATTTTCATTCAGCATTTTTCAATGTCTAAAAACAAATATATTATGCAAATCATATAGATTTCATACCAATTGCACTATTATGAGGAATTTTGTAAAACAGATATAGATATGTGATATTTTGATACCATAATAACAATTTCCGTAATTGGAATGAAAATAGCCTTCTATATAATACCTAGTATTGCAAGTAATTATATATCCATTTAAGTAATTTTTAAACTCATTTTAGATACACAATCGATGAGCCAAATTCAAGGTCAGAAAAAGTCATTTCATTGACATTATAAATGTAATTGATGTGTATAGCGCAGTTTAAGCAAAATTCCTGAATTGCCTTACATACATGTTGTTGAACAGATCATGATTACATCAGATCATGAAAGGAGGTCTCAATTTCTAATGTAAGCAAACTTTACTTTTTCTTCAATGTTGGATGAAAACCAGTTCTTCCACCTCACTTTTAAAAGTGAACTATTCAAAAAGTGGTCTAAAATGGGATCCAGGTTGCCGATTCATTGCAACAAGGAGCAATCAATAACTTTTCTATGCCCTTTCTAAACAAAATCCTCAAAGTATTTCAGATCATTTATTATAAGATCATTTTGGACGGAAACACATGAAAAAAATAACAATATGAACACATACATGTATATGCATCAATGCAGAAAAAATTGAGTTAGAAGTTCATAAAGTCATATTCTCGCTGCATGCGTAGAGTGACATTTAGAATTTCCTTGTCTCCATCCCACTGGGCCTTTCCTGATTTGTGATCTACAGGATGTGGTAAATGTAGTCCCAGTTTGCTGCAAAAATAAAATGTTGAAAATTTTTTAAATAATGAAATGAATATTGTGCAGAGTGATGTATATCATTGATTGTTATTAAATTTCAAAATTAAAAGGTAATTTGTATATTTTTTAGAGCGCATTAAGCATTTTCTCTGAACAAGAGGATACAGTGTATGTTTAATCTGTCACTTATAATTATCAGCTTCATTCAAAAGACCAGGTTGAGATCTATTGTGGAATCATTCTTATTCGTGGGGGTCAATATTCGTGGGTGGCCAAAAATTTTCTGGTTCGTGGGGAAGTTATTTCGTTGATAACAAGTTATATTTCATAATTAACTACGGTATAAATGAATAATAAAATAAATGTTTGTAAATACGTTCGTGGGGATGTAAATTCGTGGGTTAGGGTCACCCACGAAAGCCAAGAACATTTGTCCCCCACGAACAATAATGATTCCACAGTACATGTATTAGTGAAAAGGATCTCCTTTTCAAAATAGATCTACTAGTTGTATGGTCCTATAATTACAATTATAATAATTAGATGAAAGTGAAATTTGATTTTAAGATATTCTAAGACAAATCATACTCTGGGGGGAGGAGTTAAATTTTCATGTTATATAGTAGCCCTTATACCATTTATAGTACAATGTAGATTATTACAGCATCTTAAATCTATGATTAACCTTTATCTGACAATTTATCAACCACTTACTATTTTGGTGTCCTCAGATCTAGAAATTTGGATTTTACGTCTAAAGTGAGATCAGCTCCTTTTGTTCCAGGTAGCTTGATTTTTATCTGCAATGGAAAGTGACCTTATTTTGCATTAATGAAATCTTCATAGAAAACAGGGAGTAAAAAAAATTACATTTTTGTTATATTAAAGATTTATACCCAGAACGGTTGATGTAGACCATGTTCTTTTATTTTAAAGTCTTTTTTAACCAGTGCAAATCCTTAGTAATTTGTAAATTGAGATGGCTTGACAGAGTTCATAGAGGTGTACAGCAGAAAACAGCATATGTATCAAAAATTGACACAAACTTCTCTGCAATAGTTTGGGTTGCAAATTATAATTTTAGAAAAAAAAACAAATTAAACAAACAGGCATCTGTTTTATGATAATGACTAAAACTGGATTATTTTTAATCATGCAACATAAAAAATCATACTGAGAATTCTTTTATTTTCGTTGAGATCAACTTATTGTTATTCAAAAAAAAAAAAAAAACATTTCAATCATAGGTTAAATCTTTGACAGCTACCTTTTCTTACTATATCATTTCAGTACATAAAGAAAAACTTGTAGTTCACATTCATCATTGCAGCCATGCTCAGTCATGAAAATCAATGATGAAAACTGGGTTTTCAAAAAAAAAAATCAGTCTTTAAGAAATAATAATCAAACAAATTTTTATAAAAACATGCTTGGATTTTCTTGCTTTTATTTTATTGCTGGAGGGGGGTGGGTGTTGCCTGGGGTTCTTCCTCTGTGCGTAGGTGAGAAGAAGAGAGTACAGCGTATAACATACCACCATATCTTCACAGCTAGCTGTGGACGGTGTTTTGTTGCCCATCTGTAGAAACATGTCCTCTGAGGAGACTGCTTGTTTAAATACAATGTCATATCTAAAAATAGGGGTACATGTAAGTAGGCTAGGCTTTCTCTGTATTTACTGCAATATATTAGCAATATCAGATATGTGTTATGTTGTAATGTCAATTCCCTTCATAAACATAAAAATTATTACTTGCACATGCATTATTTAGTTATACATGTACATATATATTACTTTTTTGAAAGTGCAAATTAAATCTGTACAAGTTCCTGTTGCCTTTATTTTTTTTTAAAGAATCTGTACTACTAAATAATGCCTGAATTTGCATGAAGTTGGCAAGGGTTATAATGTTTTCCGAATTGAATTGATTGCCACAAAAGTTTACAATTTTTAAAGAGACAATTCTTATAGCAAAATTTGAATGAGACTCAAAGATTAAAAATTTAAACAGTATTGTTATTATTTGAAAGAAGTGACATTTCTTAAGATCTACACGACAGTATACAATGAAGTATTTGTTTTAATATTTGAATTAAAGTAGTAAATTAGTCATGATTTGACAACATCAAGAACTCTATGAATGTATAGTATCCTAATTTATTTGCTATGCATACTCTGGTTGAGGCCTTGGGTCAAATGTTGTGTCAAATTCTGATCCCTCTGGTACCTCATTTTCGTCCCATATATCTTTGGAATTTCCCTTTGATGCAGGTACTATAAATAAATGTAATCATAATGTACTCCATCATTTTGTAATTGAAACCATAGTACAGAAAGGAAATTATTTAACAGTCACATAATCTGTATAAAAAAAAAAAAATCAAACTTTATGTACATATATTATGTGATTTGGTATGCCTTTTCCTTTAAGATATGTCGATCAACAAGGTAAAAATCAAGTAGCATGCATCGTATTATCTTTCAGAATATTTTTCCTTTATTCAGTTAAGAATGTTTAACTTTGATCAAAATGAGCTTAATTTACCAAGTACCTTTCTCAGATTTCTGGTCTGTTTTAGAAGCAGGGCCAATCTGACCTGGTCCCATTTTCCCATATGATGAAGGCTTTGTGATAAATTACAAAGGTACTAGTGAATTACATAAAAATAATAATATAAACTGAACATCTGAAGGAAAAAAAATTATTATCAATCTGATACAAAGGCTGATTACTGGAAACTTTTTACTGAATTATAAAAATGCAATTTTTACAAGTTTGTATCAGCTGTGTCTATACGAGGGGTGATCAAAAAGTTCGCGAACTAATTGAATAAGTTCCAAAAGAGAAATGATATAGGGTTTCGGTGTTGAAAATGTTTCAAAGTAGTCCTCTTTGATTTTAATGCGCATCTGCAACCATTCTGCCCATGCGCGGATCACATGATATAGGTGGTCACATGACATGCTCCTTAGCGTTCTGTCACAGAAGCTTAAAATTTTTTGTGACTCTTATATTTCTTACCACGCAGGTTATTTTTTCCAACAAAAACAGCCCATTTGTCAGAAATGGCCCAATCTCAGCAATAGTATGGGTAGATAATGATATCCTTTTGCAGAATATTAAAGCATGGTGACCATCAAAACCCAAATCCTCTGTCTTTTTAGTGTCGTGTATTTTATGTGGATAAAGTATGGGTGCCTTCACTTTATCATATCTGATTTGTTTAAAGTCTAAAGTAAACGATATTTTAGGTATTTGATAATTATATTATTGTAAAGATATTCATCTATTTTTCTAACTGTAAGTTGGCGATCTTTCATATCAAATTACTTAACCAAGGACACGTCTCTCTCCCAGTTTGCTTTCACTGGGCAACAGAACAAACATAATTTTTAACCATCTCCTTTCCTTCACTTAAACAATCAATCCAATTAATGACAAAACTTCTGGCAAGTCTTTTGTCTTCATAAACCATATACAAATTATTATAAACTTCTACAAAGGAATTTCCAAGATATACGTTTAACTTTATAGCCGATAGTTTCTCAAATACGACTGAGTAAACCATTTTTTGTCACAGGTGATCTACCTTATGACGTCATTTTCACACTGTGACGTCAAAAACACGGGGGAAAATGTTCCATTACATATGCTATTTATAGAACATGTGTATGACTTTCTGTGTGCCAAATTTCATTCTGATCTGTATTGTGGTTTTGTAAATATAGAGATAGTTCGCAAACCTTTTGATCACCCCTCGTATGAAGGAGAGTCATATTTTGGTTAAATCATACTTTTGTAGGAAATTCGGCTGGACTGAGGACATCAGCCTGGATAGCTCAGTGGTTAGAGCACCTGACTAGAAATACAGGGGTCTCAGGTTTGATTCCCAGTCCAGCAATATGTTTGAATTATATATGTATTTATGAATTTTCAATGTATGTTTACTCATTTTTCCTTTCCATACTACAGATGGTGACGTGGCCTACCTTTTTCAGGCAATATATATTATGTATAATTACTGTTAAGTCCTGACAAGTTGAACTTGAGTTGTGTCTTCGAAGTCAAAGACTATTTAAGGAGGGGGGAATGTAGGAAATTCGGCTGGACTGAGGACATCGGCCTGGATAGCTCAGTTGTTAGAGCACCTGACTAGAAATACAAGGGTCCCGGGTTTGATTCCCTGTCCAGCCCTATATTTTCATTATACATGTATATGTATTTTTGAATTTTCAATGTATGTTTACTCATTCTGCCTTTCCATACTACACTTTTATCAATACATCAATTACCCTTTCATCGAGTTCACAGTCAGAATCGCTGTCTTCATCTGGTGGTTTTAGCATCTGTGCCAAAGAGTTGACTTGATCAGCTGTGAACTGCATTTTGCTCATCCAATCCTGTTTTTAAAAAACTAAAATTAAAACATACATTAATAAAAAATCTAGAAATTAAAGTAATTGGTACACAAGGAAAGAATCTAACTTATAGATGTGTGCAAAAAGTGAAGATAATTTTATTTTTTTCTCTATATATATTTCATTGAAAACAACATTCAATGTAAAATCACTGGTATGACAACATTTCTTGATAGATTTTATCACAAATTTCTTGATAATCCAAGAAATTCTGTGTTGGTGATAAAAACAGTAGTTTTTATCTGATCAGCATTGATATTTTAAAAAATCGCAATTTAAGTGCGACATGAATTTTTAAGTTACATACTCACAATGAATTATATATAGTCAACATTGATCTTGAATTTTAGAACTGATGTTAAGTGATGAACTGTCTTTCACTAAACACTAGAAATGTAATGATCTTTTAAAGAAAGATAACTACTAATTTTCTGGTTTAACATGTTTAAGTACTGAGATAAATAATTAAATTGAACAAAAATTGATTATTTGCAATTTTCCTCAAATTGATTTTACAAAATGTCGTTTTCAATGAAATATAAAGAGAAAAAATAAAATTACCTTCACTTTTGGCACACAACTGTACCTACTTTGGTTTCACACAAAGTTACCCAAACTATGAATTGTGGAAATAAGAGCAAAACTATAGATTCTATTTCAGTATTTGTGTTCTCGACAGCTCTGTTTACACAGGTTTCCACATGCAGTTGTTTACTTCCGGTATACCGAACTGTAATAATTAAACCGTTTCCGTTAAAAAGATTTTTTCCGGCTTTTTTTTAATTAAAAAAAGGGTATTTTATTACCCGTAACCGGAAAAATAATACCTTCTGATAGTTCAGAAGCACTGTAGAAAGAAGCAATAATAATCAGTCTAATCGAATCTTCGACGACGTAAACGAAAATGGCTAAAGGAAATCTAAAAAGTATTCCAAAATGAAGTAAACGCTTACGCATGCAAAGACGCTTAAGGTCAGATGACACGTTCCTCAAAAATATATAATTTTTCCTAAGAATTTGTCATTGAAGTATGGGTACTTAAACAAGTTTCCTCACAAAAATTAGGGTACCTTACCAGGCATTTGGCCAAGATACCATAGGGTCATATTTCTTACATAACCCTTATGGGTAATCTTCAAAATGGCCTATAACACAATTTTTGGTGTACTGGTATCCAAAAATAGTTTTAAAACAATGTTGAAATAAGATGAGAATGACAAATATGAATATTATTTATGTCATACCAACAGATACAAACATAAATTTGAGGAACGTGTCGTCTGACCTTAAAATGTGCTAATTTGTCGCAAAATATAAACGCAGGTGCAAAGTAATGAAATATTTTGCAAATGCAAAGTCACTCTTAAACGTTTAGATGTTGTTTACCCAAAATTATATCTTTGTTGTACAAATCGTGATTTTCGCCATAAAAATGTGTGTTTTTATTTTCATGCGCGTGTTCATTGAAATCCAGTTATTAATTTATAGAAAATTATTTTGATAAACAAATGCCAATAAAAAAAAAACGTTCCATGTGAATCTTTTTAATGTCTAGGGAAAAAAAAAACAAAAACCAATAACCTAATATGTATTTTGAAAATCTTCAAACAACACTGAAAATACAAAATGCTACTTTTCAAAGTGTAAAATTTGTGTAAAAACAATATTATAGACACATGAATTATGTGCATAAATCAATAAGAAATAAACCCCCAGGTTCGAATACAATTTAAAATAAGATTTTAACAAAAGAACCAATAACCCAATTTATATTTAAAAATACCTTGAAGATTTCTCGTGGTTATTTATTTACCTGAATTAAGAATATATTTTTTTTCAAAATGTCTTTATGTATTTTCATTATAATCTATTCATCATATTTTGTTCTTCTTTGTCAACACAATTTTTCACGCTTTATCTTACTACTAAATTTACTCCAAGGCATTGATGCAAGATGAATGGATTTCTGGCAAAAGTCCACACACAGTTTAAACCCTTTATGAGTTGTCCCCTGGGGCATAGGCGATGTACGTGAAGATGACAAGACGGGTTTTCTCATCTGCAAGCAAAAACATTTGTAAATACAATCGTTAATACACGCACGGAAAAGCACAAGCAAAATCTCAAAACTCTGAAAATGAAAGTTCCTGTCATTGGAATCGATCTTGGAACAACTTATTCATGTGTGGGAGTTTTCCAGCATGGTAAGGTCGAAATAATTGCTAACGACCAAGGAAATAGGACGACACCAAGTTACGTTGCTTTTACAGAAACCGAACGAATGATTGGCGATTCCGCCAAAAACCAAGTTGCAATGAATCCGAAAAATACCATTTTTGACGCCAAAAGACTCATTGGAAGGAAGTTTGACGAGCCTTCTGTGCAGAGTGACATGAAACATTGGCCATTTAAGGTTATTAACAAACAAGGAAAACCTATGATACAAGTGGAATACAAAAATGAAATGAAAACATTTAGTCCCGAGGAGATTAGTTCAATGGTACTGACCAAAATGCGCGAGACAGCGGAAGCGTTTCTAGGAGAAAAAGTTTCCCAGGCGGTAATTACAGTTCCAGCATACTTCAACGACTCTCAGCGCCAAGCAACGAAAGATGCAGGCATCATCGCAGGATTAGACGTCTTAAGAATAATAAATGAGCCTACAGCTGCTGCCTTAGCCTACGGTTTAGACAAAAATTTATCCGGCGAAAAGAACGTCCTAATCTATGACTTAGGCGGGGGTACTTTCGATGTATCCATTCTTACAATTGATGAGGGGTCTATATTTGAGGTTCAGTCGACAGCGGGCGACACTCATCTTGGAGGTGAAGATTTTGACAACAGAATGGTGGATCATTTTGTCAAGGAATTTAAAAGGAAACACCAAAGGAATATTACATCGAACAATAGAGCTCTCCGAAGACTAAGAACTGCATGTGAAAGAGCCAAAAGAACTTTGTCCAGTAGTACGGAAGCTAGTATAGAAATAGATTCCCTCTGCGACGGAGTAGATTTCTATACCAAAATAACTCGAGCAAGATTCGAGGAGCTGTGCTCCGACTTATTCAAGAGCACAATGGAACCTGTCGAAAGAGCATTAAAGGATGCAAAATTAGACAAGTCTAAAATCCATGACATAGTTCTGGTTGGCGGATCAACAAGAATACCAAAAATTCAAAAGCTGTTAACAGATTTTATGGGAGGAAAAGAACTAAATCGTTCTATCAATCCGGACGAGGCGGTGGCGTACGGAGCTGCAGTTCAGGCTGCTGTTTTGTCAGGCGATTCGAGTGATGCTATCAAAGACGTGCTTCTGATTGATGTAGCACCGCTGTCCCTTGGAATAGAGACCGCTGGAGGCATAATGACGAACCTCATTGAAAGAAATAGCCGAATTCCGTGCAAGACAAGCAAAACATTCACGACATACTCAGATAATCAACCAAGCGTCCATATCCAGGTTTTCGAAGGAGAGCGCTCCATGACGAAGGACAATCACAAACTTGGAAACTTCGATCTCAATGGTATTCCACCTGCGCCTAGGGGTATTCCGCAGATCGATGTTGAATTTGATCTAGATGCCAACTGCATTTTGAATGTTTCTGCAGTTGACAAAAGTACTGGTAAAACGAATAAGGTGACCATTACAAACGACAAAGGTCGACTTAGCAAGGCTGAAATTGACAAGATGGTGTCAGACGCAGAAAAATACCGCGAAGAGGACGAAAACCAGAAAGAACGAGTACAAAGCAAGAACCAACTGGAAAACTACGTATACAGTGTACGTAATGCAGTGGAAGAGGAAAACGAAAAACTCCAGCCCTCGGAAAAAACGGAAGCGTTGAATGCGTGCGAGGAGGCTCTAAAATGGCTGGATCTAAACGCCAATGCTGAAAAGTCAGAATTCGAAGGTAAACTGAAAATGATGCAGGATACATGTAGTCCTATAATGACGAAACTCCATGTCGGTCAGAAAGGAGAAGGTGCTGCGGGCGGACCAAAAGTAGAGGAGGTAGATTAATGACGTGTAAGATGGTTTGATTGCCAGACAAACTTTTAATGAAAAAAGGCAAAGACCTGAAATTTATTTAATAGCCTGTGCATTTATACGTTATCTATAATACAATCGGGTGTGTACATAAAATATATATGTTTTTGTACTACTTCATGTAAACCGAACAACAATTATAATAAACTGTCAAATGAAAAATAAATTTGTTACTTTTTCTGTTTTAATTCACATCATTAGATTGTATTCTATACAAATGTGGAGTTCAAAAATCTTTGGACAGTGTTATACAATTCTGACACCTCTCTATGTCACGAGCCAAGTTATTTAATTGGTTTTATCACATTTATTGTTCAGATTTTACTTTTGCTTATATTTCCATGAAAACCCTTATCCATTAAATTGTGACTGATTAATTATTACATTTTATTATTTTTTTTTCCCCAAACATTTTTTTCTTGATATGTGACGTAATCAAGAGACATTTCTCGGAAGAGTATTTTATTGTTTAATGCTCTAATATTTTCAACATATTATTAGGTCTTTCCACCTTTCTGTGGAAAGACCTATTGAAATTGTTAGGTCTTTCCACCTTTCCGTGGAAAGACCTATTGGTATTCTTCTGTTTCTTATTCTTCTTATTTTTCCGCCGTGTGATTTTGAGTTTCAAGATATATCAAAGAGATTTATAGTTCATAAGAATGTACTCCATAAAATATTTTTGCAGTTGACCCTGCGTAAATGAACCTTCAGCTTTTCCGAAGTTATTGCCCCTTTTGCAAGAAATGCTTGTTATCGCTACTCCTCAGAAACCATCAACCGTAGAGGTATGAAACCTTCACCAAAGTCTTTGACTAATTAATGGGACTCTTCAATCTATTCATTGCAAAAGCATTCGGTGACCCCTTCAATGAGTAATTGCCCCTGAAACTTTTTGAATTTAACAAATAATTTAATTTTTTTAAAACGACAAGTCGTAGAGACATGGGACCAACTGCATAAGATTCACTGACCTTTGACCTTAAAATTCATATAAAGGTCAAAGGTCAAGGTCATTCCAAAAATGAGAAATTAAGCATTTTCTATATCTCTATTGTCTTTTAACATATACTTAATGCCTATGCACCATTAATATGTACTTTTAAAACTGTTTCACAGATTTCATTCTTGTCCCCTAACATGAACACATTTAAAAGTTATTGCCCCTTGTGCGAAAAACCTTGTTATCGCTACTCCTCCGAAACCGTAGACAGTAGAGCCACCAAATCTTTACTAATGTCTTTAGGGTCTTTAGGCCTAACTTCACTGTGCAAGTGAGAAAGGATCTGATGACCCCTTATTTGAGTTATTGCCCTTTAACTTCTTTGTACATACTATTAAACCTTATAACTTAAAAACTATAAGTCATAGAAGCATGAGGTCATTTGCATTGTGACCCTTGACCTTTGACCTTGAATATTTTTTCAAGGTCAAAGGTCAAGGTTATTCTTTTTTTTTTTTTTATTTTTTCTATGTTTTAAGACAGTTTTGGTTTCTTTTTCATGGAATTTAATTTTTTGGAGTCAGATATAAAACATATTTGAAATTCAAAGAAGGTGGAAAGACCTCTTATTGTTCTGTGAATAATAAGTCTCCTAGTTCTGTTTATTATTATTATTTTTCCGCCAAACGTGTTTTTGCGTTTCAAGATTTATCGAAAAGATTTATAGACCATAAGAATGTACTTTGTAAATGATTTTCGCAGTTGACCCTGCGTATATGAACTTTGACTCTTAAAGGAGTTATTGCCCCTTTTGCAATAAATGCTTGTTATCGCTACTCCTCTGAAACCGTAAACCGCAGCGATTCCAAACCTTTATTAATGTCTGTGACTACTTGAAAGAATCTTCAGATCTATTCATTGCGAAAGGATTCGTAGAACCCTACTATGAGTTATTGCCCCTGAAAATTTTTGAATTTTACAAATAATGAAAAAATTTTAAAACCAGAAGTCGTAGAGACATGGGACCAACTGCATAAGATTCATCGACCTTTTGCCATAAAATTCATGCAAAGGTCAAGGTCATTCCAAAAATGAGAAATTTAGGTCTTTTTATATCTCTTTTGTTTTTCAACATATACTTAAAGTCTTTGCAACATTAATATGTCCTCTTAAAACTATTTGAAAGATTTCATTCTTGTCCCCTAACATTAACTCTTTTAAAAGTTATTGCCCCTTACGAAAGAAATGCTTGTTATCGCTACTCCTCCGAAACCATAAACCGCAGAGTTTTGAAACCTTTACCAATGTCTGCGACTACTTGAGAGGACCTTCGGATCTATTCATTGCGAAAGGATTCATAGACCCCTTCTATGAATTATTGCCCCTGAAATTTTTGAATTTTACAAATAATGAAAAATTTTCAAAGTCACTCTTAAAACTGTTTCAAAGATTTTCTTCTTGTCCCCTAACATTAACCCTTTTAAAAGTTATTGCCCCTTGTGCGAAAAACCTTGTTATCACTACTCCTTCAAAACTGTAGACCGTAGACACACCAAACGTTCACTGATGTCTTAAGGGTCTTTAGGCCTAACTTCACTGTATAAGTGCAAAAGGATCTGATGACCCTTTATATGAGTTATTGCCCTTTAACTTCTTTGTACTTACTATTAAACCTTATAACTAGAAAACTATAAGTTGTAGAAGCATGCAGTAAACTGCATTGTGACCCTTGATCTTTGACCTTGAATATTTTCTCAAGGTCAAGGTCATTCCTTTTTTTTTTTTTATTTTCATTTTTTCTATGCTTTAAGACAATTTTGGTTTCTTTTTCATGGAATTTAATTTTAAGGAGTCAGATATAAAACAAATTTAAAATTCAAAGAAGGTGGAAAGACCTCTTATTGTTCTGTGAACAATAAGTCTACTAGTTTTTATTCTGATGATTTTAAATTATTCTGAATGCTATAAACGCAAAGGTTAAGCAGCTGGAATCTAGTCTAGGAATGCGAAGAATACAAAATAATGCTACTTTTTTTGTCCACATTCAGACAATAATCGGCTCAACTTGTCACTTCAGCATTTCATTTCGTGTCGCAAGCCAAATTAATATTTATACTAATCGGATGAAATTTGAAAGAAATATCCATCGGTAATTCAAAATCAATACACCAAAAATCTCAAAGTAAGAAAAAATCGGTACTGCAAGTCTGCAACGATATGGTGCCGAGATGGAGAGGAAGGAATGTCGGCTGTTTCGAAGTGACACTGCGTACCTTTTGTACCTTCATCAACAGAAGATTCAACCCAATAAAGAAGGTAAGAAAGTTTTATTTAAGATTATTCATATTAAATACTTTAATAATTTGAATAAATTACATTTCTACTTCACTTCCATTTCGTACAGCACTAACTCACTCAAAAACGAGGGGATAATGAACAATTTAATCTGCTTCGATTCCGTTACTGGTGTTAAGAATAAAAATGTGGTAGAATTTGGAATTCGAAGTCATGTTTAATGATTTTGTGTTTGTTTGAAATTTGAGAACTTAAGAAAAAGTCAGAGAAAGAGAGAAGGATCCAACTTTATGAGGAGAATTGTCGTAGAAATGGAGTTTTCCGTCTTTCTCGATTTAGTCGTCAGATTGGAACTTCCGATGTTGATATGTCTAATGCATGCCTTAACAATGTGGAGCTTTTAACCATACTCAACACAATCAAGGTATTTTTCATTGTCAAAAAGGGTAAGATTATAAGTTATGATATCAAAAGATAAAAATAACTGTACATTAAACTTTCAATTGTAACCTTCAATTGCCGATCAATTTGAAAGTAACATGCAGCTGTATACTTAGCAAATAGTTTGAAAGTAATTACTTTGCCAAAGAATATCTTTAGTAATGCAGTCATTATACTCAAGTAAATTTAGTAATTTATTTTTATTTTTAAGTGTCTGATGCTACGGAATTATACTTATGTTAATTTCAGTTTGACCACACAGTAAGACACTTGGACCTGTCGGGATCAATAATGTGTGCCCAGTCCTACAAACATCTCTGTAAATTTCTAAGAAATAATTGCTCTTTATTAATCCTGGTAAGTCATTTTATCAAATCATGAAATACTGTGTCATTAAATAACACACATTTTAAAAAGTGAGCCATTTTTCAAAATCTTGAAAATATGTTATTAGATAACAAATACTTTGATATGGTAATTTTCCGGCAACAGTGTATGCTGCAAACATACGCATTTATCACCATGAATACTGAAAGAATGCAGAATGCTTTATATGGGTCAGAGAGAGAGGGGGGGGGGGCTTTATGGCATTTTGTGATCATTGTATTCCACCATTTTCCCTCTGCAAAGTTTATTTTGTATATTTAAATAAAAAAAAAATCAGCTGCTTCGTACGAGCTAGTTATAACATACATGTATGCGTGTTTAAAACACCAATTTATTCTTGTAATGATCATGCAATGAAAACTGAAGATAAAATACACCAATTACATGCATAAAAGTATAAAAAATTAAGCGACATAAAACTGTTGGGTGACAATACATAAAGTAAGACTTTTATTTTACAGAAACTCCAAAATTGTTTCATTCAAGGAGAAATATTTCATGCTGTCACAGCTAGTCTACGAAGCTCCAAAGTTGAGTTTTTGGATTTAGGAAGTATGTATAAAGCATACTAAAGTGGGATTGGAGTTAAACATTAATCTTTGTTATTTATTTTTGCCAGTGTCAAATAATTTAATGTTATTTCCAAGCAATTACTATGGACTAATGGACTATATTATTGCATTAGAATGCATGGTTTTCTTTCTCTTTAGATAATGGCGTAAATGACAACGATTGTGAAACATTGTCCATATTACTGGTGAGCTCTCTTTAATACACTTTTTTTTTTAAAATTGAACCTAAGGTCTTTAGTCGTATAGTAATGAGGTCTTTGAGATGTCCGTCGCTATAAGTTCTTCTTCGGGTAAAGTTTTTGTAAATAGAGAGATATAGGATTAAAATGTGCCCGATATATTAAAAAGTAGAATATATTGCTTGATAAGATCTAAAACATTCCAATTTTAATAATTACCAAAAATCATTATAAATTATCATTTTTAAAAAATGTTGAACATTTTAAAAACCAACATGGTGACTGCATCTTTTAACATACATCAGCTTTTTTTTTTAGAATTCCTCAGTAAAACGTTAACAACTTTTTTTCAATTTCAGGCCATGAATACATTAAAAGAACTTTATTTAAACCATAACAGATTAGAAACAAGAAATTTTAGACAAGTAGGAATTTCATTAGGTGAGTAAGATCACTTGAACAAAACAAAACCTTAAGTTAAAAAAAAGTAATTTCCAAAAAGTAGTGTTCTTTTGTTTTTTCTAATCTAAAATTCAAAACATTTAAAGACGCAGCTTTTATACCCAAGTAAGATGGTTCTGATAACTAATTATAAAAGATTTTATTCAAAATATCATAACATTATATAGTCTCAATATAACTCAGTGTTACACCACTAGTTTACCTTTACTTGTGCGTTTGTCTTGTTTTTGTGTTCTCAAAGCGCTATTCTTAACAGCGCAAAGTCGACTGGAAATTTTGGATTTGTCATGGAATCGTATCCGCTTAACAGGGGCCATAGAAATAGCCAGAGGTATCTCGGTAAGATTTTTGGATATAACATTGTGAAAAATCGGATATACTTTGGACTTACCCTTTTTATTTCAATATTCATTATTTTTCAACCTCTTTACAGCGAAATACAAACTTGCGAAGTCTAAATATGTCATGGAATGGTTTTGGGTTTGAAGGATGCGTCGCACTTTCGGAAATGTTAGAAGCAAACAACGTTTTGACAGAGCTTAACCTTATGAACAATAGGATTCATCCGCCTGCACTTATTGCACTCATTCGAGGATTATCAAGAAATAGTGTCCTTAAAATACTGAACGTATGCACATAAGTTTTCAATTTTTTCCCCAGAATTTTGTGTCAAAATTTTTCTGTCTGTGTTTAAATTGATACGCATTCTTTACATGTACAGTTATAAAAATATGAGAGAGTTACACTGTGCCCTTACATTAAATTATATGATATCCAATGTTGTCCAAATGATTTCATTTGATAAATCGTGTTGGTATCGCTGTGAAAGTTATTGTTTAAGTAAAACTGAACAACCTTTTGAAAAAATGAAACCTCAGCTCACTATGAATGCATACTTAAATTTTCTATACTTTTTCTATAAGTTGAGCATGAATCCGATTCCAGTATCGTATACGTGTTTCCTTTTGGGTAACATCCTAAAGACTTCATCTATCCAGGAATTGATTTTAAAGGTACGATAAAAAATGATTATTTTGCTTAATTTTTATAAATATGTACGCATATTATAATTTATTCTATGCTTTTTTTAACTCAAGTAGATAATGTTTTGGTAAGGCAAAAAAAAAAATTAATTTCTTGGTTCTCAGGCCCTCCCTCATCTCTTCCAAGGGTGTCTCATTGACCATTTTTATTGCTAAATCAATAAAATAATAAAGTGCCACGCCACAGCATGATATGCCCGTCAAAAAATTACAATTACAATGTATCTTAAACAGTTAAAAGTGCAGGAAAATCATGTCAACCTTGATTTTAAGATTTCAATGATTTTTACACACCTTAAAAAATTTGTTTATCCATCTCCTGTGGTGTATGCATTAATTATAACAAATATTGCATCATTCATAGATTTCTATACCTTGCCAAATGCCTATCATATTAAACAATATCAAATTACACAACTTAATCAATACCTAATTAATTTTGGAAATAAAAGGCTGGCCATCAAATATAAACTGACCAACAGTTCCTCTGTCTAATTCCCATAAGACCATGCTCTGAAGAAATGAAAGAGACATGCAGCTAGCCTTCCTACATTGAACACATTAATCAATCTTTAACTGGATGCTTGTCTACTCATTACTCCCAAAAGATTATTGGATCTGCACTATCTACCATAAAACATTTTTAAAACATACAAAACATGAATGATTTTTTTTTTTTAGATTTAATGTCAAACAGTTAATTGTTAATATGCAATTCATATGGACATGCAGATTCCACCCCCTACCCCCATAAAATTAATTTTTAAGTTCATAATATTATGTAATATCAAAATAGTTTAATATGCAATATCAAATTAGTTTTAATTCTTCTCATCAAATTCATTTTAAAACTTCGGCTAGCCAACTGAAGCTATTTTTAATCCAACATGCTTACCTATTTGGCCCAATACTCAAGGGATATAGATAGCACCGATGCTCTTAAGGCCGGTTTACACTATGCATCTTGACACATGCATCTAAACTCATGCTTCAATTTTGCCTCATGCATCTTCTTATTTACACTATGTGTCTTGATGCATGCATCTTTAGAATACTCTGTAAAGATGAAAATTAAAAAATAACAATACCTTCAAATTTCATTTCCGGATTTATTTTAGCTGAACAAATCATTCTTAATTTCCTTTTTATGATAATTCTTGGAAGATATAATTTATATTTATTCCAAAAGAAAAACTCCTCTACATTATAATAATCAAATAAGTTTTTCTAATTGTAGTTTTAATCAGTATTCTCTGTTTTTTGTGTATCTTGGGAAGCTATTTTTGAAACTATATGAAAAAAATAAGGCTCATGATTCAATATCAACTCTGACCTTTCTTTTCATTGGTCAGTTCCATGCATCTTGAAGCACGGAATAGAACAAGTTCTATTCCATCGTTCAAGATGCAACACCCATTTAATTTGAGACAAGGGGCTATTACACTGTGAATCTTGACATATGCATCCAAGATGCATGTGTCAAGATGCATAGTGTAAACCGGCCTTTACAGCTACTCCTCACACTAAACTCATTAATTTCTCTCTCTAATTTGACATGCAATTTTCTGTTATCAAAAATTTTCTTGACCAATGCTTGATAATTAGACTCATGGGAGTGGTGGAATTTCTCTAACATACATTATATTTGTTATAGATTGCTCTCAAGTATATGCTAAAAACAATAAGTATTTTCTTGATTTAACATTTTTCTAATAAGGTTAGTGCAATAGTTTTACATTTTTTAAATGTGTAAATGAATAGAAAAAAAGACATTTTTTTTTTAAAATTCCCATAAATTAAAGATCACAGTGACCTTGAAATAGGTCGCGACACACCTTCTACATAAGATGCATAAACTGGCCAAGTTTGATGATCCTAAGTCTAATAGTTTTCTAGTTATGGACCAGACAGGATTTTTCCATATTTGGCTATAACTTTTTATTTATAGGTCAGAGCGACCTACTTTTTGTGCGCGACACACCTTCTACCCAAGATGTATCAGCTGACAAAGTTTGATAATTCTAGGCCTTATAGTATTAAAGTTATGAGCCGGACACGAGAAAAGCTAACAGACAGACATGAAGCCTATAACATAATACGTCCCGTCTTAAGACGGGCGTATAAAAACAACAAATCACCTCCCTTATCATTTTCTGAGGTTTTGAACAATATAAATAGCTGCCTCCTCATGTTTTGGGGGCAATAAAAAGTAAAATAAAATGCCCCCCTCCCTCATCATATTTCTTGAAAAAAGGCCCGAGAACCAAGGAATTAATTTTGCATGGCCTAACGACCAGTGATAATGACAGAAAAATAAAATTATATCTTTGCAGAGATATGTTTCAATTTCAGAGAATAGTTGTAAATAACGATTTTCTGGACATTGTAAAAAACATCCAGAGGACGAGACATGTTCACGTGGAATACGACAGGTGTCTCCCCGTCCCCTCCTTAAATCAGCAAACTTTGTCTGAGGAGGTCAGGGCGCCCTGGCTCTTCAACCTTGACCCACTTAACCTTCTGTTCATGTTGAAGGAGAAGAACAGGGCCCAGGACTTCTTTAACAAGATCAACAGGGACGGGGATGATGTTCTGTCTTACCAGGAGTTCAGAGAGCTCTTCAAGGTAAGTCCTGTACAGTCAACAACTATACAGTTACTACATGTAGGCAACCTCATTAGTAAACATGTATGTGAGAAATGATAGAAACGTTAACTATAGACAAAATTCAAGTGATGCTACATATATAAACCATTTATGCTTAATTAAATGAACACCACATTAAAGAGTATTTCTTCAAAAAATGTTGTAACTTGATGCAATAGAGAATACACTTTAATTTGGCTAGTGCATATACTGTAAATCACTATTTATTTGCGAGAACTTTTTTTGCGTAATTAAGCGAGACAATTCATATGCTCGCGAAAATTTCATTATTTCATTCTCGCGGATAATAGTATTCCTTTAAATAGATTAGATAGAGCAATGACTATAATTCGTAAAAATTTTGTCTCGCTAAAAAATTAGGTGTCGCGAAAATTAAGTGATTAACAGTAATTTCTTGCGTGAAGAAAGTAAAATATGAATCTGAGATCAGGTTGCCTTGACAATTTTTTGGAATTTATTCTGTACTATTTGTGTTCAACTTATAATGCAAATGATAAAAAACTTGAAAGCAAATATTTCCTTTCTAGAAAGCCGGTATTCCAGTCTCTCAGTTGGTTCTGGATAAAATAATAGAATTCTTGGATAAAAATAAAGATGGAAACATTGATTTAAGGTTAGACCAATTCATATTAATTACATTAACAATGTTCTAAATATATTTGATTATAAAATATTCACATTAATATAATATTCCATATATATATCCATCCTTTCTAGTGAGTTTTTGGATGGAGATAAAAGAATTAAGAAAATTGCAAGAGGACAGGCAAAAGAAACTGCAAGAAGAGAAAGCTACACTAAATATTCTCGTTCCTTCAGAAAAGCAAAGATTGACCCACAAACCTATCGTCTCGATATTGAAAACAGCCAATAAAAAAAAACAGAATCAAAGTAAGATAATCTTTTTTTATTTTAAATAAAATCATGACTTTGTTTACTTTCATTCATGCCAAGAGGAGGTATATAGGACAAATTACAAAAACAAGCTGAAGAATTACATTTGTACTACGTTTTTTTTGTTTGACTAATAACAAAACGATTTAATTTCAAATATAGCAGCCATGCATAAAAGAAATGCTTTTGTTTTATTGATTCTAGATACATGTATACATGTATGTCTGCACATATTTCAGATTCTTGTGGTCAATTCCTTTGAAACTACATATTCCATTCCAGACCAGTGGTCTCTAGCTTTTATTCTAAGTTCAGTTTCACCAAAAATCAACGACTCTTCTATTTCCACAATGCCCCTACCTCTGAAATCTTTCAAAGGTATACTTAATTTTAGGAGGGGTGTACAAGTATCTACAAAGTCTGGATCTTCCTCTTCTGAAACATAAACAATGCATTCCAAGGATGTTTGCTTCGTGTCCAAAATCTGAAAATTCTGAGATTTAGTGCAGCCTGGCTCTATGGCATCTCCTATGGTAACAAATTTGAAAAAGACATCTTTGCAGCGTTCTTCGCCATTAATGAGGACTCTTTTGTTTCTTGGATGTTGGAGTGGATCAAACGGAGGCCATGACTGTATGCCGTAGGTATAGGGTGCACAACGGACGGAGATCGGTTCGGGAAGGTGACCATAATATACCGCACCCCTCAGGACAATAAGCCCCGACTCCAGGGGAGCAATGACGGTCTTAGATGGAAACTGTTCTCGTATTTTTTCTCTTACAATTTCACATTCAGAAAAACCACCCACCAAAAGAATGTACGGGATTTCTGATTCAATATGACTGAAAACATCCTTCATTTTCTTTATAATTTCTTCAACAATGGGCTCAAAGAGCTCATTTAATACATTTTTCATGAACGTCAACTTATTTTTCTTAACTGTAATAGAAGAGGAATAAGTGGAAGCAGCAACTGCTTCCTCTAAAGTCTTATAATTTGTCTCATCACTAGTACATTCACTGAGAGATAAAGGTACGGTGATTGTCAAAGACTTTTTCTGAACATTTACGTTTTTCTTTTTGCTTTCAATCTCCTCTAATAGATCCAAGTAATCATCCATTTCTGTTTTCCTGAGCTTCTCCATTGCTTTGGGAGTGGCAATGGTTGTAATGCATTTAAGAAAATTTTCATTGACATTTTTCCCTCCCCAGGGACCCCCGGATGCTCTCCATAGCTCTCTTAGTTTACCATTCTCTGTTCTTTTGTGGACTGTTAAATCAGCAGTTCCCCCTTAAATAATCCATTTTAATACATGTACTTCAAATTAAAAATAGAATTGTTCAAATGAAGTAATTTATTCCATACAGTCAGATAGATGGAAAACAATGCTACTATGTGCGTACAAGAGTGTGCTTTATGAGTTACAATTTCTCTCGTCTCTTTTTCTCGATTGGTTTTGGTAGACTTAATTCAAATACTGTTATTTTATTTGAAATAAGAAGCATTTTTTCTTTAGATAAGTCATTACCTCCTAAATCAGCTACCATGTATTGGGTGCCTGGCTTTACAAGTTGCTTTTGGCCAACATCTTCAATGTGGAAGGGAAGTGTTTGGCAGAATACAGAAGCCGCCTCTGGCTCAAGTGCTATAAGCAGCATTTCTTCATCTATTCCCGCCTTTTAAAAGAAAAATAGATAGTTAGATTTATAAAATTCTTTGTTGCATTACAATTAATTTAATCAGCGTTAATATATGCACTTGACCTCAGAACAGCCATTTTAATTTAATTGATTTACTGGATTGTAAAACATAGTTTTACCGAAACATAAGTCAAAGCTTAATGTAAATTCTATATGTTAAACTTGTACAAAGTAATATATACCTCCTTTGCTGCCTTTCGCATAAACAATTTGGCTCTTTCGTCCCAAATTGCAGGAACAGTCAAAACGTACAAAATATCTGTTTCCTTGGCATCGGTGATAGCGTTCTTTAATTGTTCGAACAAGTTGTTTTTTAGTTCCCGGATGGCATGAGCAAAGATAATTAATGCCTGCATAGGTTTCCCTCTAATGTCCTCAATGATTGTACCTTCAGTCACGTTCTAAAAGAACAGTATGTCAGAGTTATTTACAGTTTGAAAATTACTTCCAATTTTAATATATTGTAGATGTATCCATAAAGCACGACCCTCATAATGATGAACTGAGAAAAAATATGCAATTTCCACCGTTTCAAACAATTTATAATCCGTCGGAATTCTCATGAGTTCCAAATTGCTCCCGATATTTATTATATTAGAAGACCTACTTTTTTTTATTCATATGCAACAGGATTTATTCAGAAACTATTATGTAAGAAAAAAAAAATACTTGCAATGACCTCTACATTTAGATGTATCTTCGACGTATTATCAATAAACATAATGGTTACTTCCATTCTTATGCCCACTCGATATATACCAGTAAACATTAAATAAAGATACCACAAATTTGAATACATCTATTTCATATTGGGATATTTTACCAGAAAAAGACTCTTTATTGGTAACGTAGAAAAACTCCAGCTGGCTTCAACATTTAAAGTGTCAACATCCATTACTTATGTAGCATTATCATCTGTAGCTTTATACCTTTATTACCTTCTAATAAGGGTTAATGTCTCCAAGGTGATTGGATACTCAAGAGCATGTACAAACAATTTCAAAACCGGGCAAGCTATTGACAAACACCCTGATTAAAGAAGAAAATCAAAAATCTCGCTTAGAGTCATTTTTGAAAATTTTCTATGGCCTATATAATGACCATCTTTAGAAAATACATCTATCAATTAGTAAAACATTTTATAAACCAATAGTATGACCAATTTCACACTGATTTGTCTCGGAATTTAGGTTTTGCCCGATTATCACAACGAGCATACGGCTGATGTGACCGGTTGACAGGAATTGGTTACACTCCATGTCACCTAATCTCTCCTCTGTTGTATGTTTATGAGAGTGAGGTTGGGTGGGGATGGGGGTGCTCTGCTCTCGGTTTGTGCTGTTAAAATAGATTCTGTTCGCTATATACCCATATTTCATTATAACAAAATTAAATGAGTATACATATAATTACGGTATGTTCATTTTTTGTCACCTCAATGTCAGTTTCGAGTACCTACTTTAGTGTTGTGAAGCTTCATTTTAAAGTTCTGAAAATAATAGTACTCCTTGTATGTTGGTTTTCCTGGATCTGGTTTTTCCTCGACAAGTTCACCATAGGCTTTCTCTGCATTGTATCCGAATGAGTTAAAGGTTTGGTCTGGGTTTAACAGAACAACTGTAGGGGCTTTTGGAGACACTAATTTACTTCCCCTCCATCTATTTGTATGAACTTTTTCCCAATCAGCTGTTGAAGAGAAGGCATACCCCGAATATGTCGTTCCAAAGTCAATAGCTGCAACGAACAAGTGCGGGGGTTTTGACATGGAGCTTATCTTTTGATACGAGGAAGAAGCCATGTTATGACACCTGAAAAATTAAATAAAGTTCAATCTACTTTCGTTTTAATTTGTAGGTAATTTTAAGTATCTAATAATCAATTAATTTACATTTAAATGTTTAGTATGTCAAAAGAAAAAAGTTTACAATTGTAAAATTAATAATGGAGTTTAGATTCTAACAATAAAACATTGTTATCTTTAACTTATCATCATTCATCAATATATGTTTATACCTAAATGTCTCCATTAACTAAATAAGTGTAATACTGACATTCCATTACTGTAGTGTATAAGAATAAAATGAATTCATGAATTAACTACATGACCTACCTTTTTCAAAAAGAAAATTATATCCTTTGATTTTTCACTGTTGGTAGTCAACTTTCCGTCCGTGATTAAAGAACGACAACTCGTCTAGAATGCAGTCAAATATCAAATTGGTCTTTATAATCAAATGATTTTTATTGTACATTCAAAATTTCTGAAAATTATTTTATTGCAGCTAAAAATTCTTCGAATGAAGTCCATTCCAAATGCATGCACTGACGTGCATGCTCGATAATTATGATATTAAATAGGTACAGCGTTTATGCTACTTTTACGTTCTTATGAAAAGATATATCCTAATCAAATATAAAGATATGGAACATATATAAATTATGTATTTGTGTACAGTGTATATGAGTTGCATGTGAAAAATTATGATTTTAACTTACATTTTATGAACAAGTAGCTTCAGTAAAATATGCTGTTAATCTGGATATTGTGGTTAATTTTCGTCATTAGAATTGAATTTGCAAAATAAATACACGTATTGTTTATAAGAAAAATTGTGAATTTTAAACACGACACGTCTAAACTTAAATTTTCAGTTTAGATTGAGCACTATGAAATCTACAAGTGTGTAAATTTTGTATCAATTGTTGATAGCTTCCAGATTTGGGAAACCATGCATACTTTTAATCATTAAAATAAAAATATATAAAAGATTTTTAAATGACTCCATCTATTCTTCACATCTTCATAATTATCTCCTCTTTTGAAAGGTGTGGACAATCCTTAGAACGCCTGAACCTGAATGCCTTTTATCCTACGATACTCTAGTTTGGTTGACTTAGCCCAGTGTTTCTAGTTAGAAAGATGTAATTGTTAGAGGTAAACAACAGAAACAACAACGACAGATTAAGGAAAAAATTAATTAAGTTCAGTAAATCCAACTAGTGTCTTCGACTCAGATAAACTAAAATGAAGTGCAAATTAATTGTGAACCCCAAAACTCTTTTTAAAAATGAGATAATTTCTAACCATAAAATATCAATGACATTAAAACTTATGGCTTTTCTACACTTTAAACGTTAACTGTTCCTAAAGATAACATAACTACTAGTTTTGTATGTCATGATAGACAATTTCTTGAATAAAAATGAAACTCGGATTTTTCCAATTCTTTCAATCTGTTCAAATATCATTGACACACAAGCAATCTAAAAGTTCTATGTAATAGGTTTTTATTAACAATACTTTTAGTAGTCTTGAGATTAGAAATTTCACCGTTGAACTCTTATAAAACATACTTCTCGCATATACTGCTATATGAAGAAATCGTATGTCAGGGCCTTCATTTAAACTTTTGGACATATTCACAATCTTTATATTAATTTTATTGATATTTTGACGAAATATATCCCAAGGAACTCGAACTATAAAGACACCACAGTCTGCCATTGTTTAATGTCTAAATGCTTTACTGACCATAGTGTTAATGACTAACAACTCAATTCTATTACAAACTTGGTCAATTCATGCCGCTATTACTCTGTCAATTTCCCTTTTTAAGCAGGTTTATCCAGCATATGGTTGTAATGTCACCTAACTGAATTCGTACGCAAGAGCATGATTCATGAAGGGTCACATTCCAAATCTGCATCTCACAAATAACTTTGGAATAATTACCTCGAAAAAATGTCAATACAACTTATTGCTGGGTCGTATTTTGATATGTTTAAGCTTTATTATTCAGTTACATGTTTTATATTTAGTTATTTAAACATTGTATTGCTCATATTAGCTAATTATTAATTATAAGCCGCGTGGGCTTAGAGTGTGTTTGTCCATCCCAAAGAATTATCCAAAAATATAACAATAACTGTTATTGAACATAATTTTAATATAACTTGAATAGTGTTCTGTGGTATTGAATTGGTTATCCACGTTTGTTATTTCTCTTGACTCCTTTCCTTTCATCAACTATTTTTCGCCATTACGAGAAGCAGATTCTGCAACAAAAAAAATCAAGAAAGCTTGTATTAACCTCATCGTCTTTTATTTTGCATAAATCCACATAATATAGTCTTTTAAAACGATTTGTGTATTGTTATAATGGTTAAAGGAAATCCACTGTCCCTTACACAACTCTAAAAATTGAAAATTGACTGAAACATACAACTATTACAAATACAGAAACATATAATGTTCTACATCTTAAAATACAGAAACATCTTTAAACAATTAAAAAAGCAAAATTAAAGAAAAAAAAGAAACTTACGGGATTGAACCCGCTTTTATCCACATTAATGTACTAAAAACGGACCGACTTTAACTTCTATTGGAACGGAAGAACTTCTGAAAAGTTAAAGACATGAACCTTTGTTATAAATGTAAAATTTCCATACAGAGTGAAGATGGATTATTTGCAAAGTATTACTGTGAAGCACGTACTAAAACATTCCCTCTGCTAATAAAATAATCCTGATTATTAATATAAGCATATTTCTTTTTTATAGTTTACTTTTTTCTGAAACTCAAAATTTGAGATAAATAAATCATATCTAACAAACATGTACCTTATTGATCTAATACTAACCTTCTTCTATAAATTGGGAATGCTCTGTCTGTTGCACGGAGCATTATAACATAGGTTTCACCTCTAGATATACTACTGATGCACACAACTGCAATTTTCTCATCTTGTTCGGTTAGAACTAAGTTAAACTTTTCGGCTCCGTTGTTTGAAACACTTTGGATGTCAAATACTATTTCACCATTCCTCCCCCTGTCTTCATCTGAGGCTAAAATCTGTAATGTAGTTGTATTGTTTATTAAACTTGAAATTTGTGATTTTCTTAATTGTTGGGAAGACGAATTCTTCAGATCTCGGAAGACGGACAAGATTCAATGCATATTAACCATTCAGCCATAGCTTAATATTCAACATCTTCGCCAGCCTCTTTTCAAGAGGAGAGGAACGGGTCGTCATCCTTGGCTAACGAAGATGAATATTCAATTCTTTATTTCCCTATGCCATATAGTACATCAACAGTATTCTTTTTCATTAAAGTCTATATAATTTTTTGAAAGTGATAGAACATCAAAAAGTTTTTTTTATCTTTTCTTTCTTCTTTTGACCAAAAAAAATGAAATAAAAAAAAAAACAAGAAGCCCAGGGGCCACACCGCTGACCTGAGCACATTGGTTAGGAAAAAGTAGAAAATGGCTTTTTATTGTTTAAATCCAAAAGTAGTCCCATGACCAATCATGGATTTACCATTTTTTAGAAAATGATTTTTAAAGAATTTTCCTATATTTATCTTTAAAAACTTTGATCGGCCATTTTTGGCCCCGTTCTACCCCTGGGGGTCATGATTTGAACAAATTTGAATCTACACTACTTGAGCATGCTTTCATATAAATATGATGAATTATGGCTTTGTCATTCTTGGGAAGAAGATTTTTAAAGAATTTTCCTACATATTTCTATGTAAAACTTTGGTCGGGCATTTTGGCCCCGCCCTACCCCCGGGGATCATGATTTGAACAAACTTGAATCTACACTACCTGAGCATGCTTCCATATAAATATGATGAATTGTAGCTTTGTCATTCTTAGGAAGAAGATTTTTAAAGAATTTTCCTATATATTTCTATGTAAAACTTTGGTCGGCCATTTTGGCCCCGCCCTACCCCCGGGGGTCAGGATTTGAACAAACTTAAATCTACAATACCTGAGCATGCTTCCATATAAATATGATGAATTATGGCTTTGTCATTCTTGAGAAGATTTTTAAAGAATTTTCCTGTATATTTCTATGTAAAAGTTTGGTCGGGCATTTTGGCCCCGCCCTACCCCCGGGGGTCATGATTTGAACAAACTTGAATCTATTCTACCTGAGGATGTTTCTCAATAAGTTTCATCTTTTCTGGCACAGTGGTTCTTGAGAAGATTTTTAAAATATGCCACCAAATTTTCATTAATTCCCAATTATCTCCCCTTGAATGAGGGCGTGGCCCTTCATTTGAACAAACTTGAATCCCCTTCATCGAAGAATACTTTGTGGCAAGTTTGGTTGAAATTGACCCAGCGGTTCTTGAGAAGAAGTCGAAAATATGAAAAGTTTACAGGTAGACAGACAGACGGACGCCGATCAAAATGTGATCAGAAAAGCTCACTTGAGCTTTCAGCTCAGTTGAGCTAAAAACCTTAATTTCATTATGAAATAATTTATTGATTGTTAATGTTTAGAAGGTAATAACGAAAATTCTATGTTCTTTATCTTGTCAAAAGGACAACCGATAATACTTCGATTAACAGTGTCAACTTTACGTAAGAATATGTCAAATTTTTTTAAACTTTATTTTTCAAGAAAATTTCTTGCATGCCTCTTATATATAATTTCAATATAGCTGTAGTTCCCTTCCTAAAGTGCGTGAATAGTGTTGGACGGCGACGCAATGATTCCAACGATATTTAAAGCAACTTTCTTTACTTGTCTAGATAGCAGATTGGTACTGCTAGAAAACCCATTCCGTGGGTCGAGAATTTAACCTCGGCTTTAGGCAGAAGTAACCATTCTTTACAAATTAATTATTCTGTACTTTTAATATTACTTTTTCTTCACTTTGGACAGGCTATGTTAGTAAAACAAAAAGAAAGAAAGATAGATAGAGAAAAAGTGAAAACCAAACAATGGACTCTTATACTATTAACATACTGGTACCTGTACAAGAAATTGGTTGTTTTTCGTGTAGTTTCCTTCCAATATATTCACAAAATATAACGGTGCTGTGAATATTGGGGGATAGATATTAAATTCACAGCTGTCGTTTGAATAAGGTGAAAATTGAATTTGTACTGTTAATGTGGCTTGTCCTTGCAATGGCGGAGTTCCTTGATCCGTTGCTATGATTTGTATCTATGCAATACAAAATTAGTATGAAATAACCTCTGTAAGTTAAATCAGTTAAATTGAATTGATTATTCAAGTTAATTTTCATTTCAGTAACTTTAACATTAAAATGGTCAAAATACTGCAATATGAAGATAATATTAAGATATGTTTACAATAAATTGATCAAATCCACTTCCCCTGACTGTCCGTTTTAGAGAAATTTGACCAGAGTCTGGATTTATAAAGAAGTAATCATCTACAGGTGCATCTCCTTTCAGACTAAACTTGAATTGGTTGTTTGGTGCCTAAATGAGAAAATGGCTGGATTACCGGTTGCTGGTTTAAATTGGTTGATATTTTCTAAGAGATATTTAAATCATGCAATACTATTGCGATCTAAGGAAAATGTAAAGTCTCTCGTTAATGCTTAAAATTCAGGTTTAGGTACAATTTAGGTACAATAACTATAGCAGAGAACCGTAGAAAAGTCTAGTAGACGGAGAACTTATGTTTGACTGAATCTGATTTCATCTGTCTCTGAATAAAAGCCACATTTACACACCCGTGAGTCACTGTCGGTGGCTGTTACTGTTATAATTTCACTGCCAACTGGGAAATTCTCTAAAATAGTCTTGCCGAATGTAGCAGGATTAAACTTCGGTGCAGCAAGGTTTCTATTCACAGTAATATCCAATGATTCAAAAGCAAATTTCTTAGGAGATCCCCCGTCTTCTGCCAGTAACCATAGCTGTTAAGATAATTGTTCTAGATTATTAATACCAAAAGTGAATAAAAATTTGCCCTTTGTCATTCTTTCAAGAATTCACAGCTACGTATTTCATCCAAAACGTTACAAGAAAAAGCAAAAGATTATTGCATGACTAACTTATAAAATTTACCCTGTATGTAGAAGCTTTGTCAGCCTGAACGGTCTGTCTCAGAGTAACAAGGCCTGTTGATTGATCTACTTGGAAGTACACAGTCGCTGTGCCATCGCCCACCAGGGAGTATCTGATGTCATTGAAGGGACTCTGGAATAAATATATACCAAAATATGAGTCAAATCTTTTGGGATAATCTTTGTTCTGCACTATTGTAACACTATAATCTGTAAAGTCCAAAATCAATTTAAAAACATCAGCGATGTCAAGAAAGAATACATAAACAAGGAAAACAACAAAAACAAATTGAACTAACCACTGTATCTGCATCTGTGGCAGTGACTGTGAAAAGGCTCTGTCCAGCGAGTTGATTCTCATTGATGGAAATGATCGTGGGAATGTTTTGGAAGATAGGGGGATTGGCATTGCGATCCACATCCACCGTGATGGTAATTGAATTAGAGAGAGGATTCAAACCTTGATCTGTGGCAGTAACGGTAATCTGTTTGAAAGACAAGAATTTCAATTGCAATGTCCTTATCTATACTTGAGAAAATCCAATTATCCCTGCCCTGAATGCAACCCTTTCACTAAATAATTTTATACTAGTTTATTCAACAATATCCATCCTCAATAATATATGAATTATGTTATCCCATGCCCATATCCTGAGAGACTACCAGAGATATTTTATTTGAAAGCAAAGAATCATAACACTTTGACTATCTCAAATTTCTTATATTATTACCTGATATATATCACTTCTACATGGGTCATACAGGAGGGACCGTCTCAAAGACAGACTTCCCGTCACAGCATCAATAAGGAAACACTCAATATCCTCTGGTCCAGCAGTCAGGGAATATCTCACAACATTATTTGGTGTCTGTACATGAAACAAAAGTTATACATAATGATGTTATCATTTTTTAAACAACAATCGAGCAACCCTAACAAAACTAAAATTTGTTGAAATGTCCCATAAATTGAACTTTCTCTTTAATTTATAAATTCTAGTTAAGCAAAACTATTTTTTGTTGAAAATTTCTAATCTCCCATACCAATGCGTCAGTGTCATTTGCAGTCACTGCAATAATCTGTTGACCTAGACTCTGTGTTTCTGGGATTCGTGCCACATACGAAAGACGGTTGAAGATTGGACGTTGATAGTTGCTTTTTACTGTCAGGGTTACGACTGTAACATTGGTCTTGCTGGGGCTTCCCTGGTCATAGGCTTCTATTCTTACCTTAAATTAAGTGATTAAAAAACTTGATTGAAATTGAAAAAATAATATACCCTAAAATTTTCAAAAAGTAATTCATTTTCTTTTTTTTAATTGATGATTCATTAAATGTTCTTTGCCCTAATTATAAGTGAAGCTTATTTATTTTATTTTCAAATTCTTAAAAATTTACCCTATGAATTTACCTTAAACTGATCTTGATTAACACCACTTAAGACGTTCCTAACAGTAATCAAACCAGACGTGGGGTCAACCTGGAAATAGGTAGGTGCCAGATCGTCTCCAGTTACTCTGTATCGAACAATACCAAACGGACCCTGATCATTGTCCCTGGCAGTGACCTGTAGAACACTGGCCCCAGTCTGAATATTACCCTCCAAGTCCTTGGAGTATGGGTCGTTGATAAAATAAGGGGTGTGGTCATTTCTGGACACATACACTGTGATGGTGGCTGTTTTAACTCCAGTGGGTGTCAGGGGAGGATATCCTCCATCTTGTAGAGATACAGTTCCCTGAAAAGTATGACAAGTGCATTTATCCATTCAAAATTATTACCACGGAATGACTGACAGTTAATGATCGTTGAAATGACCCGTCTTACTGTGAATGATCTCCTTGTTGAAAGTGTCAAAGGTCTTTGAACTGACAATCTACCATCCTCTGTCAGTCTGAAAAATTGCAGCATGTCGGCATCTCCCGTCAAAGTTGTAATCCTTGTGTTGTATGGCAACTGAAACAGAAGACAAACAGATCAATGCAGAACTTTAACTGTATTCACAAAACTTCTTACAGGTGCTATTTTTGGGTTTTACAAGATAGTGTCACAATGGAAATTAATTCGCTTGAAAATAAATAAAACATAATTCTACCGCAGTATCAGCATCCCTTGTATTCATGTTGGTGATAGTGACTCCCAGATCTTGGATTTCTGTAATGTTTACTGTGTAAGATGTGTTGACCCACTCTGGGGGGTTCAGATTTCTGGAAATGGTGACGCTTACTGTAGATGTGGCAGATAGACTGGGAGTGCCCCCATCTCTAGCCTCAATCAGAATCTAAAATAAAATAAGTTTACTTTTACTTTTTGCAAGAAAACATTGACCCTTTTCCTTTTATGCTTATTCAACATCATTTCATTTTTCCATTTTAATAATAATGATCAAAATAGTTAATTGATGTAAACTGAAAGTGTAAGAGATAACACACTGCAAAGGAAAGAATTTTGGTTTCAACTGAATTAACAACTCTTACTGAAGAGGATTCCACATTGTTATTGAGCAGACTCTGACGAGTTGTGATCAAACCACTGGCAGCGTTAATGCTGAACAAAGTTTGTGCTGTAGCATCACCAATGATAGAGTAGGTCACAACGTTGTGGGGACTCTGAAAAAGAATTTCAAAATTAAATTTTCTTGAAATAATACACAAAAGTATCTTAGAATACACCAGTTCTCTCCTCAGTCCCCAAGCAGGTAAATTTTACCTGTGCATCAGCATCTTTGGCCTTGACTTGTTTGACAGTGATACCACTGACACTGTTGAAGTTAAGAGTAGCTGTGTACGGTGTCCCTTGGAAGATGGGTGGGAATAAGTTTCTGTACACGGTGATCCTTACTGTAGCTTGATCCACAGAAAACTGAGTAGGACTTCCATTGTCACGAGCCCTCACGGAAAACTAAAAGGAAAAAATTTTCAGTTAAGAGAAAAACTGAAGAAATATTTTCATGATTGTTTAACTGTAAGGCAAACATTTCTCCATTAACACTTTAAACAATCTGCTGAATAGAAAATATTTCAAGAATGAAATTCTAAAAATAAAAAAAAATTATCGATAAAAAAAAGCATACAAAAACTAACATACAATATATATCTGCACAAGACAAGGAAATACAAGGAGATGGTCTCGGGTGCGAAGGAGAAGTAAATTTTCCAATTCTTATAAGTTATAACGGCTAGGTATGCCGTATTTTGGTCAGGTAAACGTAGAGTAATTTTGTGTAAAGCCATTTGTATGAAATATTACACAGTTATGGAATCGAGGGAAATTGCAATTTTATCCCAAAGGGAGAAAATATTTTCTTAGATGAGGAAAATAGTCTCTTTAAGGGAAATAGACAGTTTTGTGGTATTAATTTTATATATTGTATATAAATTGAAATTTCAAAATCATCATTAAATTATTAACAAAATATTAGTATATATATTCCTATAAATTGTTTGCATTGATTTGAACTTTGATCTTAGTCAGAGCTGGTCCTTACTTATCGATTAACCAGGGGGGGCAGATGATAGTTTACTTTTGTTGCATAATAATTGGAAGTTTGTCAAACAGTTCTGTGGTAAGTTAGCCGCTATCTTTTATTGTCAGTAAAACACACAATTGTGACAGATGTTTATTTTACAGTAAAACCTTAACATATAAACACTATTCCACTGTACATAGCTTTAAAAAAATGTGTACTTTTTAAGAATACAAACTGTGTACACTGGTGTATCTTGATTGTCAGTATACAAGGGTAGAACAATGGATATAAGGCCCCTGTTGTTTTCAGATCTAATACTGAAGAAGTTCAAGCCAGCCCCATTCAGGTTGGGTGTGGTATCTGTCATCTCATAGTTGATTTCATTATTAGGTCTCTGGAAACAGTTCACATCAAGAATTCTGATAAAAAATAGTCGTTTATCAATAAAAAACATTTTAAGATTTTGTAAAAATTGTGTGCCAAGTCACTTAGATTTATATAAATAATTAGTAAACAAATATTCAAAAAGATTCAAAATATAGTGACCATTCTATGAAAAGTTTTTTTAAACAATATTCACACAATTAATTTATTGTAATCCAAAATTGGAAATTAATTGAAAACTGAATTGTGAAATCAACAAAAAGAAAATATTAAACTGACAAAATTGCGATTGACATTCGTTGAGTTTTTTTTTGATTTAGAAAAGGAAAATGTTATTTATAGAAACATTTAACTAAAAACTTTATTTAGCAATATAAATTGGTTATGGAAAATTTCAGTAAAGGTGGTAAAAACTCCTTTGAAATGACTTACAATTTGATCAGCATCAGTGGCAGTGACAGTAATGACATTTTGTCCCACTTGCTGAGTCTCGTAGATAGAGATGCTATAATCGGTCTGGGTGAACACTGGGGGATTAAGATTTCTTTGGATGTTGATGGTTGCTATGGCGGTGGCCGATCGTGGAGGAGAGCCTCCGTCCTCAGCCACAATGCGACCCTGTCATAAAAAAAATTTCATAATGCTCTTTTAAATCAACGTACAATATCTAAGAAATCTTGGTCATATAGTGCTTGATCCATTTGCATGTGATATTTGATCAGACAGAAACAATGATAAACGTACATATTTTTTTCTTGTGTAACAAAATCTATATATTAATTGGACAGTAAAAAATCAATGATATGATTTAAATGATAGGAGGCTACATCTGATGTGAGGTCTTGGGTAGCGCACGTTTTCCTTGACCTGTGATGTTTCACAGTATGTTGCATCAATGTTGAAGAACTGCTGGAAATCTCCATCTCCTATTAGTTTATATCTTAGTTGTCCATATGGTGATAACTAATTGATACAAAAAAAATTACATGTAAATGCAATATGACAGTATGAGGTCCAACTGCGACTATTAATTTCTGAATGAAGAAACATAGTAAATAAATGCAAAACTGCATATATGGTTTGAGCCGTGAGAGAATCCCGGATTTGGCTGCATTGCAGATGTAAAATGACCTGCAGGGCGTATTTCTCGTTAAATTATTCTACATTAGACACTGATAACATTTTGAAATTCATTAATTTCATTTTGTATATTTGTGTTTTTATATAAATTGGAAAATAGTTTTGTTATCACTGATCAATGGCTTTCAAATTAAAATTCTATTTGTTTTCTTCCATTTGAAACAAATTATAGTTTTAATATTCTCTGTACATTGAAAAACCTTTTATAAAGCTTATAACAATTATAGTTATATGGCAATATCATAAGAAATCTTACATTTGAATCTCCATCTGTGGCCGTAACTGTTAGAACTCCAGTACTAATAGGTCTTGTTTCTGGAATAGTAGTTGTAAAAGGCCCAGCAAAAATAGGAGCATTGTCATTCCTTGTAATTGTGATTGTAACAGGAGCAGACACTGCTGAAGATTTTGGTGGAATTCCATTGTCTCTCAGACGAACTTGAAGCTAAACAATATAAATATTGGTGACTTTATTGTGCATTCTTAGGACAGATGTACCATGAAATACCATGTTACGTAATGTAAATTTCCCCCATGTGTAAATCACCAGTTTTAAGGTTCAAAGCCCTGATGTAGACAATGACTTTAATGTTAATATCATTAAGAGAAAGGTAAATAATTCAAAAACTGTTTACAACATTCAAATCTGTCTAAAAATGATACTTCAGCATATTTCAGCATCTGACTTGTAAAACTGCCCATTTAACTAGATCATACTTACGGTGAAGATTTGTGTACTAGTCTCAGTGAGTGGTCTGGACACAGTCAATAGTCCAGTGGCTGGGTTCAAGTAGAAGAAATTGGTGCCTTCCACAGGATTGCTGGATTCCAGTATGTACTCAATGGCATGCTGGAGGAAAAAATAATTAGTTATGAAAAATTTCCTGTAGCCTAAACTTCAATGTAATTTTACAAGAAAAAGGGAAATTGCATCATAGTAAAAATCCTCACCTGATCTGCATCCTGTCCACTGATCTGCACAAGACTGACGGCCAGTGGGTAACTTTCGTTGATGGTTCTACTGTAGGAGGGACTGGTGAAGCTTGGAGCGTTAGGGTTACGGTTAACAGAGATGGTAACATTAGCATAAGCCTTGTCATTGGGATAGTCACTATCATAAGCTGTCAGCCCAAGCTGAAAATATATTTAAACCTTGTTGTCTACTGTTACTTTCAAAACAGTTCTGAGTTAGTGTGTGTTATGCTCAAAATGGGTACATCAAAGGCAAGAAGCTACAAATGTAGGTAAAACTTACAGTGTATGTTGTTGCTGTATCACTGGCTAAACTGGCTATTAGACTAACTTGTCCGTTGGCGTTCACACTGAAATATCCCGGAGCTGACATGTATCCGATAACTTCATATATAAGTGTTCCCTGAAAAATAGCAGAATAAAAAAACTTTGTTAATTTGTTACGTCATTTCTACAATACTTTGAAACCCTTATTATTTTTTTCACAACAATTTTCTTCAATCTCCTGATTTTAGTCCTGAAATAAAATTGACTGTATACATTTTAATCTGTTGTGGCCTGACTGGTAAACATTTGCAGCCAAGACAGGGGGACATATTTATTTATTAAATATACAATCAAAAAAATATATTCAAGGCTAAGTTTATCCATTTTCAAAAACATTGTAGCTCCACAAAATATAATAAATTTACCAAACAAGATTTCAAAATCCTACATCAAGAATGAGATTTTTACACTACAAACACAGAAAATTTATGATATCTATATGATGAGTCCACATACAGACAGATCGGGATCAACTGCTGAGGTAGATATCACTGGTCCCAGAGCCTGGTTATAGTCAATGCCTGTTCCATACTGCTGTCTTAGAAATGCTGGAGGGCTTGTGTTTCTTCTTACTGTGATCTCCACTTGGGCCAGTGCAGATTTCTCAGGTTTGGACTGATCACGAACTCGCACAGTGAACTGTGAAAGATTATAAGTGTATCTATATTGTACATGTAAGAATCTTCACAAATAGTTTATTCAAACCTTCAGATAACATTCATGTGAATTCTCTCTTTAAAAATACAAGAATTAATAAACAGTACATTTTTCATAAGCTTAATTATTGACAAAAAATAGCTTATATTTAAAATTAATTTGCTCATCAACAAAAACTTAAGTCTATACTAAATTTTCATTTCTAAGGTTTGTTATCTTACTGTGTATGTGGTTTTGGATGTGCCAGCTAAAAGCTGCCTAAGGGTAATAACTCCTGTGCTGGCAGCCATGTAAAATGGTTCTGTCTCCCCAGTTTGCTCAATAATGGAGTACAATAGGACATCCTACATAAATAAAATACTTCTGTTTACAGACTGCATGTGGAGGTACATGATGAATTTCTTTCACCACAGATCAACAACAAAAATCATCACCCCAAAAAACAGTTTAGACTGTAATAGTTCTAAAATTGTTTGAAATCCATAAATCTAAGTGAGTTTATGACTGTCACCATCTTACGTTCACATTATAAAAAATAAATAAAACAATTCAATACTATCCTTCATTTTTCACCTTCCCCCTTTTATTTATTTGTTAATGTATCATACTGGGACTAGTGAGAATTGAAACACTATGATTTTACGAAATTTTGTCTTATTCGTACCTGAGTATCAGCGTCAGTAGCAAACACTTGTACCACAGACCGCCCCAAGTTGTACTTCTCATCAATACTTGCTCTATACACAGTGGAATTGAATACAGGAGGATTGATGTTTCTGGCCACTGTCACATTCACTGTGTTTTCTGCTGACTGCAGTCCATTGGGGAACTGCTTCTCGGCTCTCACTAGAATCTGTACAAAAAGAAAATAAATAACTTCAATTAAGATAAACTATTAATTGTATTTTAATAGAAAATATTTAAAAAGATGTATATCTTCTGTAGTCAGCTAGAAATACTTTCTGCCTTTTTTTGCCCTCAACACAGATGAGGCACAGAATCAATTCAAGGAAGAAAACATTAACCCTTTAACTTTAAATCTGGACAAATTAATAGTAATTGGAGCAAAATTGTTAACAAGGTAAGTGGAAAAGGGCCAAAATTGCACCAGGCAGAATAACCCATTATACTTAACCACATGTAGAAGCACTTACCAAATATGTTGTTCTCTTGGACAAATCAGTGCGGAGGTCAGTTTTCACAGAAATGGCACCAGTGTTCTCATCAATTTTGAAGTAATCTGGACTATCACTATAGCCAACTATGGAATATTTGATGTTAGGCTGGAAAAGAAGAAAAATTTATCATCTATACCATTAATGGGACACTCTAACAATATTTTCTGAATTCCTCAGAATTCTCCACTTGGACCCTTGGTATAAATATCAGCCTAGAGCCATAAGCTCACCTGAGGAGTGGCAGTAACAGTGATGAAACTCCGATCCACAGGGTCATTCTCATCAATGCTGGCAGTGTATGGTTGTAACTGTGTGAACCTTAGAGTGTCATCAATTGTTACGTCCACAGTCACCGTAGCTTGTCCACTCTGTGATGGTGTGCCCTCATCTGTAGCCGCCACTCGGAACTGGGAGGCAAAAAATAAACCATGAATCAAGTGTTGAAATTATAATGTACCCTTTGGAAGACATAATGACACATTTGATTTGTTTAAACTTTCACAGGAAAAATATTTCAACAATGTGAATTTGGTATAAACAGCTTTCTGAATCCAGAATGAATAGACTTACTATGAATTGTTGGAGTCCTGTTCCCTTAATTGACTGCTTGAGAGAAATTCGACCGGAGTCTGGGTTTATATAGAAATAAGTATCTGCATTTGTTCCTGGTACAATACTGAACTTGAACTGGTTGTTTGGTGCCTTAAAAAAATTAACATTCATTTTAAATTTTTTTCAACTGAAAAATACATGTTAATATAGGAGGAACCCATCACATAGTCTATTAAAGGTGTTTTTGATTTTTACATTCGTTTTTCTCTAAAAAAAAAGCCACATTTACACACCTGTGGGTCACTGTCGGTGGCTGTTACTGTAACAATTTCACTGCCAACTGGGAAATTCTCTATGATAGTCTGGGTGTATGAAGCAGGGTTAAATTGAGGAGCAGCAAGGTTTCTATTTACAGTAATGTCTACAGTCGCTGTCGCAGTTTTCTTTGGTGAGCCTCCGTCCTCAGCCAATAATCGCAACTGTAAACAAGAGGCCCATGGGCTTAAAAGTCACCTGAGCATCATTCAATAACTTTCCAAGCAGAGGCGATGACATTTGCAAATTGAAAGAGGCACAGTTGCTCATCATAACTATACATTTAGCATGTTTAGTTTGGTTACTTAATACCCATAGACATAGAATGGGTGGACGAAAATGCATTTTAACTACTGAGTAATATTGAGCAAAACTCAGCAGTGCCCTCACCCCACATAAACCCTTGACCCAAGGTCCACACATTTCTCAATTTTGGAAAAGGTACCATTGCTGATCATAAATGTTTAATCAATATAATGGATCAAATTTCAGTATTAAGTGTAACCAAGCGGAGATGGAAAACGCAGGTTCAGTTTAATAAATTTATTTGGAAATGAAAAAGCAATGGCAGATCTACAAATACAAAAATATATATACAATATCATAATACACATAGACACTGAGACAAAATACTACTTTTATTTCCTATTCACTTCAAAAATAAGAAAATTTAAGTTTACGAAGCCCAAAACGTCAACTTCATAGTTTAAAACACCTTTCTCTCAAAAATATGAAAAATACTTGAGATTATAACTTGGACTTAATAAAGAAAATACAAAAATTTAATAGACTAAGAAAATTACCTTTCAAGTGGTGACAACGGGCAGCTGGTAATAGGTAAGTTAAATTTCCCGCACTGACAGGGATGGGCCCATGTCTCAGTATATATAGCAGAAAAACCGGTTAAACAAGGGGGTACAAATATACTGGCCAATGAGATTTTGTGAGTAGAATTCATGAATGGAGACTATTACCAAATATGGCATAAAGTAAATTATGTCTCAGTAAGTCATTCAAATAAAGATAAAAAAATTATTTTAAATAAATATGACTCCGACACATAAGACACACACACCTCGTCTTCTATGATACCTCTCATCCAGGGGCCTTGAAATTCACAATTCTGGAAGAATTATCTATGCTCATCATAACTATGTATGTAGTTAGTTTGTTTAAAACCCAGGAGCAGAGAAGATTTTCAAAGAATCGTTGCATTTTCCCTACATAATCAATAGAGCCCCACCCTAAGTAACATCAGAACTCCTTACCCTTGGGCCATGATATTCACAATTTTCAAAGAGGCTTCCTTTCTCAACAGAAATATGTAGCTAGTCTGTTAAATACCAAGGAGCAGAGGAGAGGATTTTCAAAGAATTGATGCATGTTCACTATATAATCAATAAAGCCCGGTAAAGACGAATAATGACCCCAATCGAATAATGACCGGGGGTCATTTTTCGACAGCGAAAAATCACCCCCGGTCATTATTAGACGTTGAAAAATGACCCTTTTGCCCGTAGAAAAAAGTGTCACTTCCCTAAACATTTGCAGAACCCACGTGAAGAAAAATGACCCCCGTAGAAAAATGACTCCCTGTAGATTATAGCTGAAATTTTTAGGGGGCAAAAAATTTAAATAAAGAAGCATATTGGCCAAAATGCTCACCTGAGCTAATTGGGAATAAATTGATGATATGGAAATTGATCTCATTACATTATACAATTATAGCTATATTGTAGGGTCAATGCCTTGATTCAGAATCTAAAGGAGTAAAAGATTTATCGAACCTAAAGGGTTAGGTAAACATTGTTTTTCGATAGTGGAAATCAGCGTACTGACAGAAAAAAATCAGCAGTATTATATATTATCAAATCCTCCGCTTGAAAAGCGGAAGGTTATATAGTGATCGGGATGTCCGTCCGTCTGTTACGCTTTGGGGTATCAATCTCTTATCCGCAACCCATCTTATATATAAAAAGATGTGTTTGTGAAACAGCTATGTCCCTGTATGGCAACATAACGAAGATTAAACTTTTCTTAAATGCAATTTAAATATATTGGTACCCAAAGTAGGGTTCTCACAAGAAATACAATTGCAAAATAGGAAAGCCCTAGCACCACTTGTTTAAAAGTAATGGCTAAGGATAAGTTTTTGAAAGGTAGGTCAAACTCAAAGGGTCAAAGTTGATGGTTTCTTAAGAAATGTTTAATGTAACAAGGATTACATATGTGAAGTATGAAAACCCCAGCCCTTACCATTCAAAAGTTATGACAAAGGTTAATGTTTTTTTCATAAGTACGGAAATCTTCAAGGTCAATGTCAAAAGGTCAAAGATTTTAGTATCCAATGAAAGGTCATCCCCCCCCAAAAAAAAAACATATGTGAAGTATGAGAGTACTAGTACATGTATCTACCATTTAAAAGTTATGGCCAAAGTAAAAATTTGGCATTTTGTTTAAAATGGGACAAAATCTAAGGTAAAGATTAAAAGGTCAAATTTGGTTGTACCCAATGTAAGGTCTTGTAACAAGGAATACACATATTAAATATGAAAATCATAGCTCCAATAAATGAAAAATTATGGTCAAGCTTAAGTTTTTGCGGACAAACAGACCGACGGACACGATAAAATTATATACCCCCGAAAATTACGGGGACATCAAAAGAAATGGTCTTAATTAACTTTTCATATTATGACACAGTATAAAGATGTTACGAAAATGAAAATGTTTGTTCTGATTTTCATATTAAATTCTCTGAAAAATACACTCAGAACTGAGTCAAAAGTAACACAAGAATTTAAAAATGTTATGAATACTTTGTGCTAAATCAAAAGGGTATTTCCAATTGTATAGTTTTTGCAATAGAATGTGTATTTTACACTAGCCCATATAGCTTTACAGAGCATATTTTTAGGTGTTATACCTACCCCACCCCTTACTTATTTGGGAGGAAGTCAATATCAACAAAAGCAACAAAAAATACCCTACCTTTATTTTTCCACAAGGAGTGACTAAAAATAAGCTGAAAATAATCTACTATTCTACTTATTTTCAATTGTTACTCTGCATGTATAGGATTGAACATATAAAAAATATACAGCATTGAGGAGTCTGCTTCACTTTTTTACTTTTTCCCAACAAATATTTTTTTTTCTGAAACAACGTATCAATGGAGTCAGTAAAGAAAAAAAAAATTATATTCATAAATTTCATCTCCAGCGTGCGTTTGATCCATTTACATGTACCATCTCTGATCTTCTAGGTTTGTTCCTTTATCAGAGAAACGAAGATTTTAAATTGCTTAAAACCGATTTGTCAATATTTCGGCAGAGAGAAATGAGGAACTTTATCACCCCCTACATGCTAAGAAGAACAAAGATTAAATCTATTCAAAATAATGCATGAATTACTCGAAGGAAGAACACTTATAATATACAGCATATTTTTCCCTTTCACCTGTTATAAAATTGTATCGCTTTAAAGGGGGTCATTTTTCAATGGGGGTCAATTTTTTATAGGACTAACATATAAAATAATGACCCCTAGGACTCTTTTTCTACAAAAAATATTTTTTTCTACGGGTGGGGGGCATTTTTTTGTTGTTGAAAAATGACCCCCGGTCATTATTCGATGGGGTTCATTATTCGTCTTTACACCGGCCCTGACATTAGAACCCCTGATCGTGGGGCCATGCCATTCACAATTTTAGAAGAGGCACCCTTCCTCAAAATATCCAGGAGCAGATATGAAGATTTTCAAAGAATCAAATAAATGAGTTTTCACTAAATAATCAGTAGAGCTCCGCCCTAACACCTGGGGGCCATAAAATTCACAATTTAGAAGAGGTATCCTTGCTCGGCATAACTACATGTATGTACTTAAGGTATTCAATCCCTAATAGCAACAGATCCACTGAAATTAAATAAATAACATATATGTTGGTGTTGAATTCTTAGTTTATTAGACATAATTCCCATTTATTACTATTAGCTTGTAAAAGTAGGATTGTCCTAATTTATGATCTTGAATTTTGGTAAGAGTTATCTCCCTCTATATTTTAATTAATTGAAAAATCAAATTTTAAAATTTATTCGGTGTAAAAGTTTTCAATTGTCATTCTATTTCTAATACTCCAATGCATCTTTCCGCTATAGTATTTATTGACATTCATATTATTTAATTTTTCATTTAAAAAATATACACTTTTTCCGGCAGGCTTCAATGTAATCTTAGTTAATTAACTACTGCTTAATTAATGAAATTTTAAAAACTTTCTCGCAGGCAATCCTTTTCTACTAGAAATTGCTTTAATTTAATATCAGAGTATTATGTACGAGGGGTAATCAAAAAGTTCGCAAACTAATTGAATAACTTCCATACAAGAAACAATATTTGGTTTTCATGTTGATTATATTTTTAACAAGAGGTACTGTGAGCGATGAGCTCACTAAATGATACCCCCCGCCTCCCATATGGCTGTAACTGGTGAAAAAGTCCATGTTTTCCTGTGGCCGGGAAACCCAAAATATGTGTCGGATCAAAAAGTAAAATAGGAGGTGCACAATGGCAATATGTAATAAAGATTCTGTGAAAGTTTCATCAAATTCCATTCAATGGTATGAGAAGAGTTGCGGATAAGAGATGGGTACCCCAAAGCGTAACAGACGGACGGACGGAATTAACGATTACTATATACCCTCCCACTTTTCAAGCGGAGGGTATAATTAATCCTCCCCGATTTTAATGCACATCAATCACTGTTCTGCGCATGCGCGAATCACGTGATATTGGCGGTCACGTGACCCCCTCCGTAGCGTTCTTTCACAAAAGTTAAAAGATTTTTCCGAGTTTTATATTTCTTTCCATGTGAGTTAATTTTTATGACAAGAACAGTTAATTTGTCAGAAATGGTCATATCTAACATTCTTTCCAAAAATAAGCATGGCGACCATTAAAACACAAATCTTCTGTCTCAGGAGAGACCTTTATATAAAACAAGGTGGATAGAGAATGGGTGCATCCTTTTTTATCATATCTAATATGTTTAAAATCTAGAGTAAACGATATCTTAGGTATTTAATACTTATACCATTGTTCAAATATTCAACTATTTTCAAAGTGCTAATTGGAGGTCTTTGATAGGAAATTGCTTAATTAAAAATACATATCTTTCAAACTTGCTTTCACTGGGCTAGATGACAAGTAGCATTTTTAACCATCAGCCTTCCTTCACTAAAACGATTAATCCAATCATTAATTGAATTTATAGGAACTCATTTATCTCAATAAACTGTGTACAAATTATTATATGATACTGTAGAGGAATTTCTAAGATATTACAATAAATTGTACAATCGTTTGCTGAACGAGTTCGACTGAGACAACCATTTTTCGTCACAAGTGACCTAAATAGTGACGTCATTTTCACATTGTGACGTCACAAACAAGGAGAGAAACTTTATTCAGCATATGCTATTTATAGACCTTGTGTATGGCTATGTGTGTACCGAATTTCATTCTAATCTGAATTGTGATTTTGAAGATATAGAGATAGTTTGCGAACTTTTTGATCACCGCTCGTATCTGACGGACATTAAAGGGTAGAGAATTTGGTCCCATTAGGGACGGAAATCCTTAATTTATTAGCTTGATTCCCAAGAGACGAGGAAAATTATTCAAAGAATTAATGAATTTTCACTATATAATCAGTTTACCCCTTCCTTAACACCAGAACCCCTGACAAATGGGGCATAAAATTTTGGAAGAGGCACTCTTCCTTATCATGACTATGTACAAAATTCGTTTGCTTTATACCCAGGAGCAGAGAAAAAGATTTTCAAAGAATTTATTCACTATACATGTATAGGTAATCAATAGAGCCCCGTCCTAACTCCAGAACCCCTGACCCTGGGGCCATGAAATTCAAAGTTTTGGAAGAGACACCCATCCTCATAATAAATATATGTAAGTAGTTAGTTAATTTAAAATATTCAGGAGCGGAGAAGAAATGTTACAAAGCATTAGTGCATTTTCATTATAAAATCAAATGGGTCTGCCATAACACAAGAATCTCTGATTTTTGGGCCATGAAATTCACAATTTTGAGAAGAGGCATCCTTCCTCATCATGACTTAGTATGTAGTCTGTTTGTTTTGTGCAAAGGAGAAGAGGCGAAGATTTTCATAGAATTAATGCATGTTCACTAAATAACCTACACAGCCCAGTCCTAATTTCAGTACCCCTTACCCTTGGGCCATATATAATTTACAACTTTGGAGGAGGCACTCTTGCTCATTATATCTATACATTAAGTTTGTTTGTTTAATACCCAGGAGTAGAGAAGATTTTTTAAAAACAAATATTGCACTTTCTATATAGCCCCACCCTAACATTAAAATTCCTGACCCTGGGGCTATGGATTTCACAATTTTGGTAGATGACTCAATGCTTATGCAACCACGCTAACAGTTTGACTTCATGATGTCCTTGAGTAAAGACGATTTTTAAAGACTGCATTAATTTTTTTGGTTTTGGCCCATCCTCAGGCCCCCGGGGGGAAACGGCCATGATTTTTTGTTTCCTTTTATCCATAGATGTTAGATGCCAAAATTGGTCGAAATTGGCTCAGCGGTTTCAGAGAAGAAGCTGAAAATGTTCAAAAGTTTACGACCGATTGACGACTGACAACGACGTACAAAAACAGATAGCAACAAGTTACCTCAGTGACTAAGGTGACCAATCAAGGCCCACTTTATAGACATTCAAAATAAAGTAAGAGTTGACAGTCGAAATGTACAATGCCACCATCGTCACAAACCACAAATCCCTAAAAATTATGTGTTGATAGAGAGAATCGACGTGAATCATCCGTGGGTTACTTTCAATGAACGGCCACAAGTGGATATAAAAGTCTGAAGATTTTTTTTTTTTACATTTTCTGGAATTTTGAATAGAAAGTAGACGTAAGTCTTATGAAATATAGGTTTTGACTTCCTACCTTGTAAGTATTAGCAGTGTCTGCTGCCAAATTAGCTGCATTCTGAACCCGAATGTTGGATCCATCCAGTCTGAATAGAGTAACTGCGGAATCGTCTCCGATCACCGACACTGAGACAACATTGAAGGGGCTCTGCACAAGGAATAATTATCAACGCATAGCCAATAAAAATTTCTGACTAAAATGTTTTTGTGCCATCTCCCAACTCAGGATTTAAAAAAATGGGTTGGTAGGCACATGTAGCCGAGACCCCCCCCCCCTTTTTTCCAGAAATTTTCAACAACATTGCTATATTTTAAGAATCTTATTTTCAGAATCCTTAAAAAATGATTTCTTCCTGGTGGTTAAATAGAGTTTAAAGTCGTTCCAGTCGATCGGGGAGGACAACCAAAGAATCTGATTAAGATCGTCTTAATGCACCAGTTAACTTTCGAGTTTGTTTCAACAACATGTTTGGCTCCATAAGATATGACTAATTAACTTTTTTTAAACAAAGAATTTTAAAGCACACGTTTTTTGCATCCCTTTATGCTGTCATACACTATTATCATATTACCACTGTATCAGCGTCCGTGGTTGCTACACTGACTCCGGGTAAGGCCGAGTTGTCCTGGACAGCTCTGGTTATGGCGGATCTATAGGGTGTGTTTAGGAACACTGGAGGTTGGGAATTCCTGATTATTTGAATAGTCACCATACTTTCTCCAGTTAATGGAGGGGAACCGTTATCTTTCGCAATCACACTAAACTGTGCAATTAAAGAAAGTAAAGCAAAGTAAACATTCGTTTTTACTATTACTTGTGCATAATCAGTTGATTGACAATATTTTTATATTAAAGTTAAATCGAAACAAATTTTTATGCCATATAAATGTATCTCTCAATAAGGGTTTGATTTTAAAGGATTATATAAGGAGAACGTCGCCCAATCAAAATAAAATAACCCAAAGAAAACATGAAAGAGACCGTACTGATGGCAATATTGAAAAAAAAAATCGTTCTTAATTTCGACTGCATTCTATTTTACCTGGAATTGAGAACTTGTTGTCGCGCATAATCCTTGTTTCAAAAAAACTTTCCCGGATTTCTTTTCAATATCAAAGTACTGCATTGGCTAAAATCAAATGAAAAATAAATCTACTTTAACAAAAAATGCCAATTATTCAGAAAAGCATATATCGTTTAACAACTTTAGATAAAACAAATTACATTTATTCAATATAAAACATATATAGTACATACCAAAAAAAAAAACACATAAATAATTACAGGTAAGTAGGGATGAAATTATATAGTTTTGATTGATCCAAACCGGTTCGATAAACCAGGGATATCAATGTTTGTAAGTTATTTCTTTGTCAAGTTTTTATATTATGGAGTAAATGTTCGAACATATCACACAAAAGAGTAGTCCCTTTGCGAAAAAGAAAACAATGTTCAGCAGTTCGACATACCATTCTTTTCTTCGAAAAGTATTCCAAAGTCCAGGGAGCACATAATCAGAGTGTATAGGATCAAATAATATGCAATAAAGACCAACGGAAAAAAAAAGATTATTTCACAGGGAACCAACCTAACGTTACGCAGTTATTAATGACGAAGAGCGACTGCTACAACATTAGAAACCTTGTTTATTTAAAATTGTACAAATAATTGTTAGACAAAAAATCCTCGTTCATAAATTTATAGTAACTTCACTTGTGTCATCAATAATCATCTTTAATTCACCCTTGCATCAATCACTGATTGACGTCCTTTCAGAATTTAGAAATCTTTCGTAATTAGCGTGAAAACTTTTTTTTTTTATTTCATAGTGTTTATAAAAGAAAGTATGAAACAGATATTCACACAACTATAATTATTTCATTAACTTTTCTGAAGTCGCCTTATTGTCTTTTACGCTAAGGAATTACTTTTTATATGTATTTTCAGGTTATATAAGCTTTGTGAAATTTAAAATAGGGATAAAAATCATTGAACAAATTTTGATAATTAAATCCGTGCTAAAATTGTATGAATTCCTTTTGATATCTGGTCACTGCTTATCTCAGTCATTAAAACAGTTTATCTGTTAAATGTTTTTGAGTAAGTAAAGTGATTTTGAGCGATAAAGAACATGTTCGATATGCATTAGATAGAATAATTACTTGTTCAATGTAATCAAGCTATTATTTGCCTGCAAGTCATTTAAGTACACAAATATAGTTTAAAAGATTGATATTCGTACGATGTTATGTGGAATACAAAGTATGGTAGACTTAATGGTGGGTGTGACCGGTGGCACTTATTTCTGCATGGCATCTGATCCCACCCCTGATGTTTAAGAACCTCTTGTTTGCCTTGCTCCTGATTTGTACTGTTTTGATGGACTTTTGAGCTTGAATACCGTTCGTTTTGCCATATTTTTCTTAACTTATCAATGACATATATACCAAATTCGATTTACTTTAATGTAGTCATTTCAAAGAAGTTGAAAAAGATTTTTGTTAAATAACCGAAAATTAAAACTTATTTAAAATACATGACGGGGGCTTGATGGTTTGAAACTTGTATAGAACTAGTTTCATGAATGGAACTGGAAACTTGTCAGGAAAAAATTAAATTATTTGAAATCAAAGAATTATAATTATGCTGTCTGGATGCATAGGTTTTTCACTTCTTGAAACGGAGAGACTTAAGGGAATCTTTTAATTTTCACAGTAAAAATATCACATTTCATACTTAAAATTCACTGAGAAATATACATCCATAATTTATCACGTACTCAAGAAATATATTACAGCCATTCACCAGAGAAAATGTAATAAAAAAGAGTACTTACTAAGCTTTCATTTCCTTGAGCTATGGTATACTCGATTTCTTTGTTGATTCCTGCATCCAGATCTGTAGCTATTACCCCAGAATACACTATTGTTCCCATTGGTGCTGACTGTTAATTTATATATTAAAAAATAAGTTCACTATCTGTTTTCAAGTCAACTTGATTTACTTACTTATTTTAATATTTTGAAATATATTTTGAAAAATTTAATTAATTAAATCAATTGTCAGCAGAGCAAGTACACAATTCCGTATCTATTGGTTTATCTTAAGGCCCTTTCACAATTGGCGCACGAGCAGAAGCGACAAAATATTCATGCGACCGAATATTTTGTCTATGATCGTAAACTGTTGCCAAAATAATCGCATATTAAAGAAGTATTCGAACGAAATTCGCACGTCTAAAGCGACTGTTGTGCATAAAATCTTGCGATATATCTTGCATCTAGATGCGACTGTTGTAGAATGAAAGCGAGTGTTGTAAGATAATGCTATAGGATTGCACGACTGATCAGGTAATTGGACGATTGAACGTGCGTCAATACGACTGCTCGTGCGCTCATGCATTCCATAGTACGAATGTTCGTGCGAGTCTGAGGGCCGGGTATACATACCACCCGTTTCCTACGCTCTTCAGTTGACATAGTTAAGATGCTTTTAATTATACACGGTATAATATATACCTGTTGCAAAGCATTGCAATTGAAGGTAATAAATCAAGCAATGGTAGTAAAACGTTGCAAGATTACATGAGACATGTTGAGCAACAGTCTCATGGTCGCAAAACACACACAAAGACAGCTGCGATTAATCTTACGATCTTTAAAAATCGTGCATCAGTCTTATGAGTACATAAAACGTTGTAAAACGTTCGTACTAATATTCGTGCGTTGAATTGCGATAATTTGGATCGCATTTGGTCGCGTCTGAATAGTGTGCATGTTGACTATTTTGAGGCGACCTGATGCGACCACTAAAACACATGCAATGAATGCGAGACATCGTGCAACGTATGCGATAGCTCGTGCGAAGCTAAAATTTTCCCATCGCAGTGTTGTAAAGTGCTCGTGCGCCAATTGTGAAAGGGCCTTTAGGATCTTAGCTTCTATATATAAACGAGAAATCCGTACATTTCTACGCACAAAGGTCAAGTACCATTTTTTACCATTCAAAAATAACGTCGAACGTCCTACTTTTGTGTACAACTCGATTAACTCAGGTGAACGGCATATTTCTGTTTTCGTTCGAATAACGGTGAGGCTAGATTGATTACATAGTAAAATTGCATTTCTTTAATTCTTTGAAAATCTTCTCTTATCCTGGATATATAGAAGCAAACTTGATGCATTACTATTGTGAGTAAGGGTGTTTTAAAATTGTACTATTCATGATACCTAAGCTCGATTTGGTTAGTTTGTCAGGCTCTGTGAATAAGCATCAATACTTTGAAAATCTTGTTCTTTGCTCTGAGTCGTGCTTGTCATATCTCTAACCTATCGCATGGCGACAGAACCGTCAATGCCTATATTTTCATAAATTCCCTTGTCATACGCACCGGAATCCACCATGTTCCACAGGTCAAGACTTTTTTGTAAATTTATCTCTACACAACTTTCACACATTTTTAGTTGGTTTTCCTTCGGTATCGTATTTTAATTTCTAATAAAATAAAGTTGACTAACCTCTAGGATTGAAGCAGAATAAGAGGCATTTGTAAAAATAGGTGCATTATCATTTATATCTCGAATCTCCAACTGCATTACGAAAAACTTTGTTTGCGTTGGGTATTTCTGAAATGAAGAGTACAAAAATTAGTTTAACAAGTTTTACCTTTAAATTTTCTTTTAAATTTTTAAACCTAAAGCTTGCAATTTGTAATGTTATTATCTTATGACAATAACAAAAAAGCACACTTTTTGATATTATACAACAAACAGTTAATGCTGTTCCTTTTAAATTTTAACATTCTGCATTCAGAGAGAAGTAGATTTAATTTCATAGGCAGCACTTTTTTTTGTATTCCACTACTTGTCTCAGGAAAAACTTATGAGCTATGAAATTCATAATTGATCTATTTCTTTCTTTCTTTAAATATCATCTACTACAGTTAACCGATCTCAAATCTAAGACTCTCTAAAATATGTGCAATGCATACAATAAATTAATTTGGTCAGATTTGCAAACCAACTTTACTTACCAATGCACGACAAGATAATTGAAATTCAATATTGTTGAGGTCATCATTTTCAGTATAGGAACTCCCCTTTGAAACGAAAAAGAGCACAAAATATTAATTGATGTAAAAAAAATAATTATATACTTAAATTTAATTTTTTTAAACAGAGGTTAACTGTAACATATGTGAAAAGGTAAGTTTCCATTCTCCCGTAAGAATATATCATATTAAGGTCATACAAAACATTCCTCAATAATGAAAAAATAGATCTTAAGATATTGGTTTAAAAAAAACAATTATTTCAATTATTTCAAACAACATTCAGGTTTATTTCTGGAGGATTGCTTTTCTTATTTAATCATAACGGATATCTCTTTAATTGCTGATGCTACAAGCTTAGGTCTTTTATGTCTTTTGATACTTTTAAAATTTGAAAAAAGTTTAAAAATCACATAGGCCTAATACATAATTAAATTTAGAAATGTTTGAAGAAAACTATAGCTTATTTGAGGGAGGGGGGCTTTTCTAAACATGTATATGAACATGTCCCTAACATAAAATCATATCGTCACCTCACTGTGATGCCATTAGTGGTTAACCTGTTCAACATATACACTTGCTGTTACCTTCAACTAGATGTTTAGAATATATTATCAAATAACAAAAGTCCTATTTCCATTCATATGTCGATACGATTTCCAAGTGAGCTTGAAATAAAAGATAGCACAAAGTCTGACAGATCTGTTTCAAGTATGAGTATTTCACTAGAAAAGACGTTGATGGTAACCTAACATGTTGCTTTACGATGAACATTATGATTTCTTCTTTTCAATAGCTAACTTCTCTTACTTATATTAACACCTACATACAGGGTTTTATCTTACAGCTGATTTGATACACTGGAGTATGCTTTACAAGCATACGTACAATCCTAAAAGGAGGTAAGCTACTGGCAAACAGGTTAATGAAACCAGAATATCAACAGTCTCGTTTAAAAATACTATTTTGTAAGACAAAGACCTTGTCAGCAAATATAATCTAATAATAAGTCAAAGGCTGATGGATGTTTCTTATATATATAGTTAAACCATCATTTACACATTGAAATGTCGACGGATTTTCCGTTATTTCCTGATCATAAGTACCACCTAGCGGGTGTGACCACTCTGTAGAGGACTTTCACTCCTCCATGGCACCCAATCCCTTAAAAGTTTCATCATTGGAAGAGAGTAATTGTGTTTGATATGATTCATATAAAGTATAAAACGTACATCTCTGTCGATTGCTGACTTTAATTGGATAAAAGTCCTACTTCCAAAGGTTGAGTTTGATACTGGTAAAGTTATCAATTCAAACAAATTATTTAACTTAAGATCAGCAGGGGTGGCTTGTGTTCTAAGAAAGGTTATGTTGACTCCTGACGCTGTCTGAGCTCCCTGATTTATTCCTTCTATCGTTGTGTCTGTTCTATAAAGTGTCGAGTTTGGGTCAAAAGAAGAAAAAGTTGACTCGTATACAGTTCCAGCAATTTTACTACCCGGAGAGCTACATGCTGAAAATAAACAATTATTCAAATAGTGAACATCAATGCACAATTTAGATTTTGAGAGATTTAGAAGTAAAAATAATTGAAGAATTGAAATTATGGAAACACAACGAAGAAAAATCACTTACGCTCTTGTGAATCCACGATATGCATATGTATGTTTAGCAAGAAAACTGTTAACAGCTCTGGTAAAACATTTGGATTCAACATCTGGATTTTTAAGAGGTGCTGCCCTTGGCTAAAAAGATGTCCTCCAAACCAATTGCTAGTATATTGTTTTATAAGTATGCACAGAAATGTTGCCCATCTGAAAACTTGATTGTTGAGATACTGCAGAGTTAATTAATGATCAACAGTAGCCATGTGAGATGATTTAGAAATTGACATTCATTGATTTTAATGTTATTTTATAGGGTCATATGCAAAACAATATATTAATCTGTATGGTATTGAATTTTATAATGAAATGTGCTCTTTAGAATATGTTGTAAAGAGAAAAATTCAGGGTTAAAAGATTAAACCGATCATAAAATCAACTAATCGATTTATTACAGATTGATCGGTGTAATCAGATTGAAAAGACATTTGACAAAGTTTTAGGTACGTTTAAATTGATGAATTAATATTTGAAACGAACATGAAATATATACGTTTATAGTAACCTTCTTTCTTTGCAAATGTAAACACTCCTCCATTTAATTTGTACGAATATTTATTGAATTACACTGTATTAATTATATCTATGTATTGATTACGGCAACTGGTGTTTTTTAAGGTAGATCGCGGGTTTGCTGACGTCACAATAGGTTTTGACGTAAAAAGATTACCGCGTTCAGATTAGCAAGCAAAATATCTTCAGCGGTACTGTATGCAGTAAAAAGTAAAATATATATAAAAGATTGTTTGGTGTTTTTAAATATTTTTTAATGTTATTGAAAATAATTGATGTTCTAATCAAGGTGGTCTTAAACACTATAAGTAGTTTTTTACGCTGATATCTGTTGTGTGTACGTACCTTTCTAAAATACTTTTGCCTAACTGTATATACAATACAAAAACAGATCCACGGCCGGTGTGTCTGGCGCCTGCCCTGCATTTTAAATTTTTGTTCACTTTAATGAATTTTGTTTTGCTTGTTTAATTTAGTCTACACAGTACACACTAATCTTTTTTATTTTTATTTGTTTAACAATCATTTCTAACTCCATTTTCTTCGCGATGATGTACGCTTAGATTAGTAATATTTTTATGGGCAAAAATATTGTCTGAGTCAAGTGAGGTATAAGATTTTTAAAACGAGAAAGAAATGGACAGTATATGGTAAGTTAATATGATTTCCATTTGTACGATTTTCTCTCAATGATGATTTTTTTTCTTTTGGGGTGTTGGGGGGGGGGGGGGTAAATTAGATCATTATGAACAGGAGAGACGTTCATGATTCAGGTAACATGGGTAACATCACAAAATAAAATATCACCAACTAAAATATGTATATCCTATAAATTGTCATCTATAATTAACTCAGGCCCTTTTTATTGACAATCAATAGCGATTCGGCGAACAACTGCGATTGGTGTTTTGTGTGGAACTTGGGGTGTCAAGGCAATCTTGAGTTTCAGGCCCATAGGAAGCAATAATTTCAATTATGGGCACAGCTACTCGTATATATTTTCAGTTGGGGCACTATCAACAACCAAAAAGTCCTCGACAGGCATAAAAAGGAGGGGGGGGGGTATCAGGCATTTTAATTGAGGGGACACGAGTATGTGGTAGTAATTTTTTCTAAAGTATTAATACCTGTTTTCTATAGTATACTGTATGCTTTCTATAGTATTCTAAATATCGGCAAAGTAATGACAAGAAATTGCCTTTACGACATTTTGAAGGGAGAACTGAAGTCTTTTAATTCAGGGATAGACAAAAGTAAATTCATTCTATGAAGTATAAATGTATACAACGTAGTTTATAAAGCTATTTTCATTCAACTGCAATATTTCCGATTTAAAATTGGGTATAAAAATGATGCAAAAATATATGACAAATATGTTTGAAAATGTTCTCAAATCCGGTAAGATGTTTCTTTTTTTCTTACGTCCATGTACATTTGTAATAATTTTTTTTTGTGCACCCCTAGCCTTACTTTTATTACGGTTAACTATGACTATGATTATATCGGGAAATTGAATTCACGGATTGCCTGTTTTATTTTGAGTGAATTGTTGATTAATTGAATTTTTTTTCGAGTCATGCAGTCATACGAAAATAATGACGTCGCACCAACGTAATATTACGTCGTGATGAAAATATAATACTTTTGCTGAAAAATTGTGAAACTTTAAAGTTTTTTTGCAAGAAATTGAGCGAGAACACATATTAATTTTTTTTAATAAATCGATTCTAAATTTACTTCACATTTATTGTATCGAGTAATATAAAATTCGTCTGCTTCGTTTTAATTTTATGATTATGGTTTTGAAATGCGTATACCGGCAGATAAGGGACATTTTACTATATAATTCATTGAAAAAGCGTCATCTGTTCTCATCAACATTAGCGCATTTGAATTACGATTACAATCTAACCACGCAGACGAATCTAATGAAAATTTCAGAAAGAAAAATTCAAAACGAGAGGAGTTAGCTGACAAATTTTTAGCTTATGTTTTCAGGCAGAGAGTAAACCCGCGATCTACCTTAAAAGTAAATGAGAAAATATTCAATATATGATAATAAAAACTTATATAATGATCAGTCCTTGTTGTGTTACATTGCATTAATACTTCATCGTTGTATCTCCCAAATTGACCATAGTGATTAAAAAATACTGTTCATTTTACAGCGTGCCACTGGGTTCCTATGTGTACTGTAATATAAAGTTCGATTTCAATGATCGTCAATATGTGAACACTGATCTTTTGTTGGCTAACAACTGACAAGGCATCAATGAAATATGTCAAGTTTCAAACTCTAAAAGGTATACAGTAGTACCTTGTGTGATATTTTTTAGCCAAACATTAGAAATACCATTAGAACCTTTACACCACAGCCGAAAATGTATCGTGTGTGCGTTTTAATTTAACACTATGTATCGTCTAGGGACATAACATTTGGATATAGATTCAACGCTCCAGAGATTTTGAATGATTCAGAATGAAATTACACAGAATTCAAACAGAAGAAAATTGACATCAATTATCCATTAATATTTTAAAAGAACTATGTTTTAAAGCACTTAGAATATACGCTGTTTTTATTTATTTATTTAACCATTAAAATAGTACTTACCGTAAAACAGTTCAAGCAACACTATAAATGGAAAAAAAAGCCTTCTTCTTTACCAAGTTATAATTATGGTTCACACAGTGCGACCTGGATTATTTAGCTAAAATACTATCGCTCCATTTTCGAGATTTTATCTTGATTTTGACGTTAAATAAATTGAATGATATTAAACATATTAAGAATTCAAGCTTTTGTAATACAATTTTTTCCTCAACGTAGACTAGTGTCATGAGACCTAAGAATGGTGTTTTTCTCCTTTAAGTGACTGATTTTTATGGTGACACATTTCTGTCTCCTGTCTGAAATTTATTTTCTTTAAATTAGTTATTTATGTAAACATACAAGATGATTTTGTAAATGTGCAACATAACTGAGTTCACAAGCAAAATAAATGAAATCAATTATTAACAGTGCGAAATTAAACCCCGGACACGACATTTGTCCGGACTTTTGCCAGCCACTTTTCCAAAGATGCATGGAAACCATTTATCTTATCTGATAGTATTTTGTTAAAATTAACACATGAACCAAAATTTTCACCTGATTATCTTCTAGGTAAAAAGATATTACACCTGAAATCAGGAAATCCCATTGGATAATGGTGGGATTTTTTCTCCATACCAATATCTCACCATTATTCTGTGAGAGAAAAAGGTATTCTGTGGGATTTTTTCTCCCATAGAAGTTTGATAATGCTTTATAATGGGACAAAGCCTCAATTATTGTAAATTTTCAAAATTTATACGAAGGTCACAAAGTTATGACTTCCAACATGCTAAGTTTAGATCTATGCAACTTATGTATAAGTATGTTCAGATGCAGCTTATCTATGTTAACATCCCAGATAAATATACACAACTTTCACTGATGAAATCAACTTTTTAGGTTGATATGCAAGATATTTATTCACACATATAACACAAATGTCTCTTAAAAAGTACTACACACCATGTATATATTGGCATGGAAATTGCTAATACAATCGTCTCTGATATAATTTTTATGCCAGACCATATACCTACAAAAGGTCACAAAAATTTAGATCCAAAAACCTAAAAATAAAAAAAACTGTGATATCTAATAATTTTAGATTTTCAAATATCCTAGATAACTATATTATTAAACGTCTTTTTCAAACAAAATATCGAAATATGAAACAGATGTGTCAGATTCAAGGTCACAGAAATATATCGTACTCTTGAAGTTCTCCTTCATAACTTCTGTCAATATCATAGTGAGGAGTAAAAAAAGAGATTAGTTGTGCATTTACTTGAACCCACTATGTATCTTTGTAATGATTTTTTACTGAAGTTTCGAAATCCAGTATAGATATAGTAATTCAAATCCTTTTTGGTTGTTTGGAATATGAAAAATATTTAAAAGTGACATATGATTTTGAAGAAGTTCCTTAGAAAGGTAACCGTGAGTATAAGTTGGATTACCACTTGTAGAATTAAATCCAAGTTCCTCTGAAATACATGTTATATGATGAGCCCTACAAATAAAGACGATATTGTTTCCTGCTTTACCAGCAGGCACAAGTATGTAATGAACATGTAATCTATCAATTCTTTTATCACTTCTGGATTATTGAAAACAGATAGGTGGATGCCTCTCAATTTGTCTCTCATTTTTTTATACATTGCATGCATTCTGAAAAAGTGCCTAGGACTTCCTTTTCATGTATTGCCAATCGCCTGGAGAAATTGCCTACAATCCTGGATTGGGTCTAGATCATATCCATCCTGGTGAAGTCATTAAGTTTGTTAATACCACTAGGGCGGAATGATTTCAGTCTTTGCATCCTGAACTTTTCGCGCTTTTTCTCCGAGCTTTTGGATTATGGTCAATAACAACTACTGTAATATCCTCCCATTTGTGAACTTCAAATTGAAGTGTTCTCCGATGTCTCTTGACGTTTTTGGTCCTAATGGTTGAACGGTGTTTATTGACTCTCCTGTGGGGATCTCCTGTTTCACCAACACACTGTTTTGAAAAAACTTTGCAACTGATGAGATAAATGCAGTTGTCTGAATGACAGGACAAATTCCCTAGTATTTTGTAGCTTCGGCCTGTAAACAGGGCTCCTAAAGCTGTCTGTGTCAGAGCTGGTCTTATATTTATTAATAACCACCACTAATAGAGTCCAGTCCTCTGACAGAGTTGCCAAATGAATCAATATAAACTTTAGTGGGACTCATGGTGACAGAATGACATTATTATGTAACATCTCTTTTACTTAGCAAACTGTACAAAACGTCATTATATTAAATTCTGTAATATTTAGAGTTTAAATTTATATAATTTAAAAATAAAAAAGACATACATTTTTTTATAAATTTATGAAGCATACAGAAATTATAAACTACCTCGGAAACCCTTTAGACGTGAACTAAAATTGGTATAATGAATAATTTTGGTTGCAATACATCGGATAATGTAAATTGAAATCTGCTACTAGGAGTTTGAAGCTGTTCTGGGTTATTTTTTTATCCAACTTTGATAACACTCTTGATCCATTTTCGTTTATCAAATAATTTTCATCAATATGGCAGGCTAATTCTGAAAATAAAACTAAGAACAATCAACCTATATTTAGTCTTCTATTAATCGATGTAACAACCGTTTACAAGCTGTATGTATTATTGTGATTTTGAAAAAAGACAAGGAATGAAATGTCCACTTCTAGTAGAATGATTTAAAAGTGCACTGGTACATATGAATACTACGTTTTTCAGCATTTATTTGCAAATTGCGGGGTGTTAAAGTTCATAATAAATGTTTGCAAATTTTCGTTTTAATTTAAAAACACTTAAAAAGACTTACAAAATTGAACCCATTCCACCTGCTCTAATGTACTGAAAACGGAACAACTTTAACTTCTATTTGAACTGAAGAACTTCTGCAAAGACAAAGACACTAAACAAAATAACACAAATGTAAAATCTCTATGCAGAGTCAGGATGCCTTCTTCCAATGTATTTATTTAAACAACAAAAAACAGTCAAAACAATCAAAAACAGTGATGAATATTTTGGTAAAATATTTTATAAATAAAATTAAAAACTATTGAAAAAACAAATTGATACTTCAGGGGTAATAAGGAAAAAATTGGTTTGTTTATTTTAATTTATAGTCCATTATGATATAAATATTGTGAAAACAAAACAAACTTAGGATATGCTTAGTTCCATGCAAATCAAATTGTCTTCACATGAAAGTTTTACTTATTACATATGTTTAATTTATTAACATAAAACTCAGTTAATAAACTTTGTATGTATTAAAATTGAAATATTATCATACATCAATAAAAATCTGTTTTCAAACATAATTAATTCAAAACACCCCTAACTTTCTGCTTACTATTAGTATACATACATATTTAGAAACTGACTTGCTTGTTAACTTCAAGAGAACGATACTTTACTTTTTTTGCAACATGTTTTAGGAGCCAGATGAATCAAGTGTGCATGCATATTTAAGGCTTTCAATAGTTGAAATTGAAATGTTTCATTATTATCAATACAAAACATACATACGAAATTCTGATCAATACTAACCTTCTTCTATATATTGGGAGAGCCATGTCTGATGCACGGAGCATTATCACATAGGTTTCTCCTCCAGATATACTGCTGACGCATGTTAAGGTTATCCTTCCGACCTGTTCGGTTTCAACTAATTTAAACTTTCCGGCTCCGTTGTTGGAAACGCTTTGGATGTCAAATACTATCTTTCCATTTAATCCAACGTCGTTGTCGGAAGCAATAATCTAAAGTGAAATTCAAACCATAATCTAAAGTGAAATTCATTTAAGGTGTCTACTTAAAAAATTCTCCAGAAACTAGAAATATGTTTATAAGACATGGATGCTCAGCCCGAAATGAAGATATGTATTGGTGTATATGAAGATTGATGAGAATATCTTGAATAGTTTCTTTAATATTAAAATCTTAAAACATGGTTATAGATGATATATTCTCACGTACTTATTGTAAATATATTACATTTGGCGTGTACGATATTTGGCGGAAAATGACATTTGAACAAAATAGCGTAGATTTGATTCAGCTCATTTCTTTATGATCTTATCTATTAGCATATGCGCAAGAAATTAAGCGTTATATTTGAATTAGCGGAAGTTTCTTTCCGTGAAAGGCGCTAAAAAGAATACACAGCCAAATATAATACGTTTACAGTACATATATGTACAAGAACATAACATATAAAATATCTAAAATGGTTTCTTCTAAAGTAGGCAAAATGTAACTTAAAGACAAGTGAGGTCAAGGTCACAGAAAAGTGCAAGGTTAAAAGTTTTTGATACTGTTCAATAGTTCTCACTAATATGTTTCAGCATTTTAAGTTTGATATAGATATTTTGAATGGTTTCTTAAAAACCGAGCTAAACGCTTATTATGAAAAGTGAGATCAAAGACAAAGGAAAAGTAAAATGTTTTTTTTTTTCGTAGAATATTTTACATCACTATGTGTTAGCGTATGAAGTTTGATAAAAATATCATGAATGGTTTCTCTTAAACTGAGCTACATACATATTTAAGATGAAAGAAAAAGACAGGAAGCTCAGATACTCCACGCTCCCACAAAACTCGAAGTGCTGAAATTGCCGGGAAAAATAAAAGAATATCAGTCCCTGGTAATTTTAATATGCACATCTACACATTGTGTCCTAATTTTTGGCAAAGTTTGACGAAATTCTGTGCAGCAGTTAATGAAAAGTTGATCTGACAATCTGATCATTTTTATATTAAAGGTATGGTCAATGGCCAAAAATCTGAGTTGAAAAGCGCTGAAATTGCCGTACAAAATAAAGGAATCAGATTTTTCTGGTAATATGCACATATACACATTGTGTCCTAAATATCTGCAAAGTTTGACCAAATTCTGTGCAGCGGTTTATGAGGAGTTGCGCTGAAAAACTGTTCATCTCTATATTCAAGATATGGCCAAAAATCTATGCGTTAAAGTGCGGAAATTCCCGGAAAATAATAAAGGAATCGGAATTTCCTGGTAATAGGCATATCTTCACACTTTGTCCTAAATATTTGCAGAGTTTAAAGAAAGTCTGTGCAGCGGTTTATGAGGAGTTGTGCTGACAAAAAAAAACAGGACTGACGGACTGACTGACAGATGGGTCAAAAACATTATACCTTCTGCAACTTGTTGCGTTGGGTATAAAAAGCGAGGTCGAAGTCGAAGGAAACGGAAAAGTAAAAAAAATGATAGCTCTCATCTGTGCATGTGTATCAGCATATGAAGTTTAGCGAACATGACAAATTCTATATTCCCCGGCCATTTTCATGGCCAGACATATGTTAAACTGAAAGTTGCCTTTTCGATCTACCCGCAAAGTAATCTTATAATAACATTTAAGTCAGAAAATTTTCTGATATTAAAAAACATACCCGGTATTCCTTAAAGTTCATGCGCTTATTTTCCCGATCACCTCTACTTACTTGTAAGAGCAATTGGTTGTTGAATGAGTAGTCTCCCTCTAGTACATTAACAAAATATAAAGGTGCTGTAAATATTGGAGGGTGTAAATTTGTTTCACAGCTTTCGTTTGTATATGGTGAATCTATAATGTTTACTATCACTGTTCCCTGTCCAAGCAACGGCGGAATTCCTTCGTCAGTTGCAATGATTTGTAACTATAAAATATAAAATCATTATAAAATACAACCTTAATAGTTGAACAGCAGCAAAGGAAAGACAATGTTTCTCTCTTTCAAAAAAAACATACACTGTAGTACAAAAATACTTATTCATACTGGTCATAAAACTGTAATGTAACAATCACAAGTTACAATCACTAGTTAAATATCGATGACGACGATGATGTCGATAAGAAAGGGAATCAAAAGCATTTGTTAATCGACACAATGATCCTCAAACAAAAGTCTAGGACTACAGTCCCAGAGGTTTGTTTTGAACTGAATTGAGTGAATGTTCATACTGATGTGGACAATACTAGCAATAATTAAATGAGTTTGAATTAAATCCTTTGATGATTTTTTTTTCTTAATTTTGAATATCATTTTTTTTTCTATGATCATTTGAGTGAGATAGAGTCGGTGTGTGTGTGATCGTTTGATTTATCATTTTAACTATCTTTGCTTTCTTTTTTTCCTTTTTTAGTAAATAAATTCTTTTTCCTTCAACCGATTCAGTTTTGATTTGAGAATGAAACCTAGCTCATCCTTATTACATGCAATAAAAAAGAAAATCAATTGACCTTGAATTGATCGATTCCACTTCCTCTTATCGTCTGTTTCAGAGAAATCTGACCAGAATCTGGACTAATATAGAAGTAGGTCTTTGTCATTGTATCACCTTTTATGCTAAATTTGAATTGGTTGCTCGGTGCCTGAAAGAAAGAAAGAAATTAAGGTTGGTCGCTTTGAGTTATCTTTCGATACAAAATACTATATTGTGATAATGAAATGACAAAAGTTAATATATCATAATATCAAATCAGATCCCTCAAAACATGTGTATTTATACTATAAGAAATACTGATGATAACTTCAATTTCTTTTAATTTGTATGTTTGAAAGAAAACCAGATTTACAAACATGACGGTCACTGTCGGTGGCTGTTACTGTAACAATTTCACTGCCAACTGGAAAATTCTCTACAATTGTCTGGGTGTAAGAAGCAGGGTTAAACTGGGGTGCAGCAAGGTTTCTGTTTACAGTAATGAATACTGTCGCTATAGCCGTTTTCCTTGGTGAGCCTCCGTCCTCAGCCAATAATCGCAACTGTAAAAGCACATTCACCAAAAGCTTTCATATGTTTTTGGACTGAAAGTAATGTTTATTTCTAGTCTTTGAAATTAATGCCATTAACTTTCAATGTTGTAGGTTTGAAACATGTAGGTGGGAGACTTTATTTTCAAGAGGATAAAATGCATAATGTAAAAGATAAATATAAGGTAAAATGATTTTCAAAACAGTGCAACAAAAAAGAAAACAAGCCTACATGTAAGAACACATATCAACATCTTGTAAATTAAGGACTGGACATTGGCTAAAAGAACACATATACTATACACTTCATTTCAATGGTTAACTCACCAAGAATTTAGTCTCTGCATCTGCCCTTAAATCACTATTTACAAACAAGCTTCCATTTCTTTCTACGCGGAAATACGTCAAAGCTTTGTCATCTCCAATGGCCGACACAGTCACAGTGTTAAATGGAGGCCATACAACGCATTTATTTTTACTTAAAATATTACTCGCCATATATTGTTGTTTAATAGTCTAGAAACAGCTGAACCTAACAAATGTGTACCTGTAATTTCAAATCATGAATTTCTTATTCAAACACAACTTTAATTTTATGTCAATAAATACAAAAAATAGGCAGAAGGGTCCAAGGTCATCTAAATATAATACAACACTTTCTTTGTAAAATATTTTTTGACATGCGAGACCCAAGCGATCTCCCTGTGACAGTATTTGCTTTATTTCAGAAAAGACGATCTGTGAGATTACGGATTATCTGTGTTAAAAATGATCATAAACTTTCAAAAAACGTTAGTAAAGTCATGGTTAGAGTTCCACAGTTTCTGATCTTTTGAAAGCACAGTCACACAGTAAAAAAATAATATAATTGATAATCAAAACTATACTACTAAAACAATTGATAGCAAAAAAAAATCAAACTATACAGAAACTTTTTAAAGACTACACTGGTATTGTGCTATAGAGTGAAATATATGGGGAGGTTATTTTTGAAAACCTTATGACGGTATGTTTTTGACGTTACAATGTTGTTGTTGAGTTTGCTCCGTGGTAAAAAAGAACGAGATGATTTTAAAATTAAATAAACTTTGTGACTTCTATTTTACCCCCGGGGGTCATGACTTAAACAAATTTGAACCTACACTATCTCAAAATGATTTCACCTGTTTAAAATTTTCAAGCACGACGGTTCTGGACAAGATTTTTAAATGATGCCATTCTTTCTAACTTTTAAACATATTTTTTTGAAATCATAATCATCTTCCTTGGAAGAAGACGTGGCCTTTCATCCGAAAATACTGAATCCCCTTTACCCAAGGTTACTTTGCAGAAAGTTCGATTGAAATTGACATATATAAATGTCTTGAAAAGATGAAAATGTGTAAAGTTTCCAACATCCACAACGACAACAAACAAATGAACAAAACAAGAGGCCCAGGGGCCACAGCGCTCACCTGAGCACATAAGCTTGGAAAAAGGTTTCCCTATATATTCCTATGTAAAACTTTGGTCGGCCATTTTGGTTCCTACCCCCGGGGGTCATGATTTGAACAAACCTGAATTCCTCCACATTAGTTTCATCTTTCCTGGCCCAGTTGTTCTTCAGAAGAAGATTTATTTTTAAAGATTTTTCCTATATATTCCTATGTAAAATTTTGATTGGCCATTTTGGCCCAACCCTACCTCCTGGGGTCATGATTTGAATAAACTTGAATTAACACTAACTGAGGATGATTCCAAATGAATTTCATCTTTCCTGGCCCACTGGTTCTTGAGAAGAAGATTTTTTAGAGATTTTTCCTATATATTCCTATGTAAAACTTTGATCGGCCATTTTGGCCCCATCCTACCCCTGGGAGGTCATGATTTGAACAAACTTGAATCTACTTTACCTGAGGATGATTCCACATGAGTTTCATATTTCCTGGCCAAGTTGTTCTTCAGAAGAAGATTTTTAAAGATTTTTCCTATATATTCCTATGTAAAACTTTGGTCGGCCATTTTGGCCCCACCCTACCCCCCGGGGTCATGATTTGAACAAACTTGAATCTACACTACCTGAAGATGCTTCCATATAAATATGACCATTTATGGCTTTATTCTTGAGAAGAAGATTTTTAATGACTTATCTATACATTTCTATGTAAAACTTTGTTCGGTCATTGTGGCTCCGCCCTTCCCCCCGGGGTCATGATTTGTACAACTTTAATCTACACTACCTGAGGATGATTCCATACGAGTTTCATCTTTCATAGCCCAGTGGTTTTTGAGAAGAATGTTTTTTTTTAAATGCCATTAATTTTTCACTAATTCATAATTGTCTCCCCTTTGAAGAGGGATTGGCCCTTCATTTGAATAAACTTGAATTCCTTTCATCCAAGGATACTTTGTGGCAAGTTTGGTTGAAATTGGCCCAGTGGTTCCTGAGAAGATGAAAATGTGAAAAGTTTACGACAACGGCAACGACAAAAACGACAAGGACAACGACGAACAAATTTTGATCAGAATAGCTCACTTAAGCCTTCGGCTCAGGTGAGCTAAAAACTCACCTGATCCTTCGGCGCAAATGAGCTTACAAGGATCTCTTGATTGATACAATTTAGCAAAGGAGGGTAACTCTCATTGCTTCATTTATTAGAATTTCAACCTAGATACAAGGAGCAGATAATAGGCACAGTTGTTTACATTTACATTTATTTTATTGCACTTAGTTTGTTTGCTTAATACTCAAGGGCAGAGGGGAAGACTTCCAAAGTATTAATGAGTTTTCACTTTATAATCAGCAGAACCCCGTTCAAACACCAATGAAACCTCTGACCCTGGAGCAAAGATATTCACAATTTTGGAAGGAATGTCCTTGCTTATCATTACTAAACATTTAATTTGTTTAAAACCTAGGAGCAGAAGAGAAGATTTTTGAATAAATAATGCATTTTCACTTTGTTTTAAATAAAAGCCACATCCTAGCACCTTAACCCCTAATCAGGGCAATTAATATCACAATTTTGGTAGAGTGCTCAATACTTACTACAAATCATCTCAGTAGTTTGACATCTTGATGTTCAGGAATACAGAAGATGAATTTTAAAGATTGCATTGATTTTTATGGTTTTAGCCCCTACCCCTCAGGCCCCAGGGGCACGGGAGCCATGTTTTTTCCTTTCACCATATACCTAGGTTTTTGTCTTGACCCATACATGCCAAACACCGAATTGATTAAATGATTCAGCGGTTCAAGAGAAGAAGCAGAAAATGCTTACGACCGACGTACGACGACGGGCGAATACAGATTACCTGAGTGACGCAGGTGACATAAAAAAAGTCGATCGTAGAAATCATAATACAGAAAAGAAAATATTAAATGAACATAACATATTCAGGTATTTACTAATTTAAGTTTTTAAGAAAGTTTAAATTCCTTTTACCTTTGCCATAAACAAAACCAACAAAGATAAGAAAGCAAAAAACAAACAAATTAAGAAAATAAACGAATGGTTTTTGAAATAAAATATGAGATAAAATTTATTTATTAAGATTCAGAGATAAAAACTTTACACTATTATCGGAATCTCCAAAGGTGACTTGAAGTACGAATGTTCCAACGACAACGGTCTCAAGAATGCTTGCAAAAAATGGTCCACCAGTAAAGAATGGAGCATATAAATTCCTGTACACATCTATTGTCACTGTGGCATTAGTATACGAAGCTTTGGAGGGACTCCCCATATCATAAGCTTGTACACTCATCTGGAGAATATAAACTAGGATTTTGATCATAGATACCAAGGACAAAAAACGAAATTTACAAATGTACCTTATAAAGATTTCGTTTAAATCAAACCCTCTTTGATCTGGCAAATGAATAACTGGGTTTCATTCTTTCTTCTGATACAAAATTCTACCTGATATCTAGTGGCTGTATCTAATGTAAGTTCCCTTTTCACATAAATGTTTCCAGTTAAAATGTCCAGGTCGAAATAATCAGAAGCTGGTTGTGTAGCAAACAATCTGAATCTGATCTGGTTGTGTGGAGACTGTGTGTCCCTATCCTGAGCCCTCACTGTAGCAACAGTAACTCCAAGATCTTGTGTCTCAGGGATTCTTTCAGCAACATTAGCGGTGGTGATCTCTGGGGCAAAGTTGTTCCTTTCCACTGTCACAGTCACAACAGTGACATTGTCTTTTGCTGGAATTCCATTGTCATAGGCTCTCACTCGGATCTAAAGTCACACAGAACAGAAAGTAAATTGTACAATTAAAACTCATATAACTTATAAGTGTCTCTACTCTTGCAATATTTCATCTCCCATGTTCAAAAATCTTTGCCTATCAAGAATTTATATTAAAAAGTTTGATTGTACAATTTTTTTTTATTCTTACATAGTATATCAGGTCTGATGATGAGGCCAAGGAATTTGCTACTGTGATTTGCCCAACGCTTGGATTAGGAATGGTGAAGAAAGCGGCAGCATTACCATCTCCAATGATCTCGTATCTTACAACATTGAAGGTGACGTCAGAATCTGTTGCCAGCATAGAGGTCCCAACAGCCTGTCCTACAGCGGCTTGTTGAGAGATCAGAGTTGACGTCATGGGGTTTTGCCACTGAGGAGCGTTGTTGTTCCTTATGATGTTGATGGTCAGTCTGACTTTGTTGTCTGCTTGCCGTGGTGGATTTCCACCATCTTCTGCTCTTACCAGCAGCTGTTAAAAGCAAAGTAATTGTAAAATTTGTACCAATATACTTGAATTAATGTTTTCTCTTTTTGATAAATCCATCTGATTTATAAGCTGGAATGTCTGAAAAATTTAATTTACTTTACATCCACATTATAAGCTAAATCCTAAAAATTGCTTGTCAAGTTATCAAAACAAGAGAAAGTGTAAAACAACATACATGATACATGATTGCAAATAGCACTACAACCATGTAGCTTATTCTTTACTATGTATGTGTAATATTTGTATTTCTCCGTATCAACACCCGATACTCACCACAAATTGTGTCTCAGTTCTTTGCAGTAAAGAAGTTTTTAGGAAAGTTTGTCCATTATCAGCCACAGTGAAGAAGCTTGGAGCATTTCCTTCACCTTCCACCACATATCTTACAGTATTGTAAGGGCTCTGTCAAATATTACATAAAATAATTACTTCATAGAAGAAAGTGTCAAAACTATTGACATGTCATTATGTTTTCATCATGACTTTGAACCAAAGTTTACACAAACTGATAGAATTATTTACAAATTACTGATGCAGCAAATTTCATTTATATTAAAGCAATTGAACCTACATCAATAGTCAGTTTGTTCGATTCCTGCCAATTGACTTAAAGTATATAAAGCCTCAATATAACCCTCAGGATTTTTTCCTTTGGTTTGACATACTACAGCTTATGCATTGTATCACATGTGACATCCGTCCAGCAATAATTTAAACAGATAAGTGAGAGAAATCTTACCACATTGTCTGCATCGTTGGCTTGGAAGTCGTACACTGAAGTGACGTAGTCCTGGGTCTCCGGAACTGTCACCTGAGCTGCATATGAATCACCGGCACCAGGTCTCACCCAGACTGGTTTGGCCAAGTTACTGTCCACTTTCAGCGTCAGTAAGGAGTAGGTCCTCCTGGGAATATTTGCTCCATCCCTGGCCTCAACTGTCAACTGTAAATGAATGTTTATTTAAACAGGATATTTAAAATGCAATTGATTCTAATACATATTTAATTAATCAATAATTAAAAAAATTATTGTGTAAATAAAGGATCAATATTTTCAATTCGGAATCCTATTGCATAAAATGGCCCTGTACTTATATCAATTCATTATCTATCACCCTCTTTCCATTTTCATATATCAAAATAAACTAGACACTTGGTGCTTTCATGTCCTATAATGAAATTTCGTTTTGAGAATCCAACTATTTGAAAACAGGCTTTGAGAAATTGCAATGTTCTTGAAATTTGCAGAAAATATGCGTATTTGACTACCTTCAGCAAAGAATTTAGATATGAGCACAGCCCACGATCCAACAAATAAAACACGTTTTTTGATCTTCAGAAATAGGCCTTTCATTATGTATTGGCATATTTAGGATCAGAGGTTGTGCTCTATATGAAATATTGAAAAAACGCTTCATCTTTACGTCATTTTCAATGGAATTTTCAGGATATGAGGAAAATGACGCATTTTATGAAATCATAAAGCATTGACTAGATGTGAAATTACGTCACAATTAATAGATACGTGGTCACCAACAGTCCAAGTGATAAATACTGCACTTGCAACCTAAACTGAGTGGTTTTGAATTTTCAGAAATTCTCAGGGCCAAATAAAGCCCAAAGTGGCTCTACCTCTTTCATAACACTATTTTAGTTCAGAACCTGCAAAAAGTTTACATACACTATATTTTTGTGTTTTGCCATTTAAAATAAGGACCTCTATTGTATTTGCAAAGCAGTTCTTGCGGGTAAACATAAGTGTCAAGGATTGGAGAGGTTTTCATGAGAAAGAGGACTTACCACATACTCAGCCTGTGAAAGTGAATTTGTCTGCAAGGTTACAACACCAGTTGTAGGGTTGAGGGAAAATTCATTGGTTCCAGACACCAAATAATATGAGACAACATTGAATGGAGACTGAAAGAAAATGGATACTTTTCTGTCACACAAAGATTTTTTTTTCAACTTGTGTATCAAAACATGAAAAGGACCTACTCTGGTATCACTGTCATTGGCAAAAGCAGTGAAAACGTTAAAGCCTGCTCCTGAGGTCCGAGGAAGGGACTGGGTACTGGGCAGATTCTGGAAGACTGGTGCGAAACGGTTTCGTTCCACGGTGATAGTTACTGTGGCAGTTTGTTGGGCAATTAATGGATTTTCTGCCTTATCTGATACCCTAACCTTCAGCTACAAGGAGAAAAAATGAATTGGATCAATATATGTAGAAATATTGAAAATAGCGTGATAAGAACAAAATTAATGTTATTTCAATGCATAATTCTTCTATGAAGGGTCACTATCGAAACACACATACCTCACAAATTATAGAGAAGGTGTCTTACTGCTGCAAAATTACACATTACAAAATTCACCTCAACTAATGTTATTGTGATTAAGACACGTTGTGTAAGTTGACCCATTCCCATATTATAGGAAAGAATATGTTTTATAACCAAAATTGGTCGTAAACAGGAAATTGCTATTATCAGTCTGTTTTAAAAATATGTTCTATGAAAAATGTGTTTCCATACATTTCCAAAAAAATTTCATGATCTTAAATGGAAAAGGATGGGACAGGGATCTGAAAAATCATAATCTTTCAATCTTTGCTTTTGTGATAATTTACGGCTAAAATTGGAGCTCACTAGCGATACGTTGGTAGAAAAAATTGTAATATCTTCTACACTGACAAGCCATTGTTTTCCTTAAATGGCTATTATAATTAATGCGCAAAGTGGATCCTACCACGGACAATTGATCAATCGTTGAATGAATAGCAATGTCTACGCAATCTACATATGTTCACATTTTATTTCGAACACATGGTTCAGATAAATCTATTTGACCGATATTAAATGGACTGCAAAAACTGTTCTTATGGGAAAAAAACAAGATTAGAAACGATAAAAGATGTCACGGGCGTTTGTATCTTCTTGTTGTAAACTAGAAATTATGTATACTAATAATGTTATACCTTTATAAAATTTATCCTATACAAATTTTTACGAAACAAAAGGCACAGGGGTCACATCGCTCACCTGTGCACTGGCTAAGAAGAAAAAACAAGATGTCTGTGAGCCAATGATTACTAGTAATACCCCCGCTCTGATGTGAACATAACATCATGTTAATATAAGTTCAGTGACAAACAGGTGCACGGATAAAAAGGAAGTTGAGATCAGATTCATATGAAAATAAATCCGATATCGCATACCTCAACAAAACATGACCGACCTACCTCAAAATGGGAGACGGGGTAAAGGTTGAACAAAATTGAATCTACACTAACTAGCCATGCATACAGCAAAACTCGGCTATAAAGAAGTCCCTGGGACCTATGAAATTACTTCGATATATACGTAATTCGTTATATCCGTATATGAAATCCAAGAAATTTATATAGCTATAGGTATGCAAGATGACTTCGCAATATCCGTGAATTCGCAATATCCGTGTTCGTACTAAACGAGTTTAAATGTACATATTTTTATTGACAACCCAACTTTTTTCCAACGAGTTTGAATTTAATTGTGGCTCTACCCCCGGGGGCCATGATTTGAACAAACCAGAATCTACACCACATAAGGATGCTCCCATATAAAAAATGAACAATCATAGCCTTGCTATTCTAGAGAAGATTTTTTTCTACATATATCTATTTAAAACTTTGACCGTTCATTGTGGCCCCGACCTACCCCCCGGGGTCATGTTTTGAACAAACTTGACTCTACACCACATGAGGATACTTCCACTTATGACTATTCATAGCTTTGTCGTTCTTGAGAAGAAGATTTTTGAAGATTCCTATGTAAAACTTGGGTCGGCCATTGTGACCCTACCCTAGAACGGGGGTCCTGATTTGAACAAACTTGAATCTACACCATCTGTAAATGTTTTCACATAAATATGACTAACCATTGCTCTGCTGTTCTTGAGAAGTTTTTGAAGGTTTTCCGTATTTATTCCTATGTAAAACTTAGGTCGACCATTGCGGCCCTACCCTACCACCGGGGTCATTATTTGAACAAATTTGAATCTACACCACCTAAGGATGCTTTCACATAAATATGACCTATGACTTTGCGGTTCCACAAGATGATTTTCCTATACATTCTTATATAAAACTTTGACCGTCCATTGTTGCTCCATCCTATCCCCAGGGTTCATGATTTGTATAAAATTTAAACTACACTTCCCAAGAATCCTTCCACCTGAGTTTCATTTTCCTTCCCCTGTAATTCTTGAAAACAAGATTTTTTAAAAATGCCATTAATTTTTCAATAATTCATAATTATCTCCCCTCGGAAGAGGGCATGACCCTTCATAATTTTTTGAATAATTGAACCCCATTTACCCAATGATACTTTGTTGCAAGTTTGGTTAAAATTGGCCCAGTGGTTCTTGAGAAGAAGATAAAAGTGTGAAAAGTTTACGATGACAACGACGACGACATACAAAGGACAAAGAACTACTCATGCTAACTCTCGATTCCTGCCTCCATTTTACAACCATTGAAAACAGGATTGATGACAATTTGACCATAGAGTCTTTGTTCAATACAAAGAACAGTTAAATATGTAATTTATGTATTATTATAATACCAGTGCTAAATAGTTGAAATAAGGAGGGTAGTCGATGTTTTCCTCTGAATTCGAACTATTAAGCATCACTATATTTTGAAACAGTCTTAGATATAAATGGGTGTTTCTTAAATCTTTTCTTATGTTTTATGCATGAATGAAACATGTGGAGATAAAGAACAGTATTCAAGATCAAAGGTCCATAGAACAATACAAAAAATGAGAAGGGCAAACACGGTCCTCCAAAACATCAGGTGGGATCAGGAGTCATGGAGGAGTGAACATCCCCTGCCATCAGGTCACACCCACCGTGTGCTCCTTGTCATGATCGGGAAATAACGGAAAAATCCGCCGTCAATTCAGTGTATAAATAATGGACTATCAATTAGTTTTAAAATTGTCAGTCCTCATTTGACTCAATGATAAATTGTATTTGCTGACAAGGTCATTGTATCGATTATAGAACTTAAGAAATGATGACTTTAAAGGTGACTGCTGATATTCTTGTTTCATCAAATTGTTTGTCAGTAATTTACCTCATTTTAGAAATTTTTCATACGTAGAGCATGCTCTTGCGTATCGAATCAGCTGAGATACATACACTCCATATGCAGGTGATAAAGGTATATTGCTGCATAAGTAGGGGAAGTTGACGACAGAAAAGTTAAAGTCTTTACCTTTATCACAGAGCTTGATTGTTATATCACCATTGACATCTTTTTCAAGTAAAATATCCAAATATGAAACAAATGTGTCAGACTCTGTGATATCTGTTATCTCAAGCTCACCAGGATATATCTTATCGACAAAGGAATGAAAATTACAATTGTTAATTGACAATACGTCGTTGATATATCTAAATGTGGAGTTGAAGGAAACAGCAAGTGTTTTCTTCTTTTCACGCAAAAAAAGTTTGCAAATATTCTGCTTCATATGAATACAAAAATAGTTCTGCAAATAACAGGGCGCAATTGAACCCTTGGGAATTCCAATAGATTTCTGGAAGACCTGGTCTCCAAAAAAACCATAGAAATTGACAATCAGAAACTCAAGCATCTTTTTGATGTCGACATCATAGTACAGAGGTGAGTCAATTTACGAGTTCCATTTCTATTGAAAAAACAATGAATGTCAATAATATCGAAAAGCCTGGACTTAAATTCATCATTGTAAATGGTTTTGTATAAAGTTGAAAAGTCATGCTGATGCTGATTTTGGTAAAATCTTGTGCTTTCAAAGTGTGCAAAAGTTCCTTGGAATTTTTAAGTATGGATTATTAAATACAGAAGGATAGATGGTTTTCATATTGCCCCTCAATCTTTTAATACGCGATTTTATCATGGATCTGATACATTTAACCCATTTTGAGAAAGTTTTCAGTTGTTAAGCACTTGGAAATCGATGAAAAAAGCATTTTTTTTCGTTTTTTTTGTGACCCCCCCACCCGGGTAGTGTGTGAGTGTGTTTTAAACAAATTTTCCGTTTTCCGTTGATTTCTATAGTGAAAAACACGAATTTTACCAAAATTTGAGTTATCTCTCGTTGTTTTCCCAAATAAGACATGTTTTATGAAAATTCATATGAATATAGTATTTAATATATTCATTAAAACTCATTCGAATTTCTCAACTTTTGAAAACTGACTTTGAGGTAGGCGGGAAAACAATACTTTCGCTCGCAGTTCTTTTAATCTGAAAAGATCACTTGAATCTTCAGGTCAGGTGAGCTAAAATGTCTAATATTTCTGATGTTTTACTGAGCAGGCATGAAAAATCGATGTTTGACCACAAAGCGAGATGTTGGAATTGTTGATGAGGTGTTGACCCGCTCAATTCACACAGTGGGCGGAGCGTAATCTGATTTGCATGCGATGGTGTTTAACAGTAACGGACCTGAGGTTTACAACACCTGAGACATTACTAGTACAAGATACAAACATGCATGTCAAAAAAATATCAAAATATTTTTTTTAAATGTATAACAAAACATTTTGTCCATTTTAATGCCTAATAGGTGCTGCTATTTTCCTTTCCCTTAGAAAAGTGCTTTGAACTTTGCGCATACTATATATTTATTGACTGTTATTGACTATAAATTATTTGGTCTAACGACCTCAGGCAAACAGTTTGGCTCTTTGGTCCGACAAAACGCATTTTGTACGAGAACACAGTCAATAAAATGTAAAGGATCTGCGAAGTTCAGAACACTTTTCTAAGAGAAATGAAAACAACAGCAGGCATTTAATTGGACAACAATTCATTTACATAACAATACCCATGTTCACGTGTTCTTGTTCAGCGAATCCACCTGACAATTGTATTAACCAATAATACAACAAATGAAAACAGAGGCAGATCGCCTTGCAGTAGAGTAGGAATTTAATTCGTTATAATTGTGAGCATGACAATAATAAAATAAAAATAAACAGATTCGTGGTGCTTTTCTGTTACGAAATGCATGCAGAAATGTTTGTGCCTTTCCGATCATCATTATATTTGTTGTTGTTTTTTTCAAGTGTAAAATTCCTGTAATATCCGTAGTAATCCAGAGTTGCATTCTCATCCTCATTTGGCTGATTTGTCAGTTAAAGATGTGTTGGTACCTCATTTGCTATTTTGACGCCCATAAATTTAGTCCCAATTCCCATGCAAGTATTAGATACATGACTGCAGAAAATAACCTCAAAAGGAAAACTTTTTTTAAATATTTTGAATGAGTCACTTCCTAGCCATATTTCATTGAATACGAGGGGTGATCAAAAAGTTCGCGAACTAATTCTATAACTTCCATATAAGAAACAATATTTGATTTCATTGTTGATTTTATATCAAATAAGTCCTCTCCAAATTTAATGCACATCTGCCACTGTTCTGCTCATGCGCGAATCACGTGATATAATTAAGCGGTCATGTGACCTTCTCTGTAGCGTTCTGTCACAAAAGCTGAAAGATTTTTCTAAGTGTTATATTTCTTTCCATGCAAGTTAATATTTATCACAAGAACAGTCAATTTTTCAGAAGTTGTCAAATCTCTACAACAGAAAGGGTGAATGAGAATGCTCAACAAATGGCTCAGGGGTAATCCTAGATGTTGCCAGAAAGTTTTTTTTCTGGCAGTATTGCAAGAATGTCTCCAGAAGTTGTTGCAGCTATATTTCACTATCCCAAAAAGCTTGTTTCTGGTGATAAAAATGTGTTGTTGCAATGTTGCCGCAATATAGCAACAATATTGCTGCAATAATTTTACTTTGGTAAGGGATATATATCATTTTTAGTATCTCCCTTCCTTCGCTAAAATGATAAACCAATCATTGATATAATTTCTAGGAAGCCTTTTGTCTTAATTAAGTGTGAACAAATTATCATACACTATTGAGAAGAATTTCAAAAAACGTTTGTTGAACGAGTATGACTGGGTCAACCATTTTTTGTCACAAGTGATCTACATATTTACGTCATTTTTGCATTGTGATGTCACAAAACATTATTCAGCATATGCTATTTATAAAAACTTGTGTTTAGCTATATATTACCAAATATTTTACTTATCTAAATTGTAGTTTTTTTGATATAGAAATAGTTCGCGAACTTTTTGATCACCTCTTGTAATTTACCATATCTCGGTTAATCTTACCAGAACTGATGTCAGAGCTACTAAGAACTAGAGTTTACAAATTTGCAGAACTGCAAAAAATAAAAAGGTTCCCAACATTTTAGTAGGTATGACATTAATTTAAATCTTTACTTGGACAAAGAAACATAGATTTACCTGATATTGAGATGCTGTTGCAGTGTATAATGGCTGTTTCACCAGAACTTTCCCTGAGGTTGCTTCAACATCAAAGTACTGCACAGCAGTCTGGTCCCCAATCGCAGAAAACTCAATCTGATTGTTTGGTGGCTAAAACATGAAATAAAAAATAACATTATTTTCATAAAGTAAATGTATGAATGGAAGACTTTGACTAATTTTTCCAACATATTTCTGAATAATTTTTGAATATTTTTTCTTCATTGAAGGACAGATTCACAAACAGACTAAAAAAATACACAAAGTGTTCCCGCTACGTTTGCCATAAGTTATACTGAAAATACAAAAATAAATAAATGAAGTGAAAACTTACATTAATATCTCGGTCAGTTGCTGACACTGTGACACCTGTTTCGGCTCCTGCTGGCAGATTTTCTTGAATGGTGATGGCATAGTTTAGAGGACTAAAAGCTGGAGCCCACAGATTCCTGTTTATTGTAATGGTGACTACTGCCTCATCAGACAGGGATGGAACTCCATTGTCTGAAACTCGTACCAAAAACTGAAAAGAAAAATGTGAAAATACAGTTAAGCATCAATAACTATCTATCTATCAATAGAAATCACAATATTAAGGCAAAATTAAATTATTCAACATGAAGTATATTTTATTTGGGGAAGGACACATTCTTTTCCAAATTTTACATATAACAAAATGCAAGTGGAAAAAGTCTAAAACAAAATGGTTCAAAAACTCCCCATGGCAGTTTCAATATTCCTAAGCTGTCTTTAATTTTTTTTTCAATTATATTTTTAGACTTACCCTAATTTCTGACTGGGATATTCCTCCTACAAGATTTCGTAATGTGATGCGGCCATTGGAGTCTATGTTGAAATATACAGAGGGTGACCCTACTCCCAGAGATTCGATGACATATGACAGTGTATTGAATTGAGGGATCTGTGTAAATAAAAACAAAACATATAATACAGTTTATATTAATACACATTTATGAAGCAATAGATCTGATCCCAAAAATTACATTCAGGAGATGGAAAAATTATATTTGAATTCATATAAGGATATATAGAGAATGCAACACCATCAATCATTTAAATGCTTGCAGTCATTGCCTTATCATTGTGACCACCAAAACAGAATAGTCTTGATTTTATGAGCACCATTTCATTAAACAATAGCATAAAATGCTGTAATTAAATGTGTGTTTCCAACCTTTTGAAGAATAAACTTACTCCGGTATCTGGATCAGTTGCAGAAACCTGTCCAATTGTGGTAGCAGGAGTGACTGTAGCATCCTCCCTCATGGTAAAGGCATAAGATGACGAGGGGAAGGACGGTGCTCTGTTACGCTGCACATTAACAGTGACTGTGGCATTGCTTGAGCTAGTCCTGGATGGATCTCCCAAATCATAGGCTTCTACTAGCAACTGTTATGAAAAAAGTCATTTTGTTTAGAAGTGTAGCCAATTAATTGTGGTCCCTGTGATTTACAAAACATCAGTTACACTGTCTACATTGAAAAAAATACTAATGTAAAATATATAAAACTAGAGGTACTGTGAGCGATGAGCTCACTAAATGATACCCCCCGCCTCCCATATGGTTATAAATGGTGAAAAAGTCCATGTTTTCTGTGGCCGGGAAACCCAAAATATGTGTCGGATCAAAAAGTAAAATAGGAGGTGCACAATGGCAATATGTAATAAAGATTCTGTGAAAGTTTCATCAAATTTCATTCAGTGGTATGAGAGGAGTTGCGGATAAGAGATGGGTACCCCAAAGCATAACAGACGGACGGACAGACGGACGGACGGACGTACAGACGGACGGAATTAACGATTACTATATACCCTCCCGCTTTTCAAGCGGGGGGTATAATGATAAGAAAAAAAGAGTCACACCTGATAGGTTGTGGCAGAAAGTCCATTTAATGGACTTCTGACTGTCACCTGTCCATTGCTACTGACAGCAAAGTTGCCCTGTTCACTTGGATATGTTGTCAACCCTGCGCTGGCCACAACAGCTTTCAAGCGATAGTTGACTTGGTTATTGGGTGGCTGGGCATCACTGTCTGTGGCTGTAAGGGCACCTGGACTAAGAGTTAACGGTACATCAACTGCCTGTGTTTCCAAGATGGTTGTCTGATAGTTCAGTGTATTCCACACTGGAGTGTTCCGGTTCCTATTCACCTTGATGGTAACCATTGCATTAGCAGACTGAGAGGGACTACCACCATCTGTAGCAACTGCTACCATCTGTGAAGTGAAGATGGTACAGATCAAATTTAACATTTAAAAAATCTTTCTTTTTATGCGCCCGGATCGATAGATCCCGGGCGTATATTGTTTTTGTCCTGTCTGTTTGTCAGTTTATCTGTTTGTCTGTTGTCTTTCTGTATGTTGTCAACTTTAACCTTCGCCATAACTTTTGAACAATAAGAGATAGGGACTTCATATTTGGTGTGCATACTCCACTAATAAAGTCCTTTCAAATGACATCAAGGTCAATAACCTTGTGACCTTGACTGTGACTTATATGCTAAAAATAGCTTTTTACACTGTTTGTCATAACTTTTTAACCATAGGAGATAGGGACTTCATATTTGGTATGCATACTTCCTTTAATAAAGTACTTTCAAACAACGACAAGGTCAATGATCTTGTGACCTTGACTGTAACCTATATGCTAAAAATAGCTTTTTCCACTGTTTGTCATAACTTTTTAATCATAGGAGATAGGGACTTCATATTTGGTATGCATACTCCTCTAATAAAGTCCTTTCAAACGACGACAAGGTCAATGATCTTGTGACCTTGACTGCGACCTTTATGCTAAAAATAGCTTTTTACACTTTTTGCCATAACTTTTGGACAATAGGAGATAGGAAATTCATATTCAGTATGCATACTCCACCACTTAAGTTCTTTCAAACGACATTAAGCTCAACGACCTTGTGACCTTGCCTGTGACCAATATGCTAAAAATAGATTTTTTTCTTTGTTGCCACCGTGCGCATAGTGTTTCACAAACACATCTTGTTCATGTTATTTTGGTATCAAAAGATTATGAAAGTGACATTTTTAAGAAGCATACCTTCAAACAATAACTTTTCGAAGTTTAAAATATGGCAATAAACAAAAGAAATTGCATATGTCTCAACGTAATACTACGGTATGTACGTATGATAGCCGTGTTTCACCTGAAAGAAAAACTTATCAAAATCCCATTGTGATGTAAAATATGCATTATTACATAATATTGAACCATAGGAGACAGGGACTTCATTTTTGGGATGCATACTCCACCGATTAAATGCTTTCAAATGACACTAAGGTCAATGACCTTGTGACCTTGACTGTGACCAATATGCTAAAAATACATTTTTTGAACTATGTTGCTGCCAGGTGCATTGTGTTTCACAAACACATCTTGTTCATCATGTTTCTCTATTGAAATTAAAATATTTGTTTCAGTAACAAATAACAATAAGCCACAGCCATGCTTACATTTAAGGTAACAGTTGGGTCTCCAGTCAGTGCACTCTTCACTCTAACGATACCAGTCGCTGGTTCCATTGAAAACAGGTTATTTCCAGCAGTGTTGGCTAGCAGTGTAAAGGTTATTGTTCTGAACTGTAACTGCAATTAAATTTTCATAACATTGAATTTCACAAGAACTAGGTAGAGTAAGGTTTTTGTGTTACAAAACAAATGCGTTACAAACTTAATGCTCTATCTTTATGTTAAAAAAAATTACAACAGATATTACAAATAATTTGGTCTGTATTAGAATCTTTGATATTAAAAGAAAAGTGTACAGAAAATAAAGATCTCTCTCTATATTCAATTTGTCAGAAAAAAGTCCAAGTTCTTACTTCAGGATCCTGATCACTGGCCCGTACTTGTAGAATACTGGAGCCTACACTTAATGTCTCTTCAATTTCTTTGTAATATGAAGTGTCAAAGAACACCGGAGGATTAGAGTTTCTGATGATGTTAACGGTCAGAGTGAACTGATTTGCTGCTACTCTATTTCCACCATCTCTTAGTTGGATGGTCAGCTGAAATACCAAAAACATCATGACTTAATTAAATGTATTTTATGAAGTTTGTTTCATTAAATTCAATTTCATTTACACAAATGCTTTGTTTTAATGCTGATAAGTTCATTCTTCCAAACTTTAAAGGAACATTTCTTAAAACTGAATATTTCTGGACTGTTAAAAGACTTCATAAATTACATTTCCACTGTATATCAGAGGTCAACCTTCTTTTGTAAGTCACAGTTCATCACACTCATAAGAGAATATTATTATGCATCACAGTATGAATGGATTGCCAAGAAAAACAATGCATACTTACCACATACTGATTGACAGACCGATCAATGGCCAGAGAACGAATAATTTGAACTTCTCCTTGACTGTTAATTTGGAAATGCTGGGCAGCACTGGCAGTTGATAAAATGCTGTAGACTTTAGTATTACCTGGTTCCTACGATTAAAAAGTTCTCATACTTTCAATAAAAATTCTATTGAAAACATATTTTTTGGTTTGAATTCATGATACTTCATTTCAGTATTGAATATCATACAGCATTTGAAATATGATTTTCTGTACCTGAATATCCAAATCTTGAGCTGACAGAGTGTAGACCGTTTCCAGGACAGGTCTATTTTCAGTAACACTGATTGAGGCACTGTAGGGGCCACCAAGTGGAAGCCACTGAGGGTCAACATTATTGCGGTTCACACTGACAATAACCGTCCCTGTATCAGACAAACCTCCATTGTCTCTTGCTACAATGATCAGCTGTTAAAAAAAAATTGTCATTCATGATAAATCTTCCAAAATAAGGAATAAAATCTCTTCTATTATTCTAGTGATTATTCAAATAAATGTTCACAATATACTTAATGATTACTAAAATATTCTGAATCTCCCTCCTGTGATATGTATAATTCATAAATTATTTTAAAAAACCTTTTCTTTAATATTTTACTATTCAAGGAGTCAATCCTAATTCCTATATCCATATATTGCCTTGAAACTATAATGGGAGGGATATAAAAATCCTAAATGTGTTTACTTACGGAATACTGAGAAGCATCATCAGCTGTAAGAGAGCTGATCAATGTAATCCGTCCACTGTTAGAGTCCAGTCTGAACAAGGAACCAGTAGTGGCATCTGTTATCATGGAGTATGTCACCTGGTTAAACTGAGGCTGTATAAAAAAAGACGATAAGCCATTTTAGAATTAATTAAGCTTGAACTAACAAACAATCCATTCAAATATTTCAGTTGTTGATAATTTTCTTATAATGTAAGTGCATGGTATCAACTGCTTCTAATGCTGCCGTACCTCGTTATCATTGTCTGTGGCTGTGTAGGTGGTGACTTCAGAATTAACCTGGTGGCTGTTGAGAATGTTGACCGTCTTGGATTTAGGAGCCGGGAAAAATGGAGCTGTGTTTCTGACCACAGTGATGGTGACTGTGGTAGAAGCAGACAATGGGGGTACTCCACTGTCTTGTACAGTCACTACAATCTGTAGATTAAAAAAGAAAAGCACCCTATATTATTTAATCCAACTACCAGCTCGCTTAAAAGCCTAACTTGTGCAGATCATTCAAAGAGTTTAAATTCATCCAGAAAAATCCTGGACAACAGAGACTGGAAATAACATGAAATATACTGTATGTACTTACATCATATCTTGTAACACCAGGGTCTTGTTGAAATGATCTAGCCAGTGTGATCTGACCAGTTGCTGGATTGATATAGAACCATTCCAGGATGTTCTGATTTTGTGTTGGACTGGAGTTCACAGAGGTAATTCGGAAAACCAGTCGACTGTTGGCCGTGTTCTGTATTTTAAATAGAAGATGACTCATATTAGTATAAGACTTGTTATATTTTTAAAATCATTTAAAAGAGATACTTTCATTACAATATCAATTTCTTGTTATGAGCAACATAGGATAAGTTTGTTAACTGACTGGTGCATCAGCATCTGTTGCTGTAATACTGGAGAGGAGAACGGTCCCCACTGGGACGTTTTCTAGGAACCGTAGATTGGAAGGTACAGCCTGAATCACTGGAGGATAATTGTTTATATCCTATGAAGACAAAAGTGTGCATTTTTATTAAAAACGGATTGTAGAACTTTATATTGCAAGAAATTGCGTAGGAAAATACTTCTGTGATTGGAATTCTTCAAAAGTGTTTCAGCTGATCGTTATGTTGTTAGAAGGAACAATCAAAAGCTTGATTGATAAAGCTAAACTGGAGTTCCTTAATTATTAGTCTGAATTCAAAATCCAAATATTCTATGCAGTTTAATACTAAAAGAATAATTTATCATATATACAGCAATATTAATTAACCTCTAGATATATTGAGACTGTTGCTGTTGCAGACAAAGCTTTGGAACCTTCTCCTTCAACTGTGGTCACTTGGAACACATAGCTATTTTTAGTCTCATACTGGAGAAGTTGGTTGTTTGTAATCAGGCCACTATTCTGGTTGATACTAAAGACACTGAATTCTCCTGCACTGAATTTGTAAGTGATCTGATCCACTACATCCTGGTCCAAGGCCTTCAAAATCAAACAAGAGGCCCAGGGGCCACAGCGCTCACCTGAGCACATCGGGCTTGAATTTACCCCCCCCCCCTCCAGGCGTTCATCATTTGAACAAACTAGAATCTACACTACCTGAGGATGATTCCATATAAATACAAAAATATCACTAATCATAGCTTTGAAGTACTTGAAAAGAAGATATTAAAAGGTTTCTCTATATATCCCTTTTGAGTAAAACTTGGGTCGGCCATTTTGGCCCCACCCTTGCCCTGGAGGTCATGATTTGAACAAACTTGAATCTACACTACCTGAGGATGATTCCACATGAGTTTCATCTTTCCTGGCCCAGTGATTCTGGAGAAGGATTTTTAAAGATATTTCCTATATATTCCTATGTAAAACTCGGGTCGGCCATTTTGGCCCCATCCTTGCCCCAGGGGTCATGATTTGAACAAACTTGAATCTACACTACCTGGGGATGATTCCACATGAGTTTCATCTTTCCTGGCTCAGTGGTTCTGGAGAAGAAGATTTTTAAAGATTTTTCTTATATATTCCAATGTAAAACAAGGGTCGGCCATTTTGGCCCCACCCTTGCCCCAGGGGTCATGACTTGAACAAACTTGAATCTACGCTACCTGAGGATGATTCCACATGAGTTTCATCTTTCCTGGCTCAGTGGTTCTTTAGAAGAAGATTTTTAAAGATTTTTCCTATATATTCCTATGTAAAACTTGGGTCGGCCATTTTGGCCCCACCCTTGCCCCGGGGGTCATGATTTGAACAAACTTGAATCTACACTATCCGAGGATGATTCCACATCAGTTTCATCTTTCCTGGCCCAGTGGTTCTGGAGAAGATTGTTTAAAGATTTTCCCAATAAATTCCTATATAAAACTAGGGTCGGCCATTTTGGCGCCACCCTTCCCCCGGGGGTCATGATTTGAACAAACTTGAATCTACACTACATGAGGATGATTCCACATGAGTTTCATCTTTTCTGGCTCAGTGGTTCTTTAGAAGAAGATTTTAAAAGATTTTTCCTATATATTACTATGTAAAACTTGGGTCGGCCATTTTGGCCCCACCCTTGCCCCAGGGGTCATGACTTGAACAAACTTGAATCTACACTACCTGAGGATGCTTCCACATGAGTTTCATCTTTCCTTGCCCAGCGGTTCTGGAGAAGAAGATTTTTTAAAAATGCCATTAATTTTTAATAAAATCATGATTATCTCCCCTTGAAAAAGGGCGTGGCCCTTCATTTGAACAAACTTGAATCCCCTTCACCCAAGGATACTTTGTGCAAAGTTTGATTGAAATTGGCCCAGTGGTTCTTGAGAAGAAGATGAAAATGTGAAAAGTTTACGACAACGACAACAACGACAACAACAACAACGACAACGATAGACAACGGACAAATTTTGATCAGAAAAGCTCACTTGAGCCTTCGGCTCAGGTGAGCTAAAAAGTATTACTTAATATCTACTAGACAGGATAGGAATCAATCCACAGTTTAAATAAATAACATAAATGTTGAGAAACAAATTCTTTATTAATAACCCAGAAAATGATAAATGCATCTTTTCTGGATAGAATCGTACACAAGTCAAAAAATCAAGGCTGTGTGAGGGATGTTTCATGAATTTCTTAAATATAATGCCTCTATTATTAAAGAGTAAAGTTGTCCGACCATACCGTGACTTGCACAACAGATGTACCAACTGACTGTCGTTCAGGAATAGATCGAACAAAGTTATCCTCTGTAAACAAAGGAATGGTGTCTTGTACATCATGAACGTTGATAGTAACAGTAGCTGTTCCTGTTCTACTACTTGCTCCTCCATCAATGCCCAGAAGCAGAATCACATGAGAATTTCTTGTTTCGTAGTCTAAAGGAGTGGTTGTTCTTATTAGCCCAGATCGTAAAATGGTAAATCTGTTGAAAATATAAAATGAAAGTTATTTCTATCTCTAATTTAATCAGTATTCAAAGAAACTTTATATTCCAAGATTTTCTTTTTTTTAAAAGATGCAAAGATACTTTACATGAACTTACAAATCAGAAGAACCAGTAGATGAATAAGGTGATATCTGGTAATTAATATTTGCATTTGCACCTTTGTCAGCATCTGTTGCCTACAAAATCAAAATGCTTGGGGTCAAGAAAAAATTATAATTGCATATTAGCAACTAAGATATAATGTATTATATGTTTCCTTCAAAGGTGTTTACCTAAAAAACAACTGATTTAATGTACATGTACTACTATGACTTACTGTAACTGTTCCTACATCTTCATTTGATCTTCCCTCAGGTACAGAGAAGGTGTAAGTAGCAGGTGTAAAAAGAGGATTGTTATCATTGACATCTTGGATTATAATTGTCAAAATTGTCTGTGCAGACTGAAATAAATATTGAATAAATGAGATTCTCAGAATAAAACAAGCTACACCTTGGACCCGTTAATGATGAACATTTTCTCTGTATCAATTTAAAGATTATAAAAATAGAGAAAAAACACATTGATGTCCTATTCATCTTTATCACATTTTTTAAATAAATCATTTCCTTTTAAGAAAATTTATGTATCCGAATCACTTGATTAAAAAAATATTTCAATCCAGAAAAAAAATTGTTTTTTTTTCTGTTATTTTTGTAATAAAGATTGTTTCTTATATCGAGATTCATGACACATTATAGGAACATCACTATAGATATATATATGATTAAACATTCACTTACTAGTCCACTCTGATCCTGGACTCTAATATTAAGAGTGTACTGAGGTGTAGCTTCTCTGTCTAAAGCTCTTTGCGTTCTCACTTCACATCTGAAATATGGAGATCGAATATTCATTGACAAAAATGAACATTCTCTTAAATCTATTCTAAGAAAAACAGACTTACGTTGTCGAATTAATGCCGAAGTCATTGTTGACATTTCCTGAGATGATGGAGAAACTCAATGGTAGTCCTTCTGGGTCCCTAGCCTATGATATTAAAATGAATGCAATAGACAAAGTCAGCACTGATTCATTGGCAGTTTACCATTAATGCCAATCTCAAGAAAATAATTTTGATATGGACATAATGTCAGTGTTATATTTAGGTGTTGGTAGTAATTTACAGATTGAATTGTATATATTTACATCCACTGAATATTTTCACATTTATCTCTAGAAACCCCATTGCGTTCATCACTGCATAAACTACAGTAGGCAGGTCGCCTGTACAGATTTCTTAATCAGTGGCTGTTCCATCAATGAAACGTATAAAGACGTTCGCATCATTGATACAATAATTAATCTTTTTAATCCTACTTTAATTGATTATTTAAACAGATATAAATATAAACAATAAAATGCTTTCTTTGTTTGTTGTTACTGGAATGAACGGTCGCAGCTATTGCAGAAAAAATTTACATAACCCGCTTACGCGGGTTATGTATTTTTTCTGCAACAGTTGCTTCCGTTCATTCCAGTAACAACAAACAAAGAAAGCATTTTATTGTTTAAATAATTCTTGTAAGATCAAATCTTGATAGCATAGCATGGTGAGGATTTAGTGCTGCGTATATGAATGTAGCAATTTTTTTCATGAATAAAATTGCAAATTGCCTAAAAAATGTTCTTTTTTTTTCAATATTATATAACACTACAGAGTACTAGTATACAATATTAACCCAAGGCAGTGTCATAATCTTCTTTTAGTAACTGTCATCCTAGTTCTTAATAGAAAAAAATGCACTGTGCATCAAAGATGACTTTAAGAGCAGGGATTACCAGTTAAATTATTGTATATAAAAAGAAATAACATTAGTACTGACTACAAATTTATTTGGCTCAATGGACAACAGCCGCTTAAATTAGGGAGCCGAGGCATCAATATACTGCTTTGTAATGACATCCTTAGAAAATGTGAACCCTGGGCACATATGTCCACCGACTAGTCCATATCTGAAAACACATCTTAAAAAGTATCAAGAGAGTTCAATGAGCCAACTAGTAAGCCCAATATTCGCCACGAGACTGTACACAGTCTGCACCACCAGTAGGCATGCATGTGGCAAAAATAGCAAATTATGATATTTATGAGCAAATGTTGGGAACAATTAGCAGGAAATAATTAATTTCAAAAAAGCACTATGTCATATGAGACTAATTTAAATCCACATAGACATGAACAAACTGTGTGTACTGTAAACCAACTTTTTATTTGTAACGACTTTATTTCGCGATTTTTGGGGGGTAACTAGTTCGCAACGATTAATTTTCGTAATCAACACCTATTTTGGATATTGTATTAACAGACACAGGTAATTGTTCCCAAAATTTGCTAATATTTTATTCTAGAACAGATAATTTCTTCATCACTTTTATGACGAAGACTTCTTTTTTTGTAGTAAACAACCCCCATTTTGTTAAGGTTTCGTCGACACTAGCAAACGACAAAAGACCTTTTAAAAGTTTTGAGCTAACCACTTTTTAGTTCCCCTGGTATCATAGGTCAGAGGCAATTTAATTAAGTAATTATTTCTGCAAAAAATCATCCCCATTATTTTTAAACATCATTCATAGAACCCAGATTTTTTCATTAGATCTAATTTTCTATGCAAGCGACCTTTTCCGAATTTGTTTTAAAACTAGGGATCAAAGACGTTAAACTTTTGAAAAAATATTAATATTAATTTTATTTTTGCAAATTATTTATAAAGGGTAAAATCAAAAAGATATATATTTATGGAAACTTTTTAAACTTTTTTCACTGGCATCAGACAGAAAATAACCTTTTTATAATTAAAATGACAACCGTGAAAACTAACTATATAAAATATAGTACACAAATCAATGAATGCGTGTATCTTTGCTCTATTAGCCTTAGAACATTTTAATATATGTATTGTTTTCCTTTAATGGGAAAAAAAGTTTGCATTATTAATGTACGGTTTAGTATAACTTTGATTTATTAATGTATATTTATTATAGTATAAGTTTGATTTATTAAAGCTTAAAAGCTTTCAGAAATGAACACTTCACATCATAAGACTGCTTGGTATTACCTGTATGCGTTTGCCTAACAAAAATATTCTAAAAAAAATAAATGTTTTTGCATCAAAAAATAACAATGGGTCGTTATTCTACGGGGTCATTTTTCTACCATGCACACGGAGAAACGACCCCAAGACCACAATTTCTACAAAAAACTGGGTGATTTTTCTACGTAGAATTTTGACCAGGGGGTCAAATTTCTATGTAGAAAAATGACTCCCGGTCAATATTCTACGAGGGTCACTTTTCGTCGTTACACCGGCACCCATTGTTTACATATTATGACATGTAACATAATCCCAAACGTCTATTGTTCTTTTATTGACGCAGAAAAAATCAAAGTACTAAGACAGTACTGAAAGACGGGGTCAAAATAATCTTCATGCTAGATTTCACAAATGTGATTTTTTTTTACGAGTTTTAACAAGTTTAATTTTTCATTAACATACTAAAAACAAAACTATGAATAATATACATTCACAATTTTCATTTAATTTGATTTGAAGTAGAAATTTTAATAATTGCTCAGTCTAGAAATCCTTTCTGAACTGCCCCGAATTTCATCAGGTACGAACTAATAATTTTTCCGGAAGTAAACAATGGATGATGCGTACACAGTCATAATAATACGCAGGATATTACTTTATCTACTAGTATTATTTACAGTTAATATTTTCAGTTTTAAATTATCAAAATACTTTATTAGTTGAGTTAGACAAAGGTTCATATCAATTTCTTCAGTTTGATACAAAATGTTTATGTTTTGATTGAAACAATTTCTGCACTCTTTCGTATGCGTAGATTTAATTCATGTGTTATCACCACGGCTTCCTTTTTCTATTTTTAGGCCTCTGAGATAAAACTAAAAGACGGGGTCACGTGACCCCGTCTAAAAACTACCGCACATCTTTTTCTATCGCAACTATAGCAAATAAAATAAAGACTTTACTAATATTTTGTAAATGGCAAACTGGACAGGTCATAAAAGTGATTTATATACTGGAAGATCCGTCTGTCCGTCTGTACGTCCGTCTGTTACGCTTGGGATTTCCCATCTCTCATCCGCAAATCCTCTTCTACCACAGAATTAAATTAATTTTTTTTTTCAAAAAATCTTTAATATATAATTTATATAGTGTCTTTGTGCACCTTCTGTTTTACTTATTGATCGAACACATATTTTTGGTTTCCCAGAACAAAACATGAGCACGGACATTTTTTCTATAACATTGAAGGGCATCGATCTCTTATCCGCAACTCCTTTTCTACCGCTGAATTAAATTTTATGGTACTTTCAACATGTTCAAATATTCTTTATTATATAATGCCAATGTGACTTCCATTTTAACTTTTTGAGCTGACACTTAGTTCGGATTTCCCAATGCAAAGAATGGACTATAAAATTGTAACCATATGGGAGGCGGTGTTTTGTGAACGTATTGATCAAAGTGTGTAGATGATCAGTCCTCAATGGCAAATGATACTACCTTTGATGTTTTAGAGGTATGCTCTGCTCCAAAACATATATTGTTGAATAAACATTTAAGCTTGAATACTGTTCGTTATGGCCATAGATTTCATAAATTATGAATGTAAGACTTAAAGCACCACCAGTTGTATTACATTGTGATAATCAGCGAAAAGACAGTTGTTAGAGGAGGAAAAAAATATTTTCAGAATTCACAGCGGGACCTAAAACACTGCAATTCTGGGTAACATACCGGAACAGTGAACACAGATGAAGCAATTGGAACAGCTTCACTGACATAAATTGTAAAAGCCGGGGCCTCAATGACAGGTGGGCGTGTTCCTAATGGGGTCACAGTCACTTCCACTGGTACTGTGGCAGTCCTACATCAAAAGAGAAACAGTTATTATTTCATAAAAATTTGAAGTGCTTAATGTTTTCATAGTTCCATATTTAAAAAAAACATTCAAAAACTTAATACAAATGAACTTAAATTGCTTGTGCAGAGTTTTATGATTTATAATCTTCCCAGTGTCAAGCTTTCTCATCCCTTCCCCGTCCTTTAAAATGACACACCCCATTACCACTTCCCCCCTTAAGAACAGTACACTTATGTACCTTCTTTCAGAGACAGGTTGACCTTGGTCTGTTGCAGCGACCATGATGACGTAAATTTCCCCCTCTGCTACACTTCCTCTACAACTTATTGTTGCCGCTCCCGTAACTGAATTTGGCTGGATTGAAAACTTGGAAGCCCCATTGTTTGAGACACTTTGTATGGTGTAAACAATGTAACCATTTGCTCTGCTATCTGCATCACTGGCTGAGACCTAGAAAGTATGGATTCAAAATATGTAAACTTTTAATATAAATGTTATTTATTACTCACAAGTCACACAAATTAAGAAATTTTAATTAAGTGTGAAATATTAATTTTCACCCACATCCAGCAAAACTTGATTGTTTGTAGTATAGTCCCCCTCTGTTATAGTGTCTACATATCTCGGAGCACCAAATACTGGAGTGTTGTCATTCAGGTCTCGCACATTAACAGTGACCTGTACAGTTCCACTTCTTGGGTTCTGGGTTCCAACTTCAGTTGCTGTCACCTAGATTTTAATTTCAACGAAAAATGCCTTAGTAGGCCACGTCATTATAATAATATGAAGTTTGTATAAGCAGCACCAGCACATTCTCTTAATTTGAAATCACACTTACAGTGAAAGTGACAGTTGGAGTGGATTCATAGTTTAGTATGGCAGCTGCTTCTACATATCCTTCACTGTTCACTCTAAACTGTCCTGTGTTGACAGTGAAGGTGTATTGTCCAGTCTCACCTACAATCTGTAATTCAATTCCATAAGTTAGTCCTCAAATGTCAAGTATTTTGAGAAAATCCCATAATTTTTATCTCATTATAATTGATTTAAAATTAAAATCTTACCAAGTCAGGATCAGTAACAGTGATTTTTAATAGGCTAGATCCATCAATATTCCTTGGTATGGTTCCTACTGGTGAATTTTCGTAAATGTATCCTTGGAAAGGTACACTAAGCACTGGGTTATTGTTATTGGCTGCAGCAACTGACAATTTTATTGTAGCTCTGTTGGAGTATCTGTTTGCTACATTTTCTTGAGCCTTTTTTTTAAGAAAGAGCATTTCTGTAAGAATTTTAGCATGAACTTCATTGTAAATAAACTTCAAAATGAAGGAACAAAAAAATATACCTCAATGAAAAGTTCCAGCTCAGAAACTTGGGATCTATCAATGGATGCTGTCTGGCTTACAAGGGCTCGATACTGACTTGCTGAGCCAGAAACTTGTTGTGTGGTCACTTGGAATCTGTTCTCATATCCAGATGGCAGGGCTGATGAGAAATTACCAAATTGTCTGTATTGTCTCTAGGTATCAACAAATTATGCAGAAAATCTTATCAACTGTTGATAAATAAAATAAAAACATTGTAACTTTGATCAACGTCCAACATAGAATTCCAGTTTATCGGTATGTTTTCGTTTTTATTTTCGCTTATTACAATTCTGATTAACATTAATTTATCGCTGAGGCAATATTTAAGACATATTTAAAGAAGACTATACATCGTATGAAGAAATTAAATTGGAGTCTTTAAAAATAAAAATTTATCTAATGTTGAAAGCAGTTCTAATAGGATAAACATTCTGTAAATTATAGAACCGTGCTAGCACTATATGTAGTAATAGATCTAGTGACATTCTTTATGAACAATATTTATTTTCAGCCTTTATGATTAGTCTGCATCTATATCTGTATATTTTACATTTCAATCTGTCTTTACACATAATTTGATAAAATGGACATATTTATATGTAAAATGTTCCTTTATATAATTTTTGAAATTTACGTTTAATCTATAATACACGTAAAATTTAATCCTTAATCTGTAGAATTTACATTTTAATCTGACTTAATATAGTGTTAAATTAATATAAAACAGTGTAAAATTTCCAAATAATCCTGAATTTAACATAACTTAAGGTGAAAATTTAAGTTTTACAGATTTTATATGTACGGTATAATTTACAGATTAATGTGAAATTTTAGATTTATAGGTAAATTTTACAAATTAATCCATTTTACACATTAAAATGTATTTCCAGAGATAAAATTGGAAAATAAATAAAAATGTCGAAACAGAGTGTATACTTCTAGGTTTCCAGGACGGCGCAGAGGTAAGAGGGTTTGCTCTGGCGACATCGAGTATGTAATTGATCATTACGTCGCGAGTTCGAATGAGACTATAAAATTGAGGTCCCTTGTCGACATAGGTGCTGGCATAAAAAAATCCAAAAACAAGAGGCCAACGGGCCTTATACGTCACCTGAGTATCATATAACAACTTTCCAACAATTGAATTTGGTTCGTGTTTTGCACCAAAAGCTATGAATTCTATAATTTTGAAAGAGGCACAATTATTACAATTATACACTTAGCATGCTTACTTTGGTTACTTAATACCCAGAGATAGATCAGAGTATCAAAGATAAAATGCATTTCTACTTCATAACCACCAACTGTGCAGCCCACCCCACAGGAACCACTGACCTTGAGGTCACATACATGCATTTCAAAATTTTGGAAATTTTATCAGAAATTTTATTTCTTCATAAATGGTTAATTGATACCAAAGAACAGATTTCAAAGCATTAACTTATTTTCAGACTATGTACCCCCCGCCCTAGTATACTTGACCCTGAGGCCCTGAAATTGACCATTTTGAAAGAGACAACTTTCTTCATCATAGATATGTACTTAGATCATTTGCATAATACACAGGAGCAAAGGAAAAGATTTTTAAAGAATTAAAGCATTTTCACCCTACAATCAATAGAGCCCCATCATAACACCAAAACCCCTGACCTTGAGGCCCTGAAATTCCCAATTTTGGACGAAGCATCCTTCTTCATCATAAATATATGCAGAGCTTATTGGTTTGATACCCAGGGCAGAAGAGAAGATTTTTTAAGAATTTATGCATTTTCACTATATAATCTAAAGAGCCCCATGAAGTTCACAATTTGGGAAAAGGCAGACTTATTCAACATAACCATATACTTGGTAAATATGTTTAAATTCCAGGAGCAGAGAAGTTTTTTTTAAAGAATTCATGTATTTTCACCATATAATCAACAGAGCCCCACCCGTAGACACGACCCATGACCAAGGGGCCTTGAAATTCACAATTTTGAAAGAAGCATCCTTCTTAATCGTAACTATGTACTTGGTTAGTTTGTTTAATACCCAGGAGCAGAGAAGGAGTTTATGCATTTTCACTATATAATCAATAGAGCCCCGGCCTAACACCTGAACCCCTGACCCTGGAGCTATGAAATTCACAATTCTGGAAGAGGCAGCCTTATTCAACATAATTTTGTACTCGGTTAGTTTCTTTAATGCCCAAGAGCAGACAAGAAGATTTGCAAATAATTAATGCATTTTCACTATATAATCTATTTAGCCCCACCTAGCGCTAGAACCCGTTGACCCTGGGGCCATGAATTTCACAATTTTGGTAGAGGACTCAATGCTGATTACAATCATGCCAACAGTTTCACAGCTTGATGTTCAGGAGTAAAGAAAAAGATTGCATTAATTTGAGTGGTTTTCTTCCAATCCCTCCTCGGGGACCATGAAATTCACAATTTTTGTTCCCATTCACCAGTAGGTGCTTAGTGCCAAAATTGGTTGAAAGTAGTTGAGCGGTTGCAGAGAAGAACCTGAAAATGTTCAAATATTAACACACGACGAACGACTCACACCGCACGACGACGTACGAAATTGGATAGCAATAGGTGAAGCTGAGTTTACTCAGGTGACCTAATAAAAAACACCAACAACAAAAACAAATAAACAAAGCAAACAAAAACAAACAAAGTAAACAATTCTGTAAGTAAATAAAATATGTACTTTAAAGGTGATTGGATATAGAATCGAAGTTGATATTTTCTCAAATTTTCTGTATATTTTCAGGACTTATATATTGCTAAAGCATATTACACGGAAATGTAATGACAAAACATTTCACAGGGAAATGTAATAACAAAGTTTTTTTATCTCGAAAAAATTGAAACCAATTAAAATTTCGGGAGGCAAAGTGAATTACAAAGAGGATAACCTTATCTCAGTAGAATACAAATCTATAAGACCCTGGCCAGGACCAGAATACTTGACCAAATGTTTGAAACTCTGGTAAAATGTTCTGGCATATTTAAAAACATTTACTGTGTTTGCCTTTGATATACCAAAAGAAGATTTTCAAGGAAATATAAGAGTAAAGAATCTATGAAAGTAACATTAAATCTTATTCAGTGGATTGGAAGAATTGCGGATAAGAGATGGATATACCCTTCAATATTACAAAGAATGGCAGTATCCATGTAATGCTAAGGGAGCCCAAAATATGTGCCAGATCAAAAAATAAAATAGAAGGTGCACTTTGGCACTTTTTAACAAAGATTCTGTGAAACCTCATTAAATTTCATTCAGTGGTAGAAGATCTAGAGGCGTTGTGGATAAGAAATGAGTACCCCAAAGCGTATCAGACGGACGGACGACATACAGAAGGATGGGTGGGTAATTATCCCATCACTGTATACCCCTTCCCCCTGCTTTTCAAGTGGACGTATTATAAGTCACGTTTACAACGAAGAAAACAACGAAGAATGAATTTATTATAATGTTTAAAATAGTATTCGGGACAAGTTAAATGTCAACACGCAAATATTCCGATATCTTCCAGTGTTCTAAATATTTATTTTCGACAAGTTTTAGTATTTGTCACAATACAACTTACTTTTGATACCTGGATTATTGTTTTATGTAAAAAAAAATGATGCCTCTATGGAGGTTTTTCTGCAGACTTATGCGTCGCGCGGTGATTCAGATTTGTTTCATTGTAAAAGTCTCTTTTAAGTACAATAAACAAGAGGCCCATGGGCCACATCGCTCACCTGAGAATCTTTTGTCATATTGTTCTTTACCAGATTTCCCCCTTGTAATACATATTGTGGCCCCGCCCAACCCCCGGGGGTAATGATTTGATCAATTTAGAATCTACACTACCCCACAATGCTTCCACATGAGTTTCAGCTTTTCTGGCCCAGTGGTTCTTGAGAGGAAGTTTTTGAAAGATTTTCCCTATATATTTCTATGTAAAACTTTGATTCCCAATTGCAGCCCCGCCCTACCCCCGGGGGTCATGATTTGAACAATTTAGAATCTGCACTACCCCAGGGTGCTTCCACATCAGTTTCAGCTTTTCTGGCCCAGTGGTTCTTGAGAAGAAGATTTTCAAAGATTTTTCCTATATATTTCTATGTTTAACTTTGATTCCCCATTGTAACCCCGCCCTACCCTCGGGGGTCATGATTTGAACAATTTATAATCTACACTACCCCAGGGTGCTTCCACATCAGTTTCAGCTTTTCTGGCCCCGGTGTTCTTGAGAAGAAGATTTTCAAAGATTTTTCCTATATATTTCTATGTAAAACTTTGATTCCCCATTGCGGCCCCGTCCTACCCTCGGGGGTCATGATTTGAACAATTTAGAATCTAGACTACCCCAGGGTGCTCCCACATCAGTTTCAGCTTTTATGGCCCAGTGGTTCTTGAGAAGAAGATTTTCAAAGATTTTTTTCTATATATTTCTATGTAAAACTTTGATTCCCCATTGTAACCCCGCCCTACCCTCGGGGGTCATGATTTGAACAATTTATAATCTACACTACCCCAGGGTGCTTCCACATCAGTTTCAGCTTTTCTGGCCCAGTGGTTCTTGAGAAGAAGATTTTCAAAGATGTTTCCTATATATTTCTATGTAAAACTTTGATGCCCCATTGTGGCCCCGCCCTACCCCCGGGGGTCATGATTTAAACAATTTAGAATCTACACTACCCCACAATGCTTCCACATGAGTTACAGCTTTTCTGGCCCAGGTGTTCTTGAGAAGAAGATTTTCAAAGATTTTTCCTATATATTTCTATGTAAAACTTTGATTCCCCATTGCGGCCCCGCCCTACCCTCGGGGGTCATGATTTGAACAATTTAGAATCTACACTACCCCAGGGTGCTCCCACATCAGTTTCAGCTTTTCTGGCCCAGTGGGTATTGAGAAGAAGATTTTTAAAGATTTTTCCTATATATTTCTATGTAAACTTTGATTCCCCATTGTGGCCCCACCCAACCCCCGGGAGTCATGATTTGAACAATTTAGAATCTACACTACATCAGGGTGCCTCCACATAAGTTTCAGCCTTATTGGCCAAGTGGTTCTTGAGAAGAAAATTTTTCAATGACCCCACCCTATTTTTGTCTTTTCTTGATTATCTCCCCTTGTGAGGGGACTTGGCCCTTCATTTTAACAATTTAAATTCCCCTTGAGCCAAGGATGCTTTGTACCAAGTTTGGTCAAAATTGGCTCAGTGGTTCTTGAGAAGAAGTCGAAAATGTGAAGTTTACAGACGGACGGACAGACAGACAGACAGACATACAGACGGACAGACGGACGGACGACGGACAAAATGTGATCAGAAAAGCTCACTTGAGCCTTCGGCTCAGGTGAGCTAAAAACCGAACTGACGGCAAAAAATCAAAACTCCGCATAATTCAAACACAAATAATTTTTAGACCTTTGAATGTATTAATTATCAGCTCTTTAATTAATAATTATTCGGTACTGATCAAAATCCGGAACTTGCTAAACGACTGTAATAAATAGAGCCCTGTCCTAACACCAGAACTTTTGACCCAGGGATCATGAAATTCACAAGTTTGTAAGAGGCACTCTTGTTCATTATAACTATATACTTAGTTTATTTAATACCTAGGATCAGAGGAGAAGATTTTCAAAGAATAAATGCATTTTCACTATATACTCAATAGAGCCCACCCTTACTCCAGAACCCCTAACTCAGGGACCTTGAATTTCACGTTTTATTGTTTACAATCTTTAAATCTGTGTCCAAGCTCCTTTAAGACTGTTCAACGGAGTTACCCAATACGATGCATTATTATTACTTCACATACTAAAGTCAAAACGGTGTCCTTACTTTGTCGTATGGTTAAGGTGATTGGAGCATTAAGAGTGTCCCTGTCCTCTGCACTGATGTCAACTGTTGCATTAGGATTTCCAGAATCCACAGGTACTGGGTTAAAAACAAGCGCACTAGCCTACAAATATCATATCATATACATGCTGATGTCAGTAAAAGACTGTGAGTGCAAGTTGCCTAAAAGTTGAAATTCTTTGTTATATTCTAAATTTATTATATTTAACATATGTAATAACTAATAATATTAGATAGAATACCAGTATATATGCCTAATATAAGCATAATTTGACATGGTCAGTATTTGCCACATAAAACCTCAATCTCATATAAAATCTTGATGCTCACTGTTGACCCAGATGTGACACTTGTTGTGTAAGTTGGGTTAAAACAAACATTGTAGACATTAAAACAGGAGGAATACACAAATTTGGGTCCTAAATCATCCACATCACTTATAGTTATTGTGATGGTGGTGATAGTCTGTTTCCTTTCTGCAGCATTGCTGGCTTTGTCCTAAATAACAAGAAAAAAAAAACCAGAAATCAAAATCGAAGGTATATGTTTTGAGATTTTTAGCTCAAAAGCTGAGAAGACTAATATGAATTTCTAGGTAATATATTGTTAGCCTTGAAAAGTCGTACGATATGATACCCTTGATTTTCGTTAAAAAAACGTGATTTCAAATGTTGTTAAAAGAACATTGGAGTTGTTTATTGCCTAGGTGATCAAGTTCCTGATAGGATGGTTGATTTCCGGAAAGAAATGTTTAAAGTACATTGACAGTGTAAATAAAAACGAAAATTAATCTAAAGTAAAGGTAGTCCGATCATCAGGTTTTTAAAATTAGCAGTTAAGTAATAAAAATACTCATAACAGTATTTCTGAATCTACAAAGTTATGTAAATTAATCCACAGTATTTCTTTAAAGTAAAAGATTAAAGTTAATCATATTATATAGGGAAAATTGTCAGATCTCCAATTTTTTTTGCAGAAAAAGCGAATTGGAATATCAGCAATGCATTTTCTAATTGCAATTTGATCAACAAATATATTTATGGTTAAAAACCGATAGGTATCCAGGTATTGTCATGATGTTTATATTTATTTTGTATTTTTTGTCTTTTATTTCCGTCATGTTTTCTATAATACATAGCGTAAAAGGCCTTTGCTCTCATTGCAAGACACCACAAATCCCTTCTTATTTCATATCATGCTAATAAGCTTTGGTATCTAAGGCTGGATTCAAGAAAATCTTTTTTCTCTAATATTTTATCATTTGTTTCCTTTTATAGCGAAAAAATGTCAACTTTTATAAGACCATTTCTAAGACTCCCAAAAACCTTGAATCTTATTAAGATGAAAAAATTAAAATTATTGCATGAAAAAAAAATTTTTCAAGCTTCTTTTTGATGTATATCATATAAATATTATTTTTTGGAGTTATCCTTCCTGGCTGAGGATCGGATATCTTTAAGTACTTTAAGTATTTTTCATCCTGTATACAGTACCGACCGGACACAACCTAACAGAAAGCGAACCCGGAGCGGACCCCGGGTTCGCTCTCTGGGTCCGCTTCGGGTTTGCTCGGGGTCCGCTAGGGCTGACCCCGAGCGAACCCGGAGCGGACCCAAAGCGAACCCGTAGCGGACCCCGAGCGAACCCGAAGCGGACCCCGGGAGCGAGCCCCAAATTCAGTAGCGGTCCCAGAGAGCGAACGCGGGTTCGGTATTTCTTTACAGAGCTGTCAATCAGGATTAGCGATTAACCAATCAGCGCATCAACCAATCAAAATAGCGTATTGATCTGTCGATTGGGATATAAGATCGAACGTGTTGATCTAATTCGATATAAAACCAAACACTGTACATACAGGAAAAACGTGTGAATGTGCTGTGTAAATCTATCAGGATTATTAAAATATTATTTAATATTTATTCATTTTAATTCTCCGGGTTGTATTTTACATGTTTTAATTTTCCACGAAAAATTATACATGAAGATTTACTTACGTCTTTTAATTTCTTTAGTTTTTTTTTAACGGTATTTACGAGAGAGAGCGAATAACTGTAAACTCTCACCACTAGACTTGATTATAATTATAAATCCCGATGACTTTTATTTAAATTTCTATGAGTCGTCCTCCCAATATTGTACTCAAATTGTTTTCTATAAGCCTGGTGCAGCTATTTTTTTTTCAATAAATATACATGAAAGATGTATATAAAGAACAAATAACACCAACAGTTTTCGGGAAGCCCTGACCCTTCCTCGGGACAAAGAACAAAGTTTAAAAGTCATAAGAACAAAGGAAAAAGAGAAACCAAAATCTATTAGCAAAACTATTAAACTACTAAACACTATATATTTACATAGTAACATGTCGAATTGGAATTTATTTAAACACTATAAAAGAAAGAAATTCGGTCTGCTACGTCTGGTTTATCGGTGTATACTCAGGTGAAGTGCGACTTACATCATTGAACGAGTTAATTACGCTAATTAATAACGAAATTTAGTAAATCATACATTTACTCATTCTCTCAAAATTGCGTACATTGCAACTTTACTTGACAAAGAATAATCAGTCTGGAGAAATATAATATAGACATATGAATTATGATCTATTATAAATTTGAAATGTTTGAGGACTAATTTTAGGGAAAAAAAATCATTAATAAAGGCGTAAGCGATACAAAGTTATGTGGGTTGTTCGAGAGTTGGTAACGCAAACTAATTGTAGAGTTTAGGGTGGAATGACTTCAATCTGTGCATCCAGAAGGAAGATTTTCATATAAACGCATTTTTTTTCATGCCCAAGAAGATCAAGAAGATTAAGAAGATCAATAATTCTGATGTAATTTTTGAATAATTTGATATAACAAATAAATTGAGAAATCATAAATAAAATAATTAATTTCGATTTTTAAAGACAATGTGTTTGTGTGAAATAGGGGGCATATATTAAAATATTCTTATCGGGTCGGGAGAACAATTATTATTTGCCTTTTTCTTTATTCTGAAAAAAATCCTTCTCGCTCCAAAATTCTGCCCGTGAAAAAGATCTAATATACAGTGTATTTTTTTTTTAAATGTCCGGTAAATATTTATACGAACTTTTAATGTGTAACTTCTATTAATGAAATCTAAATACATAAAATTTATAGATGCGATATCATAATTCACGTGTTAAGCAAACTTTTAAACTACGATTTAGCAAAACGCAAGGAATAACAAATTAATGTATTATAAAACTATATAAAGCATGACTTTAAAAGGTATTTAGTTTACATTTCTTTTCGTCCGTTTCACTTGTACACCATTCGATACACTGAAAATCAATTCAACGCTCTTCTCTCCCTCTTCTCTTTTGTTTTCTCATTAAAACTTAAGAAAAAAAACCTTATAATCCACTGTTAAATTATTTTGAATTTCTCGGGATCGAATAATTAAGGAAATCAATTATTCATGTACATGTAAATCTACGTCGAATGATGTACAGTTGAATTTTAGAAAATTTATCAATGTTCTCCATTATATCACTGTTTACATGTTCAGTGTACATGTCCGCATCGCTGCATAAACAACAATGATCAATCCACAATACCATTACTGTATTGGAATATACAAGGGGCGGGGCTTATTGGCGGTGAGATTAAAGCGGGGTCCGCTTCACGCTTCAGTGCGTAAAGCGGACCCAGGAAGCGAACGCCGGGTTCGCTCTAGCGGACCCAGAGCTGACCCCGAGCGAACGCGGAGCGAACCCGGAGCACACCCAAAGCGGACCCGGAGCTGTCCCAAAATTTCTGAAAGCGAACCCGAAGCGGACCCCGAGCGAACCCGGGAAGCGAACCCGGGGTCCGCTCCGGGTTCGCTCTGGTGTTAGGTTGTGTCTGGTCGGTACTGTAGGTCAACTGAAACACCTCGATGACATTTTGCTAATGTCGCATTTTGTTCAGTTAAATACAACTTTAATTTCGGTTGCTTCTCTAGGACAGATGAACAAATTACAAACAATTTTAGTACATAGCATTTGTGGAGAAGCAAGGCTTGAGAGTTTCATAATCTCTGTCCTCTTGGTCTCTGAGTTTGGCCAAAACCATCCAAATAATGTAATCATCAGCTGTTTCATCCTGATATTGAAGCAGTTTAACTGACACATTAAACCCTCTACCGATATTGTGGAAATATGACTATTGGAGCCGAGTTCTGCTGTTACAGTGTAGTGAGGGAATTTATTGTGTAAAAAAATAAAATACATACTAGTACTCGTAAGTAGGAAATTGGTTTTTTTTATTATTATTATTTTGTATCTTCAAAATATTTATTATATCGTGCAATATTTGGTGCATTGAACAATTGCAAAATTTTGCTTATCGCTATGATACAAGGTTTTTCTTTTGTGGCGATAAACTGTTTACACTATAAACTAATTAACTATAAAATGATACACTCACTGTTGCAGATATGGAGAGGGTATATGACCGAACAGATTCAAAGTCTAAAGAATTGCTGACAACTATTTCTCCTCTTGAAGTGATAAGTAGTGCAAATCTGGTTGAGCCATCATTCTGATTTATATTAAAATTTTGTCATATATGGCTGCCCGAAGTTAGTTCTTTGTGTAACATTACCTGCAGGTGTAGGTGTTGGAAAAATTACCACTTTAAAAACCAAACAATTCAGCATTTTCAGAGGGTTTATTCCGGATTGCTTTTATTTGTAGCAACTTAAATTGTAATTTCGTTCGATAGACAACATTTAGGAACTCTGTGTGGTATTATTGAGCTGAGTTTACTAAAAATAATCATCAAGCAACCAACCTACATAATGATATTATTAATCTTTAAATGTTACTTTATAGTTTGAATGTTAGTCTTTTGTACAATACTTGTGTAAAGAATATATAATATATCTGCAGAGAAATTTTAAATCAAATATTAATACTCACAATACTTCCATCTCCTGGAACTATAGCATATTCTATTTCTTTGTTGCTTCCTGCATCCAGATCTGTAGCTGTTATCCCAGAATACACCGTTGTCCCTACTGGTGATGACTAAAAAGTTTTAAAATGTTTCAGTAACACAAGCAGAGATCACCCCATTCACAAACAGTCCCTTGACACACATATACACACTCTTACACATGTACAACCTCATACATTACAAACATCCATGCATACACAAAACATCGTTTTCATATCAAGACTGTACATGTAGGTCTTGTAGGATATGTTTTAATTTAATAAGGTCTCTTTTTTAATGAATTACATGGGTCTAAAATAAAGTACTAGTACATAAATGTTTTCGAGACCTCCATTTATCAGATTTAGCTTAATATTTAGTGTTAACTTTTTCAAACAGAGATGGATATGAAAACTTTAGAATTTAGACAGCATTTAAAAGTTATGCTTAAGCACTCACTTTGCAATATATCATAGAGACTGTAGTTATTATGATGAAGAGGGGGTGGGGTGACAAACCTCATCGACTGAAGCAGAATAAGGAGTATTCCAAAATGTAGGTGCATTATCATTTATATCTTGAATCTCCAACTGCATCAGGAAAAACTTTGTCTGCGTTGGGTCTTTCTGAAATTGAGATTTTGAAGAAATAAATCATTGAATTTCCCGAAAAAAAAAACATGTTTAACAAGAGGCCTGAGGGCCACATCGATCACCTGAGCACATCGGCTAGGAAAAAGCACAAATCAGATCAGAATTGAAAATTTTACTGAGGGGGGTGGGGGAGAGGGGGCTTTAATTCTAATACTACTTGAGAATGCCTCCATATCAATACAACAATATAAATAACTTTGCTGTTCTTGAAAAAAAAAGATTTTTAAAGATTTCGTGATAATTTGAATTTGACTCCCCATTGTTTCCCTCACTACCCCAAAGGGTCATGATTTAAACAAATTTAAATCTTTTAAATCATGAGGATGCATACATGCCAATATGACTAAACATAGCTTTTCTGTTCTTGTGATTTTTCCCTTTATTTTTCTATGTAAAACTCTGATCCACCATTGTGGCCCCATCCTACCCTTTAGGGTTATGATTTGAACAAATTTAATTCTACACTACCTGAGAATGCTTTCATATAAATACTAGTATCACTAATCATAGCTTTGCTATTCTTGAGAAGATTTTTTAAAAATATATTTTAATGTAAACTTGGATCCCCAGTTGTGGTCCCACCTTATTCCTGGTGGTTATGATTTGAACAAACTAGAATCTACACTACCTAAGGATGCTTCCATTTAAATATCACTACTCATGGCTTCACAGTAATTGAGAATAAGATTTCCCTATATATTCCTATGTAATACTTTGATCGGCCATCCCTGGGATCATGATTTGAACATTTAAATCTACACTACCTGAGAATAAGTCTACATGAATTTTATCTTTCCTGGCCCAGTGGTTCTTGAGAAGAAGACTTTTTCAAAATGCTTTTTATTTTTCACTAATTCATAATTATCTCCCCTTGGTAGAGGGCGTAGCCCTTCATTTAAACAACTTCAATCCCCTTTACCCAAGGATACTTTGCAGCAAGTTAGGTTGAAATTGACCCAATGGTGAGAAGAATATGAAAATGTGAAAAGCTGACAACGAAAACAACAACGACTACAACGACGACAGACAACGGGCAAATTTTGATCAAAAAAGTTCACTTTAGCTTTCGGCTCGTAGTTGAAATCAATGTGTATTCATTTATAGAAAAAAGATCAACATATCCATCAACAACATAAGGTTAAACTGAAAATATATTGTATAAAATCTTCCTTTTTCTTATTTGTCCTTGCAACTGGATGAAGTTTAATGCTTTAAATATATTTGAGATGAGTGAAGAAATATTTTTAGATATTTCAATTACTGCTTAAACATTATACAGAAAAATAGATGAATATCAAGGCCCAAATTAACAAGTACATGCAACTTACCAAAGAACGACAGGATAATTGAAATTCTACAGTGTTAAGGTCATCACTAGCTATATAGGAACTTCCCTGTGTACGTGATAGAAAAAAATTGAAATGTTTTTTCAGTTTAAGAAAGAAAAAAACCTTTAAAATACATAACTAAATCTTGGAATAAAAATTTGCCTACATCATATCGGTAAGCTTTTAGTTGTGTATAAAATCAAATTTACCGACATGTTAAGAAGGATACTAGAAAAATACTCTAGCGCACTGCGAATGTGACCGATCGGCAGGGATGCTAAAATGCTAATAACAATTTGGGGTCTGACAAAAAAAATATTTGCATTTCCAAATATTTTCCCTTAAGATTTTTTGCAAATTTTTGTTTCAATGAACTACTATGGGATGCGTTAGAATACTTCCATTGCGATGTGATTGAAAAAAAAATAATAATAATAATCATAAAAACTAATGCAACTTTTCTTTTCAAAAATGATCGTTGAAAGACAAAAATATGTAGCAAGTCATCAGAAAACTAATGTAAATAATGATTGATTGATTGATTGGATATTGTTTAACGTCCCTCTCGAGAATTTTTCACTCATATAGATGTCTTCTAATTAACTTTGTTATACAATTATTTAATTTTTTATCTTAGAATTTAAGTATTTGTTTTCATTTCAGATGTACAATGTAATTTATAAAAATTACATCTCTGTCAATTGCTGACTTTAATCGAATAAAAGTCCTAGATCCAAATGTTGAGCCTGATACTTGTAAAGTAATCAGTTCAAAAAGGTCATTTAAATCTAGACCAGTAGAAGTGACTGATTGAACAAAGGTTATGTTGACTCCTGAGATCTGATCAGTTCCCTGATTTATTCCTTCTATGGTTGTGTCTGTTCTATAGAGTGGTGAGTTTGGGTCAAAAGAAGAAAAGGTGGACTCGTACACCCTTCCAGCAATGTTGGGATCAGGTGAACTGCAAGCTGAGAAAGGTTTTCAAAAGTATTAATCATATATTTAAAATTATTAATTTTTGTAAGAAAATATCTGCATTTATTATTTATTAGATTTGAAGATGTTAAAACAGTAATATATTTCTTACGTTCCTGTGAGTTCACTGTATGCATTGAAAAGTAGAGCCAATGTATTGTAAGAGGCACCAATAAATTGCACCACGTCTGCATCTAAAAATTGAGATAGAATTTCTATTTAGTTTTACATGTATTGTTGATAATGCAAAGCATTGTTCTGACCCCTCAATATTGCAAATATCGACTTCAATGCTTCAATTTTTGGTTTGCTATGATCACCGCTATGTGCAATGACAACAACAAAAATATATGGTAGATTCCTCGACCTGCTAAAAGGCCAGTATACACGGTAGGATTTTTATTATTATACGAAATCTTACTGTGTATACACTCTTAATACAGTGTATCATAAGATTTTTCGAATCTTATAAAACTGTATTAAGAATAGAGCAATGCTCTTTTTCCTAACACAAGTCTTAACTTACCTATCACTTTCAACCAACGCCAGGGGTCATCCTATTTTTATCCTTACTAAAAAAAAAGCTCATGGTAATTAACAATGGTCGACTTTACAAGTAAAGACATCGAAAAACTCGTGGCTTAATGGGAAGGGGAAAAGGACTTGTTGAGTATATCAAGCAGTGCATAGCACGATGATAGACACTGCTATCAGAGCCTCATCCTCCATTTTTATTACCTTGACAGAGAGAGAAATATGGCGGGGAAAAGCACGTTGGAATACGTAGTTTATTTACAATCTGATAAGATATGTATTACCGTGAGTACATGAAAGTATTATAATACAAAAGTATTATATTACTTGCATTTTACTAAATATGTCACCTTGTATACCTGTAACGACAAAAAGTGACCCCCGTATAATATTGACTGGGAGTCAAAATTCTACGTAGAAAAATGACCCACTTTTTCGTAGAAACTATGGCTTGGGATCGTTTTTCTCCGTCTGCATTGTAGAAAAGTTACTCCGTAGAATAATGACTCATTGTCATTTTTTGATGCAAAAACATTCGTTTTAGCAGGCATATTCTTGTTAGGCGAATGCAAACGGGTAATATCAAACAGCCTTTTGATACGAAGTGTTCATTTCTGAAAGTAATTAAGCTTAAATAACGTAATTAAAGCTATACTTTACTTTACTTTAATAATACAACGGTTTTATTCCCATATATTTACATTTCCAATGTCTTTGTCCGAGATAAAATAACAAATTGTAAATGTACTTTATTTCCCCATCAATGTATTGGCGCCGTTCCAAAAAAAAAAAAACACGTGCAGGGCGGGAAAAACAGCTAGACAGAAGCAGGGCTTGGAGCACGGGGATTGGCGGTATCAAAGCATGTAAATATAAGAAATGACTGTCTTATTTTTCAATTTCATGACGATGATCAATCGATTGGCTTGCGTGATAATTTTATGCATAAACGCCTTCGGCGTTTATGTGAATTATCACGCGAGCCAATCGATTTATCACATCATGAAATCGAAAAATAAGACAGTTATTCCTTAAGATAGGGAAACAATATCTATTAAATGTTCTAAGGCTATTAGAGCAAAGATACGCGCATTTAATTTTATAGATTTGTTTATTACATTTTATACAGCAGGTTTCCACAGTTGTCATTTCAATCTTTAAAAAGGTCATTTTCTATCTGATGTCAGAAAATGAAACTTTAAAAAGTTTCCATAATTGTAAATCTTTCTTTGATTTTACCCTTTATAAATGATTTGCAAAAATCAAAATAATATTAATATTTTTTTTCAATAGTTAAACGTTTTTGATCCCTACTTTTAAAATGGCGCGAAAAGGGGTGCTTGCTTAGAAAATCGGATCTAATAAAAAATATTTGGTTTTCTATGAATAAAGTTTCAAACTTCTCATTAAAAAAGGGATGATTTAATTTGTAAATGTAAGTACTAAACTAGAAACTCTTGTTGCTACAGCAACAAAAACGGTCTTCCGTTCTCCTCTATTTATTTGTATAAATGAGCTTTTATCAATGTTAAAAATTAAAGGCATATAATATTTAAAATGCTTACAGCAAAACATACGGCCGGAGGTGTAACTTACCAAGATTTTCGACGTTACTTTAAACAATTATAGTCTTAATAACATTTATAAAAACCATTTTCATTTTTTTATCACTTCCTGTGACGACCGGAATTGTCAGCGGACGCATTGTACCCTATATCGGTTGCCCAGTCTTCATGGTTTATTAGTCATATAAGATAAGTGTCTTGATCTGTTAAATTTAAGTTATTAAATTATTATTATTATTAACTTCGTATTTTGAGGACAAGAAATCACATGACCGGAAGTAAATTTTCCAAAAGAGATTTGGGGTTACTCTAGACATTTCAGTCTGAATAACATGTCCTAAACTCATTTCGAATACTCTTTTTATAAAAGATATTTATGGGATAGTATGATAGTAAATTTATGCAGTTTTTCTCTTATAACCGGAAGTTGTCGTTTTTGTTTCCAGTGGGACAGACATATTTCAAAACTACAGATCAGACGCTTTAATGTATGACTAAGAAAGATTCCATTAAGAAAAGCTGATTTTTTAAAAAATTTATTTGATCACTTCTTGTGACAACCGGAAGTGACGGCGGACAATCTTAACTCAAAAAGTTTTGCTTACTCATCAAGATCTACTACTCCTATAAATTTGGTGTGTGGCAGAGTCATATTTATTTAAAATAATTTTTTATCTTTATTGAATAACTTACTGAGCCATAATTTACTTTATGCCATATTTGGTAGTAGTCTCCAATCACGAATTCTACTCACAAAATCTCATTGGCCAGTAAATTTGTACCCCCTTGTTAAACCGGTTTTTCTGCTATTTATACTGAGGCATGGGCCCATCCCTGTCAGTACGGGAAATTTAACTTACCTATTACCAGCTGCCCGTTGTCATCACTTGAAAAGTAATTTTCCTAGTCGATTAAATTTTTGTATTTTATTTATTAAGTCCAAGTTATAATCTCAAGTATTTTTCATATTTTTGAGAAAAAGGTATTTTAAACTATGAAATTGATGTTTCAGGCTTAGTAAACTTAAATTTTCTTATTTTTGAAGTGAATAGGAAATAAAAGTATTTTGTCTCAGTGTCTATGTGTATTATGATATTGTATATATGTTTTTGTATTTGTAGATCTGCCATTGCTTTTTCATTTCCAAATAAATTTATTAAACTGAACCTGCGTTTTCCATCTCCGCTTGGTTACATTTGGCGTCGCCGGTAGGACATTTCAGGAAATGTCGTTAGTGTTGTGTCAGACGATGGCTGCCAGAAAACCTTAAACCGCCGTGATGTGACGAGATGTGTTTCCTAAATAACGCTATTACTTATCCAAAAACTTTTTGTTACCTTTGATGTTCATATGTATATTTTTCTGGAGAGTATGTGGCTATTATTGAAAACATGTATTTTGATGGAATATATATTTTTCATTTATCGAGACGCAAAATTTAAAGGTATCTTAATCTCTTACCGTTTCCGAGATCTAGCTATGATAACTTCTGATTTTGAGGACAGGAAATCACGTGACCGGAAGTGAAATTTTAAAAGAAATTTGACTGTAGACTTATGCAGTCTGAATAACATAACAAAAGATCATTACAAATAATTTGTCTATAAAAAGTATTTATGGGAAAGATAAATACTCAAATTATGTAGTTTTTCTCGTACAACCGGAAGTTGTCGTTTTTGTTTCCAATTGGACTGAGCCATAATAGCCCCGCACTTGCCCAAGGGTCATGATTTGGACAAACTTGAATCTTCACTACCAGAGGATGCTTTCATATAACTATGACCAATCATGGCTCTGCTGTTCTTGAGGAAAAAATAAGATTTTTCCTATGTATTCCTATGTTAAACTTTGATCCCCCATTGTACCGCCTGGCCCCAAAGGTCATGATTTGAACAAACTTGAATCTACACTTTCAGAGGATGCTTCCATATAACTATAACCAATCACGGCTTTCTTGTCTTTGAGAAAAAGATTAATAAAGATTTCTCCCATGTATTCCTATGGTAATCTTTGATACCTCATTGTAGCCCCACTCTACCCCCGGGGTCATGATTTGAACAAACCTTAATCTTCACTACCAGAGGATGCTTCTACATGAGTTTTATCTTTCCTGCCCCAGTGGTTCTTGAAACGAAGATTTTTAAAGATTTTTCCAATGTATTACTATGTAAAACTTTGATACCCAATGCGGCCCCACCCTATCCCCGGGGTCAATATTCGAACAAATTTGAATTTTCACTACCATAGGATGCTTCTACATGTATTAGGGCTTCATTTTTCCTACCCCACTGCTTCTTGAGAAGAAGATTTTTAAAGATTTTTCCAATGTATTTCTATTTTAAACTTCGATACCCCATTGTGGCCCCATCCTACAACCGGGGGTCATGATTTAAAGAAACTTGAATTTTCACTAACAGAGGATGCTTCTATATGAGTTTCATTTTTCCTGGTCCACTGGTTCTTGAGAAGATTTTGAAAGATTTTTCCAATGTATTCATATGTTAAACATTGATACCCCATTGTAGCTGCAGAACTGTAGCTCTCCGAAAAATATGTTGATAGACCGAAGCCTATAGTTTCACCCTTTGAAAAAAAAAACTGTATATTTTTGCGACCAAAAAGTTGCGCTTGTATATGGATTAATTCTTCTAAATTCTTACCGCAATTGCAAAAAAAAAAAGATTTAAAAAAAAAATTCCGTACTCTTTTATGGGACTTTACGAGAAGCGCAGACTTTTACAGTTGACAAATTATTCTCACACTAGGAAAGTGTATGGAAGCTCTTTTAATATAAAAATATTTAGCTTTAATTCAACGAAAACAACGGGCTATTTTAAAGCACAGATAAGTTGCCCTTGAAAAAAAACGACAATCACTCTAACATCAAATCCAGG